ACTCACTGACAAAAGGTAGGAAGTTCCAGTGGACAAAAGCAACCCAGGAAGATAGGAATTATCCTCTCTCCTCTCTATATCAACTTCATAGACTATGAAAAGGCATTTGACAGCATTGACAGGGATACAATATGAAAACTTATGGCGTACTTTAGAGTACCAAGAAAGTTTACCTTCCTAATCTAGTGCACCTACAAAGATATGGAGGACAGGTTTGTCTACTGTTTCCCTTTCTCTTCCTCCTTGTTATGGATTGGGTCATGAAGCAACCACAAAAAGCAGGAACAATGGAAAGTCAGTGGACACCCTTGACACAGCTTGATGACCTCGACTTCAATGATGACCTGGTGTTTCAGTCCTACAATCGAAACCAGATGCAAGACAAGGCCAACCTCCTTTAAAATATTTGTGATGGTGCAGAGCTCAAGATCAACAAGTAGAAGACAAAAAGATGAACACCACTAATAGTGCCCAAATAAAAGTAGGTGGAGTTCAATAAAAGAGCTTACCTGGAAGGTGTGGTTGACAGACTGGGGAAGGGGGGGGGGCGTGACGTCACAGTCAGAAGAAATCGGCGGTGCCTCCAAACTGTGTATCTTCAATTCAGAATGTCAAATCTGTCTTGCTCTATGATTCAAAGACGTGGAGGATGATACAAGTGACACAGCAGAAGATTCAGACGTTCATAAAAACCAGTCTGAGACGCATATTTGATCAGATGGCCAAAAAAACCCACCAGAAATAAAGAGCTGGAAAACAGCGGGTCAAGATGCCACAAATGCAGATTTTGCGCCGGAAGTTAGGCTGGATAGGGCATACCCCTTGGAAACCTCCATTCAGGATAAATCGACAGGCACTGACTTGAAACCCACAGGACAAGAGAGAGGTGGCCATGAAACAGCTGGCGACTGAGACACGGAGAAAGAACTAGGTTGAGTAGGAATTACCTGGACAGTGGCAAGAAAGACAGCCCGAAACCGAGGTGGAGGAGTGACGTTGATGGCCTATGTTCCATGGTAGACGAAGGGCCTAAGTAAGTAAGCCTTACTCTTTTGAGAAGAAATTGTCCGATTTCCTTCGCACAATAGCACGCGGATTCCGAAACAAAGGTGATCGTATGCGAAAGTGTATATCTAATTATTGAGAGGCCAAGAAAACGATTTGTCTGAGGATGAAAGTGTGTATGTAAGCTGAGTCGGGTTGATCACTTGATCTGATGCTGACTGCCAGTAAAGGTACACTGATCAGGAAACGAACCAAACTTGGTAGGTATAGGTACTGTAAGTGATACCGGAATAAAGTCTAACATACCTGAAATAGGCTTTGGAGACAAGATTATACATGGGATTATATATTATATTGATACACGAATTCAGCACAAATGGAGAAGCTAGTGCAAGTGCGCATCATCTCTTAAAGGCGCGTGTGCTCCAGAGGAACGGCTTTGTATTGTTAATATTACTAATAGAATTTTAGTGATGAGATCATTAAATTTAACTTGATTTTTTTGTTCAGCCGAATCCCATAAAGGAACCCAGAAAAGTTGCAATTATTTATTTATTTACTGTTATAAAAATTATATATATATATATATATATATATATATATATATATATATATATATATATATATATATATATATATATATATATATATATATATATATATATATATATATATATTGTAATCGTTTTTTGCAGCAGCTGAAGTGCCGTTATAGATGTCTTTGTTGTAGGTTATTTTTTGATCAAAAAATCTTCGTTCCTCTAATATTGATCGAAGTTTTAAACCACTGAAACTAGACCAGCTTTCCAAGAGGCACTTAAAAAGCATTGTTATATTTTCAAGCTATGGAAAATTAAATTTAGAGTGTTCATAATGGAATATAAGAGTCATTCCGAAGTAATTGTCCTGCAAAAGTGCGAGGGCATTAAATCGTTTTTAGCTCACCTGAGCTGAAAGCTCAAGTGAGCTTTTCTGATCACCCGTTATCCGTCGTCCGTCCGTCTGTCCGTCCGTCTGTCTGTCCGTCCGTCTGTAAACTTTTCACATTTTCGACTTCTTCTCAAGAACCACTGGGCCAATTTTAACCAAACTTGGTACTAAGCATCATTGAGTGAAGGGGAGTTAAGTTGTTAAAATGAAGGGCCAGGTCCCCTTTAAAGGGGAGATAATCAAGAAAATACAAAAATTGGGTGGCGTCATTAAAAAATCTTCTTCTCAAGAACCACTGGGCCAGAAAAGCTGAAACTTACGTGGAAGCATCCTGGGGTAGTGCAGATTCTAAATTGTTCAAATCATGACCCCTGGGGGTAGGGGGGCCACAATAGGGAATCCAAGTTTTACATTGAAATATGTAGTAAAAATCTTTAAAAATCTTCTTCTCAAGAACCATTGGGCCAGAAAGGCCGAAACTTATTTGGAAGCATCCTTGGGTAGTGTAGATTTTAAATTGTTCAAATCATGACCCCCGGGGGTAGGGCAGGGCCACAATAGGGAATACGTGGAAGCATCCTGGGGTACCTAGTGTAATTCTAATTATTCAAATCATGACCCCTGGGGGTAGGGTGGGGCCACAATAAGCACTACAAGGGGGGGGGGGGAGAAATCACATGAAAAACAGCAAGGCCAAAGTTACTCAGGTGAGCACTGTGGCCCATGGGCCTCTTGTTGTTCGTCTGTCCTTCAATCTGTTTACCTGTCACCAAAATTTTAATCTTATATACTATAAAACTCTAATCCTAAAGAGATTCAACAATAATTTTTTTTCAGGGTGAAATATGAAGACAACGAAGAGTAATCAAACTCAAAATCCATTGGATCAATACTGATTGGAAACAGAGCAAACACGGACCTCTAAAAATTCAGAGGTGGGATCAGGTGCCACGGAGGAGTAAGCATCCCTGTCGATCTATCATGACCGCCGTGTGCTTCTTGTCATGATCAGGCAAACGGAAAAATCCATAGGCAATTCAGTGTGAAAATAATGGACTAACAATTTTTATGAGAAATGTCGCTCAACATTCGACTTCACGATAAATTGTATATGCTAACAAGGTCATTGTATCGACCATAGAATTTGCGAAATGATGACTTTTAGTGAGACTGTTGATATCCTTGTAGCATCAATTTATTTCTCAATAGCTTGCCTCGTTTTAGAAAATGTACCGAATCAACTGGGAGAAATAAACTCCATATGCAGGTGATAATGGTATTGTTGCTTCATCGATAATGGAAGTTGACGGTAGAAAAGTTGAAGTCATCACGTTTATCATTAATTTTTGTTGTTAGGTTGGCATTAATGTCTTTTTCTAGGAAAATATCCATATATGAAACGGATGAGTCAAACGGGTTTCGAGTTCAAAGAGATATATCAAAGCAATGTAGGAATAAAAATGAATAGTGTTAATTGATAAAACGTCGTTAATGTATCTTAAAGTCGAATTGAAGGCCACCACTAGAGACTTTTTCTTTTCATGTAGAAGTTTATAACTAAATTCTGCTATGAATAAAAAAATAGGTCTGCTAATAGCGAGGCGCAATTGGTACCCATGGGAATTCCAACAGATTGTTGGAAGACCTGATCTCCAAAAACTACATGGAAAATGTCAATCGAAAACTTAAGCATCTTTTTTAATATCACCTTCTGAGTATTTATGTTTACAATCAGAATGTTATTTAACAAAATAAATTTGAAAATGACCAATGACAAGGTAAGTAAATTTACGAGTTCTATTTTTATTGAAAAAGCAGCTGTCTATGATGTCAAAAAGCCTGGACTTTAATTTATCGCCGGGAATGGTTTTATAAAGTATTGAAAAGTAATGACGTGTCCAGCAGGATTATAGTTGTATAGTGAAGAAGACCCTGAATATGCAGGAGGATGCGAGGAATTTAATTATGAGATGGTTGTGATTTTTAATCCATAAATGTGGCATAAATAGTCTGCTTACAACTACAAGAAACAATTATGTGTTTTATCCGAGAAGTTTTCTTCTCTTCCCCCCAGACTACCTAAGCGTGCCTAGCCAGCATTATTATAGGTCTAATGTATCCGATGAATGACCTGATCCTTGTTTTTGTGTTGCTTTGTTTCGTTTTATTTCACAAAGCAGTCGATGTAAAATGATGTTATATTACTAAGTAAATTTCTAAATTATACTCAGGGAGGGTTTTAAGTCCTTCGCTGAAGTAAAATATTTCTATGAGATCAAATAATGTGTAATGGTTTCTGGCCGTACCTCAATTAGCAAAAACAAACAACTTCATTATTTTGATCAATTACCGGCATGTCTCTATAAAGTACAGTATAATCCTATTACTATGACACTATAATTTCAGCACCCCCTGTTTCGATCATTCAATCTTAATTCAATGTTTATTTAACAAAAAGAAAAAGCATCGAGGTAACGCATTGCGAAATTCAAAATGAAAGAAACATAAAACCTTTTAGCTTAAAATAATGTAGAATTTACTGCAATCGGATAACAGCGGTGTATTAATAATTACAACGCACAAGTCTCAAAGGTGCAGCTATCAATTTTGTAGAATACTGTAGCGTTATGTTAATTCCTTCAGAACCCTAATAGACATAGTCATAAATTTGAAGAAAACTGATTGGGTTACTTACTGGGTTTATATTACGATTATATGTACAAAAACATTGTTTGAAAGAAAATACATCAGTGCGTTTCGTTGAAAACAGGACAAACTGTACACATTTTCTTTTTTTCCATTAAGGTCAATTAATTTGTGAGCGAAATAACACATGCACTAATATTTTAATCAATTTCTAATGTTCGCATCCCATTTAGAGCATTGTTATTGACAAGGATAAAACAGAGTCCGTGGATACCAACATCACCCCAATACTTAATGCAATTAAAATCATTGACTAGTGACTTCGCTTACTGATTCTATAAAAAACGTGTAGATGATGCATTATAATTGGCAAATTTCGGACACTTTTTTTCTCCTGCGGTTGGTTTGAGAACTAAAGAATGGGAGAACAAGACAAAAAATCCTCACCATCCATCAGACAACTTGGGGGTGTGTTTGTAGATGAATGCTCTATGCATGGACTCGGACACATATTTCAGAGACCTTTCTATCGCGGGTGGGTACACTTTCGACTATTTATCGTTACTATTTTCCCCAAATATTTGACTCCTCTTGTTTCTTTCTATCTCTGCGTATGAAAACACTGAGCTGAAGATTTCAGAGTTACTTTGAATTTCAAGAATGTAACCTTTCAGTTTCGGTATATTAGAACATTTTTTATTTTGTAAATTTCTCAGATTTATGCATATTAGTGCATGAAAATTATACATTATGCTTATTTTTTGTTTAAATTTTTGATTGACTATTAATAAAAAGTCTCTGTTGAGTTTAATTTTTGTTTCGATATTTAATAATAGTTTTGTTTATCAAGATAACTCATTTCATTTTTAAAATAACACTGTTTAATATTTTCATTTTTAGAATTATTTTTCTTTTCTTAAAGGGTGTCTATTTTTCTTAAGAGGCTCAAAAGTATCTAAATTTTGACATGATCTACATCTTTTTTTTTTGCAATGTACATAGTACACCAAATCTTTAAATCGATATCTCAAAAACGAAACAACCAAAATCATTATAAAATAAAATATATTATTTAATCAGGTTTTAACAGGTTGTAACTTTAAAAATGATCTGCACCTTTTTTAATATAATAACAAAGATATGCACTAATTATCAATCCAGTATCTAAATCAAGTGACGCGCAAACTGACAGATACAGAACTTCCAGTCTCCCGGTTTCCTGATTACTACTAATAATTATAAACAGCAATACCTGTACTTAATTTGAAAACGACTCCCTCATATCTTGCCCATACGGCACAAACACTCCACCGACTGAGCTGCAAAGTTACACAAAGCTTAAGTAAACCAAACAATAAATTCCTTTTTTATGAATTTGGAGATGGTTTTCCCTCTTGTTTCTCCAGGATGATCTGGTTTGCTGCAGTAGGTGTGTGCACTAGTTACCTCTTCTATCTCCTCCACACAGAATGGGTCAACTATCATCGATACCCGTTCCTGACAATTTCTTCCGTAAAAAGCGTGTCAAGTATAAAATTCCCAGCAGTTACTTTTTGCAATTTGAGCCCCTATAACAAATCAAAGGTAGCATCAGACCCAAGAGACGAGGTTTATCACATGGCAATCTCAAGACTGAACAACTTATCTGAGGAAATCAACTGGATGGACCCTTACTATCAAAAGAACGGATATTTCGCGCCGAGGACTTTCAATGACGTAGCAAATGAAACGCTGGAAGTAAACAGCGTTGTCAAGTACGTCATGTTTGACGGTGTAAGTGTAAACATTAATCAAGACCTGAACAAGAGAATTTCAACAAACGGTATGTGCTATACTTGGAACAGTAATGGATCCGCCACCACAAGTTCTACTGGATCTTCCTTTAACTTCATAGCTCTTCTCAGCGTGAACAACGATCAAAATTACCAAAATACTGATTGCAGCAATGGATTTAAGGTAGGAAGTACATGTATGAAGTTTCTATTATACTGATCCACAGTACATTTATCTAACGGTAGTATCTAGTCAGTGGAATCGTACCTGATTGATTCCACAATTCAAGGGTTTTACGAAAAAGTACGCACTGAATAATATTTTTTCTTAAAATTGAATAAACCGATTGACTTGCAAATAATTACAAACACAGACATTCGCTAAAACCCCTGTCACCTCGGGACGGCGATCGCACGGCGTCCATCAAAAATGCAAAACGCCGAGGTGAGCGCACTAAAGTCTCCTACAGCGCCGTGACAACGCGGCGAGATCTCCACTGAACGTAGGCTGGGCTCGCGTACGCCAGGGGACGGCGTGCACTTTGGGCATGCACAAAGTACGCGCAGTGTGAGCGCGGTCTGATAAGAACGCAGTAGAAACGTGGTATGATCGCTGTCGCAGCGCAGTGAGATCTCCAGCAACGCAGTGGGAGCACGCCGTGAAGACGCACATGATCGCAGCATGAACGCAGTGATAGCAGTCTGCGCATCCACGGAGACCTCGCGGAGTCTTTGGAGATGTTGCTGCGTTTAAGAACGCATTGTAAACGTATTGTGAACGCAGCCAGCGCAGTGAGAACGCTGTCAACGCGAGGTGACAACCCTTAGCACGCCGTAAAAACTCCGCGGAAGCGCAGTCAGTCGCCAAGAGATCTCCGTGGGAATGCAGTAGCACGCCGCGAGAACGCCTTAGAAACGCGTCGGTTGCTGTAGGGACGCCGTGACATCTTCCCATTGTGAAAATTTTTGAGAAATTTGTGCAATTTCCCTGCAATTCCACTGCGATTTCAAAAATTTAACAAAGCCGTAATAACTCCGTGGGGACACAACTTGGTGTGACATTTTGGTTTTCTTTGAAGAGAATCCTCACCAGTTCATTGTTCAAATGTTTCCATATTTTCTTCCATAAGCATATGCTTTCCGGCAAAAATATCCATAAATTGAGAACATGGGAAAAAAAGGTACCTCAATCATCTTTCCGTCGCTTTACAGCAGACTGAGCAGAGTATATTGGGATATGCCGGTGGATTGGTCTTACATTAAAAACAATGCCATGGGACAGAGAGTACTAGTAATTCATACTTATTTAGGAGTATAGTGACAACCACGGTATTATTTATTTAGGAACCACGTACGGTGACAGGTGGCCCTTACTTACGCTGGTGATCAGCCTTCGGCATCAGTAGACTGTGTTGTTATTTAGGATGGACAACGTCTACGTTGCTTTTCACCATTGCTTGGCTGTAAAGAATCCACCCTATTTGGTTTTGAACAGTGTTCTCGAACAACACAATTTATGCATGGCAAACTTACCGTGTTAAGCAATCCATCTAGTATCTCTAATCGTTTCGCTGCTATCTGAATACTGCTGGATGGGAAGCCCGCCACTGACATCATCAGATGATTTCAAACTGTCCCTTAATGTTTCGACCATTTAAAACCATGACACCCTACAGTTAATGGGTCCACAATGGTGATTTTTTCACTGTGTGTCAAACAGCTTCCACTCCTTGGTGTCTCTTAAGAAACCTTCTCTGCCTTCTAACCAACTCATTTTCTATTTCTGCCACTGATTTCAAACGCTTTAGTCATTCTCCGTACATCCACGAAATCCAACTTCTATGGGGAATAGCCATGTTTTTTATCCTCTCTGGTCGCATTGTTGCTTTAGTTTCCAGCTAGTACTTGGCACTTTTCCTCTAAAGGGCTACGTTGAAACCTTCTTCCCACAGTACAGTCACCTCGATGATAATCATCCTCATGCCTTCAGACCACAAAACTAGTATGACTGCTGTGTTATCTGGACCAGATCAGGAAATACAAGCTTTTGCTTAGTATCAACTTGCATCTGTCTAGCCTACCCATATACCAGGCTGCTATTCTGTACTCTCGTTGGAAAGGCTGTTTTGGTACCGACTTCATGCTCAGTCTGGTATTTTTTTTCTCTCTTTGTCTATTGTGTCTGCCAAGACTCAAAGCACATTGACATGCCCCAACCTATATCAATCGCCCTTGCTGGAATGCTACTTTGTATCCAGAGAGGGTGTGGGCGAGTGTTGCTCTTTCTCCGACCAGTTTGCAGTCCCATGATTCTTTTAGGCCCCATCTACCAAGTTAGTCGATAATGAAAGTATATCGTAGGCTGATCTCAGAAGTAATGAAATTCCTAAGGGGTCTAACTTCCAAAGATCTGACAACGTAATCTTCCTCTGAGAAACAGACCGTCTTGTCCATACACACCGTTGCCCAGGTTCGGCAGCCTTCGGTTTAGGTCTCTTCCTCTTCTTGGCGTACTTCGTCTTACAGCATATCGCGTCTCTCTTTCCCTGTTTTGCCTTCAACTGCTTGTAACTTGTTTCAAGACATTGTCTACCGGTACATGTGTTTCCCATGATATTGCATACTAGTATGGTGTACATATTGTCTGCTTGCTGTAAAGTTTTGCAAGCACTCCACTTTCGTCCTGTTCTTGTCTGCACCCCTGCTTCTCTGAATTGCATCCTTGGAGTCTCTCAGTGTCATAACCAATAGACACTTTGAAACCTTAAACTATTTAGCCAGCGATGAAAATGGTAGCTTCGCAGTGCGTCTGTACAGGTCGAATGAAGTGAAACTGGATAGAACTCCATCGACGAAGATACCACTGACCAATCTTTCCATAGTCTTTGCAGTTGATGTAGGAATTTCATACAGCATGAACATCCCCACAAACCTTGCCATGTAGGCTAGTCTTGTCGACCTCTCCTGCAACCATCGATGAAGGTGCTTATGGGCGTTTTTCTTGTTCTTGGAGTTCCTGATGTATTATCATACCAATTTTCCCAAACACTTGACCAGATATGGATGATAGATGGAATTTCTACACCATGCACCTTAACTGTTAAGATTTTCTTAAGGAATCCCTTCTTCATTATCATGCTTTTTGACGTCTTTGGTTTAAATTCCATCCTTAAATTGTCCAAATTACTGATTTTAAGACCCATCCTGCTTACAAATGAATGATTGTGACAACAGGCAGATCATTCATAAATCCCCTGTTTGCTGGTATATAAACGCCTTACTGCATCTTGGAACCTCTCGTCTCTCAGCTACACTGATTATAAGATTCTTGACATCACAAAGAGTATTGGTGATATTATGGATCCTGATACTATTCCTCTTTTCAGATCTCACAATGCAGTTATGAAGTCATTGAAGGTAAACCGCAGCTTGATATCATTAAAGTACTATAGTAACTGTTAACTAGATTCACTTTGTGTGGTGAAACATGGTAATGTAACATGGCTTTTTTGATTAGCTCATGCAGGACAGGGCCTTACGTGTTTCCCAGATCTAATTATACACAAGTCAAGTCACCTTTTTTCTCACTGACTTTGCCTACCACATAGCTGATGACACTGGTGTGTTCCACATCTGGAAAATTCTGGAATACCGCCTTTTTGAATGAAATGAAATGCTGCTGGCTGTCACGTACATTGTCGTCATCATAGTTCTGATCCTTTGACTTATCTGGCTCGTCTTTGGCACCTTTTTCAGCTCTTCAAAGTCTTTTTTTATTTTTATGCAAATATTTTGGATTCCCAAAGTTTCGGCTTGAGCATCACTAAAGAGACATATTTTGTCAAAATGCGCATCTGGTGCATCTGGTGCATCAAAATTGAAACCGCATATGGTGTACACTAGTACCAAAAAGAAGATTTTCCCGTCCACATTCAGCGGTGAGATGGTACGAAACCGGCAAATGTTCTTAGAATCATTTTCTTTAGGTTATAGGCATCCTCCTGCTCTCCTCTAGCATGTTGGTAATACTTCTTTTCCAAGTTGCCTTGCATTGTTGTGTTTAGAATACCGGCATTACACTGTCAAGTCTGACATCACTTTGTCGTTGTCAATACAGGGCTAGCTTTCACATTCTTACATGGCTACTGCTGGTGCCTCTTCGTTCTGAAGAGCCATTGACGGGCTAGAAGGCAAGCAATATCTATGTATTTTTTGGAGACCAGGTCTTCCAACAATCCATTGGAATTCCAATGGCTAACAATTGCGGCTCGTTATTAGCAGACCTATTTTTTCTATGCATATGAAGCAGAATTTGTTCAAAATCTTGAAAAGAAGAAAACACTTGCTGTTGCCTTTAACTCGGCATTTAGATATATCGACGACGTATTGTCAATTAACAATGGTTATTTCCATTCTTATGTCGATACGATATATTACAGTGAGCTTGAAATAAAAGATACCAAAGAGTCTGACACATCTGTTTCATATTTGGATATTTTACTAGAAAAAGACGTTAATGGTAATCTAACAACCAAGCCTTATGATAAACGTGATGACTTTAACTTTATAATCATCAACTTCCTTACTTATGCAGCAATATAACTTCATCACCTGCATACGAGGTTTATATCTCTCAGTTGACTCGATACGCAAGAGCATGCTCTGCGTTTGAACAAATCTAAAGAGAAGTAAATTATTGACAAACAAGTTGATGAAACAAGAATATCAGCAGTCTCGTTTAAAGTCGTTATTTCGTAAGTTCTATGGTCGATACAATGACCTTGTCAACAAATACAATTTATCATTAAGTCAAATGCTTACTGACGTTTTTCATACTTATTGTTAGGCCATTATTTACACACTGAATTGTCGACGGTTTTTTTTTTGTTATATCATGACAAGGAGCACAGGCGGGTGTGACCGGTTGGAAGGGGATGTTCACTCCTCCATGGCACCTGATCCCACCTCTGATGTTTTGGAGGTCCGTGTTTGCTCTGCTCCAAAATTTGTATTGTTTAATGGACTTTTGAGCTTGAATACTGTTCGTTATCTCCGTACATTTCACTGTAAAAGGTGGACCTCTGTACAGTCTGTCCTGAGAACAACACTTCAGACTATGCAATTTACGTTTTACAAGCTTACAATGTTGAACAGAGTACCGAGTACTGCTAAATTAATTGTGGCAAGCCTTAGTATCAGACCATCCATTCACCCTTCTGTCCTTTTCTATGAACTTTCTTTCCTCTTTCAAAGTTTTCAGTGAAGCCCAAGGGAATCATACTAGTCAATCAGATTTCTAGAACCACACTTGCAGTCTCTAGTTTCCCATAAGTCAACTTGCATATACACTAACAAAAGTTTTTACTTAATAAAACTGGTAAGATGGACTTATTAAATAATTTATTTTTCTACAATTGCGTGTAATTACTTTGAGATTGTACGAAAACTGTAAGTGGCCAAATTACTATCTTAACAGGTTGCTGTGCATGATCCACTTGAAGACCCGGCAGTGGAGAACAACGGCTTTCTCGTTCCACCTGGAAGAATAGCTTTAGCAAAACTATCTAAAACAAGGGTCAGATATCCATTTATTGAAAGCCTAATTTTTATTGAAACTGATGTGTAGCAGAAACATAATTTATTTATGTCTCTGCGTTTGACAGTATTGAAGTTTTTTTTTCCTTTACAGTATTCTTACCTCGGAAACCCTTTTAAAGCTTTTGGTGACACTTCCTGTGACGATATAAATTCTCCAGATTTCCAAAACCCAGTACACCCAGAGCCATACAGCATCAATGCTTGTAAAAGGAGGTGCGAGAGTGACCTCATGTTTCAGCGCTGTGGATGCATTGCTTTAGGGACAAATGGTAGGAATCTAGAGAAGCTTCTTCTTGTCATTTTATCTAATACTGGAAGAAATTTGAAGTTTGTTACAAGAAATCATTATGCAAAGCTCTATTGACAGGCAAGTTCACACGAGAGTTTTGTAGTATTTTTATAGCCCCCGCTTAAAAAGCGGGGGTATGTAGTGATGGGGGTGTCCGTCAGTCCGTCCGTTACGCTTCTTATCTGCAACTCCTCTTATACCACTGAATAAGATTTAATGATACTTTCACAGAATCTCTGTTACATAATGACATTGTGCACCTTCTATTTTACTTTTTGATTGAACACATATTTCGGGTTTCCAAAAACACAACATATAACACTGTCATTCTTTCTATAATATTGAGGGGTACCCATTTCTTATCCGCAACTCCTCCTATGCCACTGAATAAGATTTAATGATACCTTCACAGAATCTTTGTTGCATAGTGTTACATGACGCTGTATAACACTATTTGTTACATAGTGTCATTGGGGACCTTTTATTTACTTTTTGATCGGACACTTATTATGTATCTCCCATATAGCAAAACACGGTTTTTGCCATCATAAACATATAAGAGGCGGGGGTATCATTTTGTGAGCTTAGTGCTCTAGTTTATTTATTGTTTACAGAAAAATTAATGACACACCATGGAGGATTTTTGTTGTTAATCGGACAAAAACCGTGTTTAGAGATAATAGTATATCTTCAATTATTTTTTTCATAGAACATAAAAATTTTCATCATCAATATTTTGTTGTTGCAGGCGATCACCCTATTTGCTCTTTATACCAATATTATCAGTGCAACTTTAATACATCAGATCAAAGTAAGTCACGGTATAAAACCATGTGTTGGCATGGAATATTTCAACATCTCTTTTTTTTAATAAAATACATTGTCTCGAAAACGTCTTCAAATGTCCTTCATTCCAGAGTTAATTTGAAATGTACTTTACATGCAGAACTTGACAGGTCTGAAAACATTGTGCGAACGCAATCTTTACAGACACAAGACGTCCTGACACGTTTTCTTCGTGTGACTGTCCTCAGCCTTGTCGGCAGACGACTTATGACGCCCAGATGTCGTATGCTTTGTACCCGACAGAAGATACTGCCACGTTTTTGAACAAAAAACTCGGACTTTCAAAAGAATATTTCAGGTAAAAGCAAGCATTCATTGAAATCAGTTAGATTTTATGAAATGAGATGACATGGTCCAGATATAGTCATTGAATTTGGAGTTAAATCATGTGGTTTTGGAGAGAGAAAGTTTTTGGGGCATACCATGCTACTGTAACAGACAGTATGTATATAGGGAACTTACATTGCCTCGTGAGTGAACTAGCTTTTTTTGATGATGCGATATAGTTTCCCTCGAACTGAAGCTACTGCTTATACAAGCCTATATAGCCCTTGGATGAGCGGCAGCTTTGCGCTATAAATATTGGTGGCAACATAGTTACTCTGGTTCTTTGTGACCTGCTTCAGGAAGCTGGATAATCAGAGAGAACAAGTTAGGCTGACTACAGCGCGGAAAGTATATCGGACAGTATATATAGGGATCTTAAATTGCCTAGCAAATGAGCTACTTTTCTGGTGATGCAGTAGAGTCTCCTTCGGTTTTAAACAAGTTAAGCTACGGCAAGTTTTATAAATACTCCACGTTACACTACAAAATATAGGTGTTATAAGTACAAAAACAGACAAGAAGTGCGGTAACAATTAACTTAGTACAAACACGTACTGCAGTATAACGATACCTAGCAATTTATCCTAAGAACTAAAGCAAGAAACCAAAAATATTACTCTCCAGCATGATAAATATTATATGAACTTTGTATACCATCTTTCCTATTTTAGTGAAAATTTCGTTGAACTTCACATCCACTTTGATCACCTACAAGTAAGGAGCGTGCAGCAAGTGCCACTGTATACGTCTTATCAGGACATCTTATGTAAGTAACTGGTTACCCATAGTGGAGTAAGTATTCTAAATACAACTGCTAAAATAATCTAAACGTGATGACTCAAAAGTTTTGACATATACATCTGTAAAGGACACCTAGTAAAGTAAAGTAAACGGAGAAACCTTTTTTACGTTATGTTTTTGCCTTTTACTGGCATTTAGGACGGCGAGAAAGCCTTTCCGTGAGTTTGGCATTTTTTTTTATTCCCATGTGTTCATTTATGGGTCTTCCACACAACTGACGACATGCACAACTTCGTTTTCATTATGGATTTTTTTTTCATTTATCGACAAACCCAGTCCATCTCCAACTTCATTTCAGCTGGATAATCCACGGAAAATATATTATTTGGTTTTGTTTCCATGTCGTTTGATTCTTTTTTTTTTAGATTTGTGTGTGAAATCGCATTTTAAAATAATCCACAAACTGAATTTGTTGTATATGTCTTTCTTTGCAGCCAGTATTGGAGGACAGATGGGGCTGTTGCTGGGAGCCAGTCTTTTGTCACTACTTGAAATTGTTGAATTTATCCTAAACTGTGCAATTTTCCTTTTGAGAAAGTTTTATTACAAAGCTCATAACAACAAAGTGAACAAAGAAAAAATTTCAGAGGATGAAAAAGTAAAAAAATAGAGAAAAGGATTCATCAATGGAATATATTTTAAAGTACTTTTGACATGCACCTACACTCTAGATATGAATGTGCTACCAATACCAAAAGGACCCACAGTTCAATCATGATTTTTTCTTGCTTTCATCACGAATAAACAAAGTTTTAAAAAATGCATCACACAGCATTAGAACCGACTCTAACACAAAACATGAAGACTGCTCTGTTTGTACATGTTTATTTTTGTCAGAATATTGCTCCTACTCTGTGAAATCTCATCACATAGTGAAGTCCCACAGTACACACAAAATATAACAGTAACAATACACAGTCACATAATAAAATCAAGTCCTTCAACAGACCACAAGGTTAGTCACGCAGTGTACAAATCCATACACATCCCCATCTCCATGTTTTGAATGAATTTTTCTGTTAAAGTTTTGGGTATTGGACAGAGAAGTCACTCTCTATTTTACACAGAACTTTCTATAAATCACACCCCTCTCCATCTGATGTACAGAATTAAGTAGATGTTCAAATATGGGCATGCTTAAAGTCGTATACAAACACCTCTAAGTCACATTTCATTCCATACTTACAAGACTTGATCTCAGATGACATTAATTTTACAGTTAAAGACAAATTCATAAAACACCAGACATAGGATGGCAAGCTATATATATATATAGATACACAATGAAGCAGAACATTGCACATAAGGACCCTGGAATTTGTTCACTCCACCACAATAAATAATGTCTGTCAAAAAAAAAAAAAAAAACTCAACCTGAGGAAATATATCAAATAAATTACAAATATGACAAAAATAGCTGTAATAGATTGGTTAAAGTCAGGAATGAATGCTGTAAAATTTTATATGAACTAGTCAATAAAATATATGTGATGTTTATAAAAAAAAAAAAGAGACTTAATATTTATAGCAAGTTGCATTTTTAGGTTAATTAATTCACATGTTACTACATTACTATAGGTATTAAACAGAGATTACTACATATATCAGCATTCAATAAGTAATTCCTACACATATGATCAAAATCTCCATAATATCAACAATTACATCACACTTTTTATAAACTGATAATAATGAAAAATATTCCCTTAAAAATATCTACTGCATGTACTTTTCAATTTTTATACCAAAGAGAAAAAGAAATACTTATTCAATGTTTGGTTTACTGAAACAGATTACCTGCTACTTAAAATATCACTGACAGAATTATCAAGTGTCTGTATCATAGAGGGGAATTAATTACATTATACAAGAGAAGCAACATAACACTGAATTATATCTACTGGATCTGACTAATTTAAGCAGGGCATTGAAACCATATCCTATCTATAAACACAAAGTACAAAATTGAATGCATAGATTTTATATCGTCTTCAGCCAAAGACTATAAATGCTTCTGAGCATTTTTATTATCAGAGACAGAAGTTAAATCATTTCCAATGCAATGCACACATATGCAACTAAGTACAAGGTATATACAGTAAAAACAGAGAAAAAAAATTATGCTATTAATTACAAGGGAGTTTGCAACTGCAATGCCCCCAATGGTGGCAAATTCATATCTGAAATTTGATCTTTGCCAAATATGAAATTTTGACCTGTGCTTTATCAGCATTTGGTCTGCACCCTCATTTAACAGACACTGAAAGCAACACTGCACTCTCTATTTCCTAGTGTGTGTGTGTGTTTGTGTGTGGAAAGAACGGTAAAAAATACTTCCACTGACAGTAAGAAAGCAGTATACCAACATTTGAAAACAACCATGAAACTTAATGATCTTTAAATAAACAACAAAGAATCTAAAGCTGCATTAAGCAGAAATTCAACCAAAAACCACTAAAACAGCAACATTTTTATCTTGTTTGGGTGTTCAGAGGAAAGTCTTTGTGAAACTCATATTTAGTTAATGTCTATTTAATAAATTATATTTAGGAAAATTTTATTTGGATCTCCAAATAAAGCATTGCCCTGATAAGAAACAAGGAACAAAATGCAGGATCAAGGTTAAAGTTACAGACTTACAAATTAAAAAACAATTATGATACTTCTGAATTTTGTAAGCATACAAAATCCTGGAATTAACTAAATAATTTAGGTACTATTAAATTACTTTTAAAATTGTTATTTTTCTCTTTGTTCATATGTAAAATATGTTGTAGTATATATTCATAATTCCTACAGTAACTTTAAAAAGAAGTAATGCATCTCTTAAAACTAAATATTCTAGAATACTAAGTCTCTAAACCTATCAGGATTTTCCATCAAATATATGATAATAATACTGTTTTAAGCCAAGTTTCATTATTAACACATGTAAGAGGAATACTAGGTGCTGAAATGAAATAAAATATGATCAAACAAGCTACATGTATTAAACAGTTTTAGGTGTAAACAATAAATGGTGAACATACAGAAAGCTTGACAATTTAGACATAGTGTAGAGGCAACAGAGTGAAACAAGTGTAAACGGTAAGCAGAGTGTAAAGATTACAGTGTAAACATAGCATAAACATTACAATGTAAACACTAGGAATGTTAACTCAGTGAGACAGAAATTTTTAATCCTTGAAAAACTAAGTTGGCTGCAAAGTTGGCCCTCATCTTTGAAATTAACTAACCTTCTTATCTGTAATCAAAATTAAAACAAACCATACTTAAATACAATCCTTGTGACAAAGATTGTTTAGAGTACAAGTAATTACCAAACAATTTACATATTACTAAAAAAATCTTGTTCCTAACAATTTATATACATCATCATATGGACATGTAAAAGTTATGGTTTGAAATCCAAGTAAATAAACAAAATATTAACTACTATACATCACACTGACTATTGCATTCATTTTCTGTAAGTCAACACTTAAAACAGTGGCCTTCAGTCATGTGACTGATCACATGACCCAAAGTTATTCCCCTTTCTAACTCCCACCATGTCCAGCATAGTGAATCACAACTTGAGAAATCCATGACAATATGATGTAGATGAGTATGTACAGATGTTTATATCTCTTGGGGGTGACATCCTGGTGGTCAGAAATTAAGGCCACTGTGGGGGCTGGGTCAGTCTACAAACTCTACATAGTTCTCAGGGATCAATCCCCGCTTCCCATTTAATGACCCCTCCAACCAGCCTGGCTCCTTGGATTCTCTCACTGTAAAAAAAGGCAAAATAAATGCATCCTCACAGTTATCTCATCTTGACACTTAGTTATCAATTTTGCAAAAATATGGAATGAAAGAATGGGGGCATACAGGAGAGGACAATCCCCTACTCTGAGAAAAGATATTTCTCCATTTTCAGAGTTCAATGAAAAGTAATTTTTTTCAGAAAAATCAAATGTGTTACTTTTTTTTTTTTTTTTTTTTTTTTAAAAATGTGTTATCAGTAATGTCATCTTTGTCACAAATGATTCCTTTATTTTATTAAATTACTTACCGATTGATAGTTTGTTGTTTTTTTTTTGTTTGTTTGTTTGTTTTTTTTTTGGTTATGCTTTAGGTATGTGAAAAGGAAAAAAAGAAACCCTCATACAATTTAAACTTGATCTCTCCAAAGCGCATGGTATGGGGAAATGATCTAAACCCATTAACCACTACACTACACAGTCTTCTCATTAATGAATTTGGCTTAGGTATATGAGTTTACTGAAGCATATTTTTTTTCAGAAAAGTTTAATTTTCATATTGAATGGGTTCAAATTATACTTTTGTTAAAACATGAAATAGATTTTACTTTCACTTTCCTGTCATCTAAATGTGAAGGCAGAATAGAGACTTGGTCCTTTCTTATTCAAAAATCTTCTGGGTTTTTTTTTTTTTTTTTGGCTTTTATGGACCCATTTTCCACTAAATAAGCCTAATTGTCAAATTAAAAACAAATTATCAATTAATAAATTATTCAATAAAATGAAAGATGACATTGCTGATAACACAATTTTTCAAAGTACCGGGTATATCTTTTCCATGAACTTTGAAAATTGAGCAATATGTTGTCTCAAAGTGGGGGATTATCCTTGCCCTGTAGACCCTCATTCTTTTTAAAGACGTATGTAATACTCTGAAGAAAAATAAACCATTTGTTTGTGAATGGAAATTTAGTAAATTCTATGATTTTTTAAAATATGAATTGACAGGTTTACTTAGTAATTTGTGGAAGCCTGTGGTGACTCAAGAATTGCAATATTAAATTTATGGTTTGAATTTTTTTTTACTGGTTTGAATTACAAAGTATTTCAGAGACATATTCAAAACATATCCCATTATTCCAGTGCAGGCATTAAAACATTCTGCAAATCAAGCCTAAAACTTGGTTTGACTTTAAAGAACAAAAATCAATCCATTTACAGTAGTAATGAAGAGAAACCATTATGTATGTATTGTACACATAATTTGAAACTTACCATTCTGGATGATGACATTTGGCTCAAAAGACAGTTCTGATTCATTGTCAGCCAAGCACTGGTAAAGTGTTCTAGCTGTCCTGTAACCAAAGGAATGTCAGTATCATGTCATTATATGTAAAAGAATGTGGGTGGAGAGATGAAAATACTTGCCTCTTTTTGGTTTTGTTGACATTGTTGGAGTTTCCTACTACTGGTAAGCTACCTGACAGACTACTGGTCATACTGGGAGCAGAGGAAGTCCTGAAAATAACCAACACAGCACCTCAAATTAGAACCTGTATCAGTTCTTATAAAGAAGAATTACTCCCATTATTTCTCATTTGTCTGGTTTAATTGTTCAAAATTGAAATAAACTTCACTTTGCATTGAATATATTTATAAACATTGATTGTAGATGAACTCAATTACTAAGATATTGAGGTGGAAAAAACGACAATATATGAAGAATTTTACAAATTCTTGGGACATACACAAATCAGTAAATCAGTTAGGAAAGATGTTGGTATAGAATGAAAAAAAAGGATTGTTAATAAACATGCAGAACCACAGGGATAAAAGAAAATCACTGATACACAAAGACATACTTAATACCAACAGAAACCTGGGGTGTTTAATGTGAATACATTGGTTAAAATACACTGAATAAACTTTACTTTTGAACATAATTCCTCTGTGAAAAAAAATGAATATGTCTATTATTACAGATATAATCATGGAAAACTATAGTCATAATGCATAGGGTAGACTATATACTTCTATTCCTTTGTATCCCAGGGTAATATCTAGTATCTAACAGGTGCATGCATATATATGCATATATATATAAATAACTGCAAATGTGAAGAAAAATAACACTTTACACAGTGGGGAAAATTCAGAATTATCACATGTACATGTATTTCCAACAAGTGACACAAAGGTTACATGCAAGAGGTACACTGATTGGTTAATATACATAACACTGAATAGCTACAAGTAAAAGTGGTACTGGTTGGTTATATGTGGCAGGGGTTAGCTTACATTGATGCTGCATAGGAAGAATCATTGGACCCACGTTTCTTGATGCTTCCACTACGCAAAACAAACAAAATGTTCTTTCATGTCCAAGCAACAGCATGATGCAAAATGAATTAATCCTAGACTGCGAGTGGGGGGCTTTAAATACTAATAGTGAAGCACATAAGCATTGGTTGCAAAACTTTCCAGGTGGAATTATCAACATGCTCAATATGCCACATGAGTCCAATGTGCAAATAAATTTCAAATCTTTACTTTATATGTACATCACTACATGTATATATCCATGAACTGAATTTTTGCATTGAGCATTGATAATTTTTGTTTGCTCTGATTGACAAAAACATTTTAACAAGAGGCTCAAGGATTTTTATGGTCACCTGAGTATAATACAACACTGTAAAGGATCCGTAAAAGTATAAAATAAAACAAAATAAATTGATAGATAAAGAAATGTTGCCCGAAAAGTATACAACAAAACAAAATTAATCGAGATATACCCAAAATCAAGTGAATTCTGATGATCAGGGATCAACAAAATAGTTAATCTAGACTAGTACTCATTAACAAATCATAAAATAGATATATTTACTTGCTTGTATTTGCCAGTGTCAATAAACCCCCATTTGTCACTATCACCATACAGACTAGACAAAAAATAGTGCTGGGGCACATATAATAAACACATCCCATTACCTCTCACATTGGCTTCTCTTGGTCTTTGAAGAACATTTAATGTACAAAAATAAAGTGTTATTGTCTCATTTTTATTTGTTTTTTTTTTTTTTGTTTGTTTTTTTTAAAACAATTTTACTTGACCGTCGAAAACTATGAAAGCACTTTTTGTATTATACATTATATATCTCGTACAATTCTTTTTTCCAACTGTCAATTACTTTATTTATAGTCATAAATTATCATAGGTGAATAGCAAAGCAGAGTAACTTTTCAGTAGAGTGTAAAAAACCTTACAGTCCAGAATTTTACTAGTAAATCTAGTAAAAATTACCCTTGCTCATAACAACTTTGTACTGTTTACCTCCTAGATACCCAGGGGCAGTGAAGAAGATTTTCAAACCATAAATTCATTTTTCACTTTATAATTCATAGAGCCTCGCCCTAACACCAGAAACCCTGATCAAGGGTCTGTGAATTTTGCAATTTTGGAAGAGACAACCTTGCTTATTACAACCATGCAATTAGTTTATCTACTAAAAATTTTCAAAAAATTGATGCATTTTTACTATATAATCAAGAGCCCCACCCTAACACCAGAACCCATGACCCAGGGGTTATGAATTGCTCAATTTTGGAAGAGGCACTCTTGATTATCATAACTTAGTTTGCTTGCTTAATAAACAGGGGCAAAGAAGATTTTTCAAAGAAATAATACATTTTCAATATGTAATCAATAGAGTCCTGTTCCACATGTTCTAAGAACAGAACCCCTGACCTGGGGGCCAGGAATTTCACAATTTTGGAAAAGAAACTCGTTCATCATAGCAATGCATTTAGTTTCTGCTAAATATACACTGGGAGAGAAGAACCTTTAAAAAGAATTTAAGCATTTTCACTATATGATTGATAGTTGATTGATTTTATGTTGTTTTATGTCCCGTTCCAGAATTTTTCACTTATACATATAGAAGTCACCTTATACCGGTTAAGGGCTTCAAATTTAGAAATTTACTTGGCACTCAGGGCAGTGAGGGTTCTTTATTGTGCCAATGCCTACTGTGATACAGGGTCTCGTTTTTTTAGGTCTCATCCAAATGACCAGCAACTTGCACTTCAAAGTGTCCATTCTTGGTGAAGGAACAGTTGCTACCTATTTTTTATCGACTTAGGTCAGTCACGGCCATGATTCAAACACGTGACCCTCCGATCACGGAGCTAGCACTCTACCAACTGATCTACTGTGACGGTGATATGATTAATAGAGCCTTATACTAACTCCTGAACCCCTTTTCCTGGGCCAATGAAATTCACAACTTTGGTAAAGCACTCATTGCTTGTTATAATCATGAAAACAGTTTGACTGCTTGACGTCCAGAAGTAAAGAAGAGGATTTTTGAATCTGTATTAATTTTGATGGTTTGGCCCCACCCCTCAGACCCAAGAAGACAGGGACCATGAAATACCCCCCCCCCCTTTCTCCTTTTGGCCCAGGATGCTCTATACCAAATTGGTTGAAATTGGATTACCGGTACCAATTCTTGAGAAAAAGCTGATAATGTTCATTGGTTTATGAGTGACAGATGACGAACAATGACGGACAAAAAACAAATAGCAATAGGTTACCTGAGTGACTCAGGTGACCTTCCTTAGGTGACCTTGAAACCAATAAAATATATTCAATATTTAAATTTTACAAAAAAGATAGTGGAGAAGAAATTTTAAACAAGAGAAAAAAAACAACAGTTAATTTCTGTTTCAAGGCAAAACAGTATGTTATTAAACCAATGTGACACCATTCAGGAAGTGGGTTGACAGTACGTGCTGTGAAACCAGGAAGTGTGCAGTAGGGCGAGGTTAGTAATCAATCATGGGATGCAAGGGATTTCTTTTCTCTGTCAAATACTTCATAGTATCAAAAATTAAAGCTGAGAATTCTCTTCATTCTTTTGTTATGACAACAGCCTTGAGAAATTCTCCAGATAGAATTTCACTCAAACACACCTTTCATTAAGAAAACATACATGTAACATCCTGTTATTCTAATGTCATTCACATACGGATTTTATCATAGTCAAAGTCATCAAATTCACATTGGCATTCATTCTGCTATATACCTCTCAAACATTTTGGTTTTGGATGAAATCCACAGAGATCTGCGTAGTGACTGGTCACTGAGAGATAATAAAAGGATTACAGCACAGAAAAATCATTGCCACCTTCACCCTTCTGTGATCAGGGCCATAATTTCCAATTCACATAGTATACATGTCAGAAATTAAAGAAAATCCTCTCCCCAATACACTTAAATTTCTAGCTTGTTTATGGAATGCTGTCTTCAACTCATCCTGAAATGCTATCAGCCACTTAAGAGGTAGTATGATCAGTATAAAGCTATTCTGTATTCGGAGGGACAACAGAAAGAGTGCCTTAAGGTAAACATTTCTGTGTTTAATCACAGGGTTTGGGGGGCATTTATAACATTACAAAGGTAAGATTAAATACTTACAAAGTAGGAACCTCTGATCCTGAAATGTCATTCATAAACTTGTTTGCTGTAATGAAAAGGTTCATAAACCATTTTATTTTTTTCTCACTTGGACTAGACAAGTTTCACTGTACACAGGGAAAAGTGGCTTACATAATATTCATGTGATTACCTTTAATTTGAAAATTATGTGAAAATCATGTAAAAATTATATAGGGTGAGTTAACCATGCATCGGACACATACCTTGCTTCAGACAACTTTAAGCAATAAACTTTCATTGAACCTGAGTCTCCCCGTGTTTTTACTTGTTTCTGTCTTTTCGGTGAAGATTTAAACTTTTTAATGATGCCAATTTTTATTTTCATGTTGTGATAAAAATACCACAAGAATGGCCTTGAAATTATGTCATATTTTGCATCATCAAAGGGGAGTAACCAGAATTTTACCATTTTGCAATTTTTAGAGTTGTCGCTCTTTTAAATAGATTTCAACGGAACGAGTCGGACCTAGGTAAAATTTGTCAATGATTGATAATTTTACAGAATTTTTTCAAAAATTTTACTTCAATGTTTGTACAATAATTTTTAGAGTTGTTTTTACTAGAACATTTATTTCACCGTACATCGGACACAAATTAACCATGCATCGGACACTTTCCGATGCATGGGTAATCACTTCCATTTTCATATAAAACCCAAATGACAGCTGTTTCTTACGGAAATAGAAAATAAAAACTCTGAATTTTAAGTGAAAATACAAGTTATCGATATATGACGACTAGAAGTGGACTCAATTTATTTCTGTAAACTAGATGATGATAACCCATGAGACAAAGGCGCGAGTTGCCATATTACTAGCATTGTAAAGCCTTTCTAAGGCGATGTGATGCACCTAAAATCTCTTCACATTTGTGGATCGAAATAGTCATTCAAATTTAACTAGAAGTTTAATTTTTTAATAAAAGATAAAAATGTTTTAATATCAATAATTTTAAAGCACCAAGATAAAGGTATGATATTTTTCTGGTTTAAATACCGTAAGTCCGATGCATGGTGAATATTGTCCGATCCATGGTGAATTCTGACTTATTTCGAAAAAATCGGGTTTTAATGATATTTTCTCAATAAATAGCAAATGATTGTGTCAAAAATTTATATTTTGACCACATTCTACATATTAAGTTCCATTTTGATAATATTCGGTTGGTAGCAATACCGCTAGAACTTGAAGTGCGAGGGTGTCCGATGCATGGTGAATTCACCCTTCATGTAAATATATTTTCATGTGAATATCATGTGAATAAGTTTGTATGATATTCACATAAATTTTTCTTTGCACGATTTTTTTGCAATATGCTCTTCATGTAAAATTCATATGAAAGTTATGTCAAAATGGGTTGAAGTTTTCACACAAATTTCACATCTTGTTTTTCGTCTCTTTCTCATGCAAAGAATTCACATGATTTTCATATGAATTAAATTTATGCAAGACACTCTTGCCTGTGTATACACATATTAACTCTGATAATGTATGTACACCAGTGTTGTGATATATTTTACTGTCTCACCTAATCCAGATACATTGCTGTACTGAGTGTTTCCAGGGATCGCTGGAGCAGGGTGTTTCTTATGACTATCAAACTGCGGAAGGGGGGATGACATTGCTGAGGCACTGTTAGACAGGCTCGAGTTCAGGGACTCGGAACTGTCACTACTACTTCCATGAGTCTCAAAACCTGAAAACAAAAAATGTAGATCCCACATATGATATTGGGTGCAATGAAAAACTGATGGCTACATCATTTAAAATTTAAAAAAATTAATTCTATCAAAATTCTGTTTTACTTATTCTGAATATCAAATCAATCTTTTTAACTAAGATCAATACAGGCTTATGTAAAAGGGGGAGAAACACCACCACCACTGTCAGTGCAGATCTTTACAAAGGACTGAGGAAACTGTCCCAGTAAACCAAATTTCTTTTTTTGAGTAAGAAACCTTTTGGAGTATGAAAAACTTGAAAAATTTATAGTAAATAATGCATTAGGTACAAAGTTTTGTATCAACCTTTCTGTGTATTTACATGAAGACATACTGTATTTTACCATGTATTTTGTACGTAGTTTTTAATCTTAAAACAGCAGTCAATCTATTTCTTTTACCATAAAAAATTCAAAGTTGTAGATAAAATACAATTTGCGTTTACTGCATTTCTTTAAAAATTGTTTTCAAATTACTTTTGGTATCAGGATTGTAAATGTCCACTGATCTGAGTTTGGGTTTCTGAACATAGGTGGTGGGGACACTGGGAACAGGAGGGGCTTTGTTTATGTAGAGGGGCTGCTGGCTTTGACTAGATACATCTAATGAGGTGTGGTTGACCCCGGGAGTAAATTTATCAGTCACTGAGGCACTAGGGAGAGCACAGCGGATCTCACTGGGATCCGCATCTTCTGGTGGGGTCTTGAAAATCTACAAACAATAATGAATGAATGAATATTACAAGCAACTTAACAATAGGAACATGTACTTGTTCAAAACATATTTCTGAATTACCAATCTTTGTTAAATATATAAGCATATTGTACAGGAATGTCTAGTAAGGAAACCTAAAGATGACATACTCTTTCATAATTGTTGATGAGAATCTCTACAATGATGTTGAGGAACTTAATGTCCATAATGGCCGCCACAGATTCTTCCTCTGCCCTCATTAGTGTAGGACCAAAACAAACCCCAAGGTTAGCTACAGTCATCAAATTCTTATCCTGGAACTCTGCTATTCTGAAAACACAATACCAGTCTAGGTGAAAAAAAAGTTCTTATATACATTTATACATATACAACAAATAGAATTATAAACATTCACTCTGAACAAAGCTTTAGGTAAAGATAAAATCTTGTCTTTCCTGCTCCCCTGCATTGATTAATTACCTGTCTATAAATCAGAATTTGTACAACTAAACATGTGCTGGTATAACTTTATATATATATATATATATATATATATATATATATATATATATATATATATATATATATATATGCAGTACATACTTCCTTAAATGGTCAATCAAAATGTCGAGCATTTCAAAGTTTGCCTGTGGCAGTCTGTGGATTAAGGTGTGGAGGTCATGGATACGCAAAGTTTTTGACTCTCGTTCTAAAAATAAAAATCAAATATTGTAAAGAATTTCAGACACAAATAAAAAACTTCACTTTGTAGGTCTTGTTTCTAAATACTGTAACTCTACCGAGATCATGTAATTATGAAACATTTTTCATCATGAAATATTAAATTTAAATTTTCACAAAGAATTGATCTGTAATCTTTTAATCATAATATACTGATGACATCCTCGCAAGCCAGGGGTCCTGAGTCAACACGTTGCCGTTGGACCCCTGGCATATTTCATTCAATATTCCTGGGCTTGCTTCTCTCATTGAGAAGCACCAATCAAATTAAAGCTTTCATAAATAGTTAGATAAGGATTCAGTTGACACCTCAAATGCACGTGTTACAAGTTGTTTATCATAGAATGGCTTAATGTGATTGGTTGAGAGATAAGAAAAACAATCAAGATTTGTAAATTTTCCAAAAGATGTCGCTACATTCAGCCCACAAATATTGAATGAAATATGCCAAGGGGTCCAACGTCAACGTGTTGACTCAGGACCCCTGGCTTGCGAGGATGACTGATGAAGGTACCACATATTTTTATTAATCATATTCATATGTATCACAAACACCTCTGTAAGAAAAACAAACTCCAATAGGTACATTTTCTTTTTAAGTTATAATTTAATTCCTTGAGGTCATCAGATGAACTCATCAGGTCAGAGTTTATTTAAATAAGTAATGAAATCTTATTTACAACTCAATTTTTCTATTAAAATTTCAAAAATTGCAAGAAGATTTATATTATCTAAATAAATTTTAAGGTATGATTTTGAAGAGGATCAAAGAATTCTTTCATCTTTAAGTGTGGGGAGATATTTGGTATTTACATGTCACCATCCAAGTAATGAACTTTATGAATTGAGATGAAAGAATGGGTGATGGATGGTGGTAGGGAGGGAGTAAAATGTAGATGTCAATACACATTATATTGGTAAGCATGTTTAATAGTAAAAGAGAGGGCAAATTGTAGTAAGCAGTTCTCAAAAGCCACAGGTGATGCTTCAAAATTAAGCAATGCATTTATTCTTCACTGTGTCAAATCATAAAATTCATGTATAAAACCCCTAAACATTTCAATTCAAGAGACCCATGGGCCACAAAGCTCACATGAGTAACTTTGTCCTGTTGTTCATGAGATTTTTTTCCTTTTTATTGACATGTAAAACTTTAACTTTTGTCCCTAAGGCATTGACTTCATCAATCATGAATATACAATACATGGGGATGGTTGCATATCAATAGGACCAATTGCTGCTTCATTGTTCTTCATTAGATTTTGAAACAATATTTGGATGTTTGTTTACTGATATGACTAACTGTGACAGTTCTTTTCCTGAGAAGAAGAAGGTTAAATGTATTACTATGACCCCTTTTTTGGCCCAACCCTTAGCCCTAATGGTCCTGATTTGAGAAAACTAGAATCTACACTACATTAGAAAGATTTCATACAATTTTTATAAGAAGTTTTTAAGACTTTCCCCTATATTTTCCCGGTAGATAGACATCTCAGCCCAACAACACCTCGGCCCGTGACGTCTGACACCTCGGCCCTGACAGGTCGTCCCAAGATTTTTGACACGTCGGCCCATATAAAAGACACCTCGGCCCAAGCGAAATTTTATGATGGAAAAAATTAATCCATGGTCTGAATTGTTATTATTATCGATGTTATTATTCTTTTTGACGGTTCAATGATTTTTAAAATAAAAGTCAAGGGGGTGGGGGTCTATAATAGAAAATTGGTTCACTTTCCTAAGCAAATCAGATCAGCACGTTAACTAACATCTATCTCTTGTGGAAAATCCCCAATATATACACTTAAGTGAAACTATGATATATATCAACATTCTTATGATCTTGACTTTCTATAAGATTTGCCGAAATTTTTTCGTTTCATTTTGCATCACTTCTCTGACGATCTGAAACATCTGAGATGGGTTGATAATTCGTGAAAAGATATATATGGACTTCATTCAAACAGTAACTTTTTTGTAAATGCAAGAATTTAATAATTGCAGCTATATTGCAGGAAAATTGCATAAATCGGATAAACGAAGAAATTCTGCTATATGGTTGCGGTCGTTAATCTTGCATTAACAAAAAAAAAAAGGAAGGACATTTTATTGTATATACTTAAGTCAGTATAGATAATCGTATAAAATAATAGTTTAAGTGCGTAAAATAATTGCATTATTGATCTGAACTTCGTGTGTTTCATCATGTTCATTGATTGAAAATCATAGTTTGATACAGATAGCTTAAAATATATTTTTTTAAAAAATCAGGGCTCAAACTAGTTTTAAATGTAAGTGAAATTCTTAAAATATAAATGGATGTAAATGTTCTGAATGACTGTCTCACAATTAACAGATTAAGCCTGCTCATAATTATTCCCTTAATGACACCAATATGACATGCACTGGAGACTCCCAAAGGAAGCGCCGCGGCATCTTGTTTGTTTATCTGTTATATAATTAATTAGCACTTTTACAATTATAATTGTCTTTTTATTCCTTGATTATCGTCAATCATGTAGCTCGTGGAAGGTCTTTTTATTACTAGAAATAATTCTGATTGTTTACTTTTTTCGGTCAAAATTTTATTGAAATCGCAGATAGGAAATATATAATACTTTCTAATAAAAGTTTGCTTGGGCCGAGGTGTCTTATGTATGGGCCGAGGTGTCTTAAATTTTGGGCCGACCAGTCAAAGCCGAGGTGTCATTGGGCCGAGGTGTCAATGGGCCGAGGTGTCGTTGGGCCGAGGTGTCTGACATTCATTTTCCCATGCCATACATTGACCTCTTTGAATACCCATCCTCATCCCCAAGGGCTATATTCATATCTATTCTAACATGTTTTCATTGAACATGTGATTTCTATATTATTAAGTTTGTTAAATAAGTTACAGGTAGTTATACTGTATGGCTGGTTCTGTACAGCATGTCTAGCATGCTCTGTGTCTCAGCCATTCAGGACTTTGTTTAACCCATCCACCCTCCCTCTGCATGCACATAGATGTTAGATGTTAATTATGAATGTGATATCAAGTTATCATGGTAGATACTGTTTCTTTTCAAAGCAGCAAGGCAGATAATCGCATGTTTCATATATTTTGTATCAATAAATGCACAAGTCTTGAAGCAATTAAACACAAATGGTGTTGTAATGATTTTGAATCAAGGAAGTAAATATTTTATGTTCCCTTAAGATTGGGTCAAATTAAAACATAATTTCACACATTTGAATCTACACTCATTACAAAAGCTCTCTAGCAAGATTCATCTCTTCTGGTCCAGTTGTTCTTCAGGAAAAGATTGATAAGTAATACCAGCTTACTGTCACTATTTATAAAATGGTCTCCCCTTGATAAAGGGGCATGACCATGACCCCTCACCTAAAGAGATTGCTTGAAATTGATTGGTTCAAGAGATGAAGTAAAAAATATAACAAGGAACAAAACACAGACAAACTTTGATCAGGAAAGCTGGCTTAATCTTTCAGCTCAGGTGAGCTAATCAAAATATTGAAATAAAAACAGTGTTATCCCCATTCCCATAAACTATAAAACCATTATCAGTACTATGATTGTCATCTCAAACTACATTATTCTACCAAAGACTCCTTGTTAAGTGCTAATAAACCCGAACATGTAGAAGTTAAATATTTAGAGATAGAAAACCAGCACTAGATGCCTATAAATTTACCTTCTGAACCACGACATTCTGAAATCATACAGAACGCATTTAACATTTTGCTGGATAATGAAATTGAAAGGGATGGATTCCCTCCCTTTCAGAGTAACACTTTTGTACTTACTGGCAGCCTGTATCAATGGTTTGTGTAGTTTGAAAGTCATTAATGGTTCTGGCAGTGATCTGAAATGGAAAATTCAATAAACCAGAATTAAACTTCAAATAAACATTAGTGTGGATCATTCACTCATAAAACAGAAGGTTCAGACAAACATTAGAGTGGCCATGGATCATTCACTCATAAAACCAGAAAGTTCAAATAAACATTAGAGTGGATCATCCACTAATAAAACTAGAAACTTCAAACAAACATTAGAGTGGATCATTCATTCATAAAACCAGAAAAGTTCAGATAAACATTAGGGTGGATCATTCACTCATACAACCAGAAAGTTTAGATAAACATTAGAGTGGATCATTCACTCATAAAACCAGAAAGTTCAGGCAATCATTAGAGTGACCTACTTTTGAGTCAACATGATATGAAGTCCCAAGCTGCATCAACTGATGAAATTTGATGATCCTATTCCTTATAGTAGGCAAAATATCAGTTTTCATAAAACATCATTCTAGGTCAACTTTGAAGTGACCTGGAGGCCACATCCTTTGCCCCAGGGTGATGCCTTGAATAATTTTTACTCTACAACATATCCTTATACTTATGTGTAAGTTTGGTGATAATCTGTCCAATGGTTTTTGGGGAAATTTTTTTTAGCATCCACTACTATTTATTTTATTTCCTTAATTATCTCCCCTTGTTTAAGGGTCACATCCCTTTTATCAGTATAAATGAAAGCCCTTGGAACAAGGATACTATGTCACAAATTTGACAAAAACTGGCCTAAGTCCTTCTTCAGATATGGTCCCATTGATGCACACTGTTAATCACACACCACACAAATGGTCATAGCATTAGCTTTTTCAGCCTTCAACTTAGAAGAGCTTACAATAAACATATATCCCAGTCTATTAAATATATTTATCTACCTATGTCTTACCTAAGATAATTTTTAACAGCACTTGTTATAGTCTTAATTTCAAACTGGTTTGGGTCACAAATATCAATTTTGTCTCTTTTCTTTGGATCTGCAAGAAATGGAAGAATTTTTATCCAAATTGGCTAGTAAATCTAATCTGAGGAATTCTGTTTACAACTTGTACACCTGTGAATTACCTAAGCCTTGCGACATAAGCTTGTTTACTTTTGAGTTCACTCCAACCAATCTATAAAGGCCTTGCTCTTGTAGTCCTGCAAAGAACATTCATATGTGTATTTCCTCAATATGAAGGTTAAATGTGTAAAATGATCAGCATCAAAAATAATTTGCAAAATTGTAAATACCATTTTTTTTTAATCAATACAATTTTGTATATTATAAACCACAATTTATTTAAGAGAACTTCATGCAGGCCTAATTTAGCATGAATGACTGCTAACCAATATTAAGTTATCAACAGTAACACAGTATCAACAAGTACTATGTATGTATTACTTTTCAAGTAGGCCTTAAAAGTTGTTTCATAATTAATACAATGCTGTTGTCTTCGCACAAGTAGATGAACAAGTTACCGATATATAATATTTTTAAGTTTAACACACAGTTCATATACTTAAGTTTTTTTTTACCATTAATATTGAAAATACATGTACAGTCCTTTTACATGTGTAGTACTGTTCCATATGTTACATCTATTACTAGTATGTTGAGTGTTTATTGACACAAATAGATTTACATTTCCACATACTTTATAGACTAGATAAAATTGATATATCAAGCCAGTATAATTGTAACAATGTGTTATTCGTACCTCTAGATTCCACAGCGGCTATACATCTTTTAATAAAAGAAAATCCTATGTCATCTAATGAAGCTAAAAATGAAAAGAAATGTCAGATAAGATTTTACAGTATTTGTAAATCTTTAAAAGTCATTTTTTTTTCAAATTATTAATGATTCAAACGAATGTAAATTAATTTAGTTTGTGTCTGTAGTACATGTAATTTGTGATCAATATGCAATTTAATGTACCGGTACCAACTTGAAACATAGGTAATCAAAGATTACGAAGCTCACCTCGATGAATGTTATCTACATGTAAGGCAAATTTCACATCATATTTTTTTTCTAGTTAGGGTACATCCCAAGATCAATATCCATGCAAGTTTGATTTAATTATAGACCTGCTCAAAAAACTTTTGACCTGTTTAGTAATCAAGAAAATTTTGGTCACTTCCAACATCCAAAGCAAGTCTGGAAGTTTTCATCCTTAGATGCACCATCTATGCAAGTTTAATCATAACAGGCCATAATATTATATAGCTACTCCAAAAAATTACCCTGGTCACTCATCTGGAAAATGTACATCAGATTCAGAATCCAAGGCAAGTCTGGAAGTGTCCATCCCTAGATACATCATCCATGCTAATTTGGTTAAAATATGGCTAAAATTCACTCATGTGGAAAATCTAGGTCAGATCCAGCATTCGAAGCAGGTTGGTTAGTGTACATCCCTAGATGCATCATCCATGAAAGTTTGGTCCAGGTAGGGCTTATAGTTACTTGGAAACGAGACTACTCCTAAATCTAAACCTGGTCTCACATGTGGAAAATCTAGGTCAGATCCAGCATCCGAAGCAAGTGTGGTAGTGTCCATCCCTGGATGCATCATCCATGCAAGTTTGGTCCAGGTAGGGCTTATAGTTACTTGGGAATGGACCTGCTCCTAAAACTTTAACCTGGTCACTCATCTGGAAAATCTAGGTCAGATCCAGCATCCGAAGCAAGTGTGGTAGTGTCCATCCCTAGATGCATCATCCATGCAAGTTTGGTCCAGGTAGGGCTTATAGTTACTTGGGAATGAACCTGCTCCTTAAACTTAAACCTGGTCACTCATCCGGAAAATCTGGTTCAGATCCAGCATCCGAAGTAAGTGTGGCCATGTCCATCCCTAGATGCATCATCCATGCAAGTTTGGTCCAGGTAGGGCTTATAGTTACTTGGGAATGGACCTGCTCCTAAAACTTTAACCTGGTCACTCATCTGGAAAATCTAGGTCAGATCCAGCATCCGAAGCAAGTGTGGTAGTGTCCATCCCTGGATGCATCATCCATGCAAGTTTGGTCCAGGTAGGGCTTATAGTTACTTGGGAATGGACCTGCTCCTAAAACTTTAACCTGGTCACTCATCTGGAAAATCTAGGTCAGATCCAGCATCCGAAGCAAGTGTGGTAGTGTCCATCCCTAGATGCATCATCCATGCAAGTTTGGTCCAGGTAGGGCTTATAGTTACTTGGGAATGGGACTTGCTCCTAAAACTTTAACCTGGGACGCCGACGCTAACGCCGACGCCGGGGGTATAGCATAAGCTCATCTCGACTTCGTCGAGGTGAGCTAAAAATGAAATATCCAATCAATATGCTACACATGTATTATCAATTACTTTTGCATGCTGTGTTAATACCTCAGACTGGTATCTGAATATAAAAGTTAAGATTAAATCATAGAATTATAAGAATATTTCATACAGTCCTCTGATGAAGTGTTTGGTGTGGTATAAACTGGTTCCCGGCCATCCATAGCATCCATCCACAGCTTCCTGTCATCATCAGACAGTGCCTGAAATGTCAGCATGTCAGGCCTACAAGGACAAAATTATTGTGGTGTTGACAAAAAAACTTCACAACTGAAATAAACAAACTTTACTGTACCTCACATCTATGCTACATAAAGGAATTATTCCCCTCCTAACAACTCACACTAAAATAAACATAATACTGCTACAGATATGGAAAAATTTGATTCATTTTTTTCTCATTATGGCAAGTAAATAACTCTCTTTTGATAATATATAAACAATATATGATTAAAATTATGAATTTCAAAGTGAAAAAAGACTGGTTGTGTAATCTCAATTTTTTCAGTATTCTGTAGTAAGCTGCATTAAACACTGACCTTCCATCCACAGTAATGTCAAAACAGAACCTTTTGTCAATAGTTTGGGAAGCTCGTCTTACACAAGATTTCAGTGTAAACTTTTCTGTAACTGGTTGGCTCTGATAAATAAAAATCATCATTTAATTCCCCCAAAAGCAAAACAAACTGCCATAATGATAAATCATTTCCACAACCATTAAAAGCAATGCAATAACATGACAAGAGGCCCATGGGCTTTGAAAGTCACCTGTGTATCTTGAGTTTTTTTTCACATACTCTCTAAGACACTAATACAGATATTCAATGACTTTATTTTACTTATGGAAAAAGTTATTCGGCTAAGTTCAAAGAGAAGATCTTTAAAAATTGCAAGAATTTTGATGGTTTTCTGTCTGTCACCCTGGGGCAAGTTTCTCCCGTTTTGGTCCTCTTTCTCCATTAATACTGCATAACAAAACTGACTGTTACTTCCCCGGCCATTTCAGAAAAGAAACTGAAATTGTTTGAAAGTTTCCAAACAATGCCCAGTATGTGGAAGGATACTAACAGCTCATCTTGAGTGACCTAAATACATGTATTAGCTGATGTTTTTGTACATACCAGTTTTCCAGTGACTTGATTGTATGGCATCATATGAAATATCTTCCCTTCTTTTTTGTACCAGCAGTAATATTTGGTCCAGGTTGTTCCCATCACCTCTGTAATGATCATCAATCAAGCATTACTTTCATGACTGATTTCACAAGTATAAATATTATGTCATACAAACAAAAATACCATTTACTAAAACTATAGTAAATATTAAGATGTTCAAACAAGATAAGTTTTCTTCTCACTTTTCTCCATTAGGTACAGATATCCCTCCTTTGTACAGCCTTTGTTTGTCTGGGTCACTCCACTAGGTTTCTGCAATGAAAATTGTTATTTGTCAGTGTGTGTTAGGTGAATAACTAAATAACATTGTATTTGTTGTCAAATACAGGTAGGTATTGAAAACACCGTTGGACTTCGGTATCTCAAACACTGATATCTTGAATACCCTGGATATGTTGAAATGATTTGGTAGTCTCAACCACTTATTCTTTAAGTATTTAACTCTTGATATCTCAAATACTCAGATATTTTGAGATTTTTTCTTAATCCCAACTAGTTTGAGATAACAAGGTTTGACTGTACTTGTATTAAACAACATCAGACATCTATAAAGAGAGCAGAATTCCTAATATAATGATTAACCTAAAAATAACAAAGCTCTCTACATATAGGTGGTAAAAGTCAATAATGATTTATCTACAAATGACACTTGTTAATTCTACACCTTTTAAGCAGAATGGCTACAATTATAAACAAGAACCATCACCCTAGTAGCACAAATTAAAAAGAATAGCAGTTCTATTACAAAAGCACTTTAATACGTCTACATGTATTTCAAGAATTAAAGCCCTTAGTAACTATTCGACAAACACATGTACATAAGTTGTATTTCATTTCATAAAAATTTCCTGGGAAAAAATAATTAACCAAAAGTCTGATGAAACTGAATTCTACTGATCTGTACCTAAAATAATGGAGAAGAAAAGTTGCAGTTTCACATTTCAACAATTGTTGGCTAGTTTTACATTTACAGAAGTTTTATTGAAATCGGATCAAAACTGTAGATGGAGTGGGAAAAAATTCAACTCATAATTCTGTTTTTAATGCACAAGGCAACATTATTCATTGAAATCAAAAGCCAAAGGAAGGAATTGTATACCTTTGCTTAGTGTACCTGTGTACCAAATTTGATTAAATCAGACCAAAAACCTAATAGTAGCATTTAAAAGAATTTCAAAGAAATTTCTATTTTTAATTACCAGGGCAACATTCTTCATCAAACTCAAGAGCCAACATATCATGGTATGGTCAATAATTAATTGCATGCCAAAACTGTATGAAGAACTTTGATTTGGAAGAATTTACAGAAAATTCTATTTTAAGTAACCATGGCAATCATGGTAATCATGGCATTGAAATCAGGTCAAAACTGTAAGAGCTTTAACATTTTGAAAAATTGTTTACAGACAAATATCCAGAAGATTGACAGTGGATGGACACTTCACCATTAAAAAATCTCTCTTCAGTAGAGGAAAAATGGAGAAAAGCAAATTCCAAAATCAACAAATGCACTGGCAATGAACTAATGATTCTAATAAAATACTGATAAGTAACCCCAAAGCCAGAACTGCTGAAATCCAGTGTAAGGTCAATTGTACATATATATGTATTAGCATCATTTAATCTAACCTATTCATTGATTCTTTTATTAACAAAGGAAAATATATCTCTCCAAAAAAATGTTATGGCCCAGTGTGCAGTGTGCTTAAAGTACTCACCCAAAGTATGGACTAAAAAAGGTCAATTATACAGCTGACCAGTGTAAAAATTATTATGAGAGAGAGCTGAAGTGCATCTGTTCAATTCACAAAGTAACAACAAAAACAAGCTAACAAGTCCAGAGTTTTTAGGAAGCAAAGAACTAGAGTATCAATTTCTTTAAAATAAAACTTGTAAAACAGTCATTTTGTCTGTAAGCTTCAAAACAAATATAGACTTTTTCTAAGTACATATTTGTATAAGTGAAGGTGTCCGACCCATAATAGCCTCAGATAAAATTGAATGCATAACAGATATGTATGGGCTGAATACTCTATATTTAGAAATAATTTTCATGTTTTAGTACTATTATGTAAGAGAGGAATGTGTCCTAATTTATGTCCTTGAAGAGTTATTTCCCCTTGCTTTTAATAAAAATCTATCTGGTAAAAAAAATTAGTTGTCAATCCTTTTTCAACTCATAATAGTTAAAATACTTCCTTTAACCATAGCATTTATTAATATTCTTAGTATTTAAATTTTTATTTTCAAAAATCTGCTTGTCCCCATAGACGTCAATGCAATCTTCATTGATTAATTATTACTTAATACATTTTTGAAAATTTCTCTTGCTAAATCCTTTTTCTACTCTAAAATGCTTTGAATTAATAGTAGAGTATTTTATACATGATGGATGTTTAAGGTTAGAAAATTGTGTCCTAATATGGGTGGATACCTTTAAGTAAAACAAAAATATTTAGAGCATTATCATCAAAGAGAAAAATCTATCAGGTACATTTGTATTACATATTTCCAAACATATGTAGTAAAATCATAAACTAGTCTGATATGTTACAGACTGAATGATGATACTAATTTTGGCACATGCATAGAAAAATAAAAAATTTTGGTGTGTTGAAATAAATACCATTTCCATTGCATTTTCCTGTCAATAAATAAATGTTTTCCATAACCAACTATTCAATGTATAGTACTAAACTTGTAATAAATGCATGTGTCAGTCTTGGCTATATGTTTGTGGGTCAGGTTTACACAGTAAGGCACAATCTTCTCCATGATAATCTACTCACTCGATTGTCCAACATCTTAAACATCAAAGTCTCTGTGTACTCCTTTTGACTTTCAAAACTCTCCCGTGTCTGAAAGAAAATAATTCTTTTATAAAATATGTATATGAACACAATGTGTTTTAGTTGAACATTTTTACAATTAATTTTGTATGTTTTACCTTCTGAAGGATTTTCTGGAGATGCATAGAAGACTCTTTGAGCTCATTACTGGCATCAAAACCTATATAACGATTAATCAAAATACAATGTCATTGCAATACATACAAACATAACCACATGCAGACATTTTTATTTGAAATAAATACATATTTTCAGGTGTCTATTTTCTTACCTTGGTGATAAAATGTGAACAAACTATACATAAAGGCTAGAATCTGTAAGGAAGAAAATTACATTAACTTATTTTTTCTTTAATGTTTTGTTGTTTTTAGTGAAATTCAAATTCTATCGGAATGCTACAATAATATGACACAGTCTGAGTAATTAATAAACTTGTTAATATTAAAATAGCTCTTTTATGATTAATACTTTAATACTCACTGTTTCTACAAAATCAAATTTCTTTCTTTCTTGGACCTCTTGTAATTTAAGGACATATTTCATGGAGCATTCTCTAAAGCTCCGAAATTCCATCTCAAGAGTTGCGTCAGCCTGAACATTAATATAATACATTTTTAAACCTTTTTCCCCTATCTCATCAAAATGAAAATCCTATATGTTCATTTCTTTCTCTTATTCTTTTTCCAGATTAGTGATTTATACCTCTTGAAGGGTGTTGTCATTCATTTTGGACTTAAGGTTAAGATATCTCTCTAATGACTGGCAGATTTTTGCTGTATGTCTATCAAATGCTTTCTTCTCCTCCTTAAATAACAATAGCATAAACTCATGCAAAACAATTTCAGACATAATGTTGTTTGAAAAATTCATATGAAAAAATGTAACTAATTTAAAGTGCATATTTCCCCTTATATTACATGAACAGAGATCTGTGCTAGATTAATGCTATACCAGTACCTTTAAGATATGATTCACTCTAATGTTAAACTTACCTTGACTGAACCTATCTGTTCCTTCCTGAATTTGTCTAGTTGCTGGAAGAAGTCTGTCACCTTTGACAACTTAAATAGATCATTAAGAAATTAAAACAATCAAACAGATAAATATGGATACTATTCTGTAAAATTAAAAGAAAAAGTATCTCCAACAGTTGCATGTTTGACATGAAATGTTAAAAATAACATATGAAAAACAAGAAGATTCTATGGCAATATAAATAAGATACCATTCTATCTCTCTCCTCTTCAACTCTCAATATCAGCTTCCCAAACTCCTTTAAGGAACCAGCTTTAAAAAATATATATAATCACCAATTAGTATCTAACATTCTACCAAAATATATTAGCTATTGTAATATAGGGGTGCAAATGATGTACCAATATACAGTAAAACACATTAAAGTAAAACACATTTAAGTTAAATAATGAATCCATGCTTAAAGCGAAGCGATTTTCATTCCCTGTGGGCTTAAATCACATTGTAAACTGAACAGATATAAAGAATTATGTTTATAATAAAGCAAAATCACTTGTCCTGGCACTTAACTATGCATGTTTTACTGTACACAAAATAATCGTTCCATAATGCAATACAAAATCTGTATTCCTGTGTATCACAATTTAATCTATATATAAATATAATTAAGGTGAATTTGATTTTCTTTATTTATTTATGCTTTTTTTAAGTTTGTTCAGAGCTTATTCAATACTTTACAGTGTATTTAAGTTTGTTCAGAGCTTATTCATTACTTTACAGTGTATTTAAGTTTGTTCAGAGCTTATTCAATACTTTACAGTGTATTTAAGTTTGTTCAGAGCTTATTCAATACTTTACAGTGTATTTAAGTTTGTTCAGAGCTTATTCAATACTTTACAGTGTATTTAAGAAAGAAGATAATAATCTGCCACTTTTATCCTTTCACATTAAATGTATAGAGGATTTCTCTCATTCCAGAAGAGACACAAATTATATAGAAAATTATAAAAGGTGAGATCACAATATGTATCGTGATACAGTCCCAATGTTTCATGATATACCATGATATGCTTTACGTATATCATTACACCCATATTGTAATACCCATGCATACATATGAGGGTTGTCCAAAAAGCCAAGTGTGTGGGGTAATATTTTAATAAAGACCAGGATTGAGTGAATGTATAAAAATCAGATTAACACACAATAATTAATGAAAGATATCAACATAAATACTTTGAATATACAAGATCCACTGCCCAGTCCAAGGTTGAGCCAGATTCATTATAACATTAGAAAATTTTTATTATTCTCTATTATATGGTAGTCCTGATCAGGGACTCAATACTAATATCCAAATTTTTGAAGCAGTACACGCATATATAGCAAAAACAAAATGTTTTACTTGAACACTGCCATGTAAATGCATATAACATTTGTCAATATTTCCAGACCAGTCCTTCATTGTAATTTTCCCTTTCTTTTTCCTTGCATTTTCTTTCATAACGTTTGTCTGATTAATGTTATACAGAGTATTTACCTTTACCTTGCTGTAGGGAGAGGGCTAAAATAGGCTATGCCTGCTGCCTAATCCCATTCACTTGATGTGAATAAAATCATGTATAAATTAAAAAAAATATTTTCTCTTTCTGTCTAATACAATGTAACTGATACTAATAACATCAGAAAATAACACCAGCCATTTTAGTAATGTTGCACTTAAAGGAGCTGATAATGCAAAAACTACAATAGAAAAAAAACTCTTTTAAGTTATATTCTGTATAGCCTACACTGATTTCTGTGTAAATGCAAATTTTAAGGAAAATCTATCATCTAGGTATTTTTAGGGACCATCTCAAAATGCAGTTACATTTACTATACAATTGAATGAAGAAATGCTTTTTTCACACTTCAAAGCAAATTATAAAAATACTACAACAGATTTTTGCTGAAATTATAATATGTGATAAGGTATACTATATTGTACATTATATGTAAGAAACACAAAATTCTATCATCTGCATGATTTCAAGAGGGGTCATCTTATATTAAAATGTCAATATTTTCCTGTTTGTATGGATTACTGCAAAATTTCATTATGTCACTTAGGATTAACACCGAAAATAACAAAAAAAAAAAAAGTCGTGACGCTTAAATTTACATTCCTGTTTCTAAAAATTGAAGAACATATGTTTTAGCACAAACATAAACACCATAAAGATTTCCATCCATCTATTAGTTAAAAAAAACATTTTTAAACAAGACGCCCATGGGCCACATCGCTCACCTGAACACAATGGCTAGGAAAAAGCACAAATCAATTCAGTATTGAAAAGTTTAGGGGGGGGGGGGGGCTTGAATTTTAAACTACCTGAGGATGCTTCAATATCAATATAACAAATGGCTTTGCTGTTCTTGAGTAGTAGATTTTTAAAGATTTTTTCCTATATATTCCTTTGTAAATATTTGATACCCCATTGTGGCCCCTCCCTACCCCCAGGGGTAATCAGTGGAACAAAATTTAATCTACACTACCCAATAATGCTTCCATATCAATATGACTATATGACTAAACATGGCTTTGCTGTTCTTGAGACAAAGATTTTTTTTCCTTTATATTCCTATGTAAAACTTAGATCATCCATTATGACCCCACCCTACCCCCGGGGGTCATGATTTGAACAAACTTGAATCTACAATACCTGAGAATGCTTCCATTTCAATATGACTAAACATGGCTTTGCTGTTCTTGAGAAGAAGATTTTTAAATTTTTTTCCTATATTTCTATGTAAAACTTTGATCCCACCTTGTGGCCCCACCCTACCCCCAGGGGTCATGATTTGAACAAATTTGAATCTATACTACCTGAGGATGCTTACATATCAATATGACTAAACAAGGCTTTGCTGTTCTTGAGAAGATTTTTAAATTTTTTTTTCTATATATTCCTATGTAAAACTTTGAACCCCCAGTGTTGCCCCACCCTAACCCTAGGGGTCATGATTTGAACAAACTTGAATCTACACTATCTGAGGACGCTTCCATATCAATATGACTAAACAAGGCTTTGCTGTTCTTGAGAAGAAGATTTTTTTAAAAGTTTTTCCCTATATATTCCTATGTAAAACTTTGATCCACCATTCTGGCCCCACCGTAACCCCAAGGGTCATGATTTGAACAAACTTAAATCTACACTATCTGAGGATGCTTCCATATTAATATGACAAATCATGGCTTTGCTGTTCTTAAGAAGATTTTTAAAGATATTTTCATATATATTTTTATGTAAAACTTTGATCCCCCATTGTGACCCCACCCAACCCCCAGGGGTCGTGATTTGAACAAACTTGAATCTACAATATCTGAGGATGCTTCCATATCAATATAACAAATCATGGCTTTGCTGTTCTTGAGAAGAAGATTTTTAAAGTTTTTTCCTATATATTCCTATATAAAACTTTGATCCCCCATTGTGGCCCCACCCTACCCCCAGGGGTCATGATTTGAACAAACTTGAATCTACACTATATAAGAAAGGTTTCCTATAAGTTTCAACTTTTTTGGGCCATTGATTCTGGAGAAGAAGATTTTTAAAATATGCCACCAAATTTTCACCATTTCTGAATTATCTCCCCTTGAATGAGGATGTGGTCCTTCATTTGAATAAACTTGAATCCCCTTCACCCAAGGATGCTTTGTGGCAAGTTTGGTTAAAATTGGCCCAGTGGTTCTGGGGAAGAAGTTGGAAATGTGAAAAGTTTACAGACAGACAGACAGACGGACAGACAGACGGACTACAGACAAAATGTGATCAGAAAAGCTCACTTGAGCTTTCAGCTCAGGTAAGCTAAAAATCAATTCTTGAAAAATGTAATTAAGAATTTTTACCTTTGATTTCTTAAATTTGTTAAATCTGATAAATTATGTGGAAATAATTGCTTACAAAGTGTAAATACGATTTATTTCACTAAGCTGCACAATGTATTGCTCAATGGAAACCCAGTGGGCCCTCTTAAATTTTATAGTTTTGATGTTTTTTATGAAAAAAATAATCATTTAAATACAAATACTTTATTACAAAGTATATAACATTTTAACCCTGGGCCTTCTACATCTTCTTGGACCTTTTTAGACTGATTTTTACTTATAATTTAAGTTCAAACAATGAAAACCAAATTTTTACTTGGACTTAGAAAACAAAAATTGGTATACACTATGCATATCTATTACCATTCAAAATGACAAAAATACCATTGTCTGCAAGCTTTTTGGACAGCCCTTGTATATATTAATTGCATATTCTTGGCCACTTTCATTACTATACCTATTTTTTCTTCATCATCTGTCAGTTTTTCTCCAATGCATTCAAATTTAAAATCCATCATTTTCTGTGCAAAACTTTGCCATGCTTTACCCATTTCTGTAAATAAAAATCACAAGTGGTTATACAGTGAAATCTTTAATAGAAACCACAAAATAGTTAAAAGAGTATATTCTTTCATTATTGATTTTTTTTTTCAGAAGACCATATTTTTTTTTCTATATTAACGTCTTCGGTGTTTTTCACCCATGTTTTAAAAACTGCCTTTTTCATCCATTATTAATGACTTTTACCTGGGTACATTGAAATCTTACAAAACCACTGGCGATATTTAGATTATTGGGGGGACAAAATGACCCGCTTTCTCAGGCTGTGATTTTTGGGTCATGAAAAACACTGGTCTTGACCACAAAATCTGCTTCAGAATAAAACATTCTGCTTTCTATTTTATTACAGTCATGAATCTATAAATTATTTAATTTGCTCTTATAAAATAATTTAGATAACAACCATACAGAGAGAATATCAGGAAACAATACATGTAATATTACACAAACATGTGATATCTTATAACACACATCTGATAAAAATGCAATCAACCAGGGCAAGATTTCATTTCCTTTTTTTATAACTTGTAATCACAAACTGCCATTGTCAGATAAAGCAGTGGATTTTAAGTGTATGTATCTTGACTGATGATGTTGCTATGTGTCTGCACACTTATGAAGAGTGGGATATGAATTATTTCCTCATTTTTCATGAATAAACAACTTAAAATATATCACAGATGTTTCACTCTCTATATGCACTTTATATTGTTCTAGTATAAAATACTGTGTAACTATTACCATGTGATCACTATTCAACAATTTACGAAATTCAAATGCATAACAGAGTTCAAGCAAAGTTGGTTGAAACTTTTTGATGGCTTTTATGCTTCTAAAAACTAATAATGTAGGACTTGAATCCTCTAAGAATATAATGTAAAGTTCAATAATATAAACTTCAAGTATGGTAAGAAGATAAGGAAACGATAGCTCTTAAGTTAAAGTTGTCCCACTTAGTAATGATGTGGGTGAACCTCTCAAAAGTGAAAATGCAAAATGTTAAAAACAGCATTTTTCTCAGTATGCTTAATTTTTTATAAAATTATTTTTAAGTAGAATTTGCAATGCAACATTTTTTATTAATTAACAACTGCAAAGGATTATGAAATAGCTTTTTAAAAAAGTATAAGATATTTCACAACTATAAATTAACAAAAATCCCAAAGCTATGCATTTTCTTGGAGGTTTTGTTTTTATTTAGCTTTTTAGCAGAAAATAATTCTGCCATAAAATCCAGATTTACATTTGAACCTATTTGCTTTCTTTGTTTATATATCCAATCAATTCCACTAATGCAGAACTGAAACTGTCAAAAATGTTTGTTGTTAAAAGTTAATAAGAAGACTTGCTTATTTTACACTGAATGCCTTTAAAAGTTGCATGCAAAGCATCAAGAGTTAATTAAGCAAATATACTATTTATATGGGTGAAGAACATAATCAGTTGCATCTCATATGAGAATTTTCTCTCTGTGAAATAAAAACTTCAACAATCCTCTCTTTCTTTATTTTTAGGCTGATGATTATAAATTTTTAAAATTTATCTTAATTGGTTTATTAAGTAAAGAAATTACTGGTATGTTCAATAATATATAAAGTTAACAAATTGCCAAACAAGATATTTGCAAGTATATCTATCCTAATGCAAGTTTTGGTAGGTTGCCCCTAAATGACCTGTGACTCATATTCACCATGTATTTACCTCTACATTTCCTGTCTATCATAAAAATGTGTACATTGACTTATTTCTTGAAGTCTTTATGGTTAAAAGAACCTAATGTAAGATTTCTTTAAACATTAAACAGATGACATTTTACCAGATTGATTCACTTCAAAATATTCCAGGAGTAAATCAGAGAAAAAATGAAGAATATTAAGATACTTTGAACAGTGTAACAAAAGCATTTCAAAATAATAAAGGATAATAATAAAGAATGATTAGGCTTTTTCTGCATTCTTTACTAATTTTAAATATCAAATGGGAATTGTTAAGAAGGTTCTTGCTTAACTGCATCATTTAAATGCCATTAAAATTGCTACCTGTAACTATTTTTTCACCTTTGTAGCTTACCATAACACCCATTAACGGGGACACACCTCCGTGCACATTGCCAAATTATAGGCACTATTAAAAAAATTTCTCTAAAGAAAAACGTTACACTGATATTACCAATGAAAACAAATACACAATAAATATTCCGACACCAGTTTATGCCTTACGTTTGGCTGCATTGACAAGCTCCTTGCCATCATTGACCAGAGATTTGATGGCCTTATTGGTCCTATCAAGCTCTTTTTCGTGATCATGTAATTTTTCTCTGAACGAAGGACTGTCTGTCAAGCATTCAGCAAATTCTAAAGGCTCCAGACCCATTATTTCATTTGTCGTCCAATGTTGTTGCAAACTGACAATATTTGACAGGCCCCCTAATCTATTTTCGGGCGATTTCCTGTTTATGTTAAAGAATCGCGCATGTGTAAGGAAGGGAAAGGAAATAGAAAGATATTACTTACCAAAGTATTTCGTATGGTATTTCAAAACTCACCCTCCCCTATGAAAGTTTGTATATAAGGGTATAGTTTGTCAAAAATATAATAAACATAAATTGAACACGTTGAAGGTTTTTTGTGCAAAACCTTTTTAAAGGAAAAGGAGGCACCTTTAACATAATGTTTAATATAGTCTATTTATATTTGTTTATACAAGAGGCATAAATAATTAATTTTTAGAATATAAAGAAATTCTATTCATCAGAGACATAAATAATTTAATGTCTCTGTATTCATATGTATCTCAAGTTTACAAAAAGATTTCAAAAATTATCATTCCCCTTTTTCCCTTTCCCATCTGAGGGATGAGCTATTTATACAAATTCCTAGCGGAAGTTGCTAAAATTAAGGGCAGTGAACTCTTTTAGAAGTTTAGAACTGTCAGTGTCAGAAAATATTGTCAAATATGCCGAAGAAAAAAACAGGACAGCGAAAGAAGGCAGAGAAACAAAGAGAAAGACAAAAAGAGATGAGAAACGCGGAAAAATCTTTAGCACAGATGCCCTGCAATTTCCTCATGGTGAGTCACATGTGAAAAAAGTTTAACCAGCATGTGTTTATTTCGAATTTCCTCGGAAAGTTTGACAAGTTCTTTACAACAGGTCCAGTCCAAAGACTATTTATACTTAGCTATTAATAGCTACATTGTACTAGGTATTTAAAACTCTTGTACACTTGCTTGGAAAGATTCAGGGTGTTGGTTTGAAAACTTTTTGAGGGTGGAGATTCATACATGTGACAGAACTGAAAAATCACAACTGGAGATTTGAAATTTTTCAGCTGGAGTTTGGGTTTCAAAGCTGGAGATTTTTATCGACATTTTTTCAAATCGCCATCCAACCCCCTAAATTCAGGAAAAAATACCTTCTCCCAGTTTATTACTTCACAAATTTTATTTTATAAAGTTGTTGCCTACTTTTAAGAAAAAAAATGATAAAGTTTTTATTCAAATGAAGTGAAATTGAGTATTCAAAATAAATCAATTCATTTCCTAGTAAATTAATTAAGAGTTAACAGCATTATTAAAACAATGGATAAAATTTTATTTTTGATTTAGTATTGATATATCAACTAGAAAGTGAAGTAAAACATAGGTTTTATGTAACAAATTCTATGTCAGTAATTTGTTTTTAAATAGAATATGTACAGATGAAAAAAAGTACCCTCTAAAAAATAAACAAATTAGAGTCAGGTATATTTTAGCAACAGCCTGTAGTGTGATCTATTTTTAACTAGAGTGCGACCTACATTATAACTGTATCTTTTAATGACCAAAGCAGCATTAGAAGATGGCAACTGGATATTTTAGCAACTGATTACAAAGTTTTGCATTCAGTAATAAACATCAATTGTCATTTATCAAGTTGATATATCATTAATTTTTACAACATAATTATACGACCTCATGTTGATTCCTACGAAGCCTACCGCTGTGAAAATTTATTGCACTGGCGTTGTTATCTCAATTTCTTTTCATTCTAAGCAATAATATGAAACATGATAAAAAAAATATTGCAAATGATATTTAAATTGAAGAATTTTAAAACACGGAAGATTTAAAAATTAATCGGGAGGGACGGAAGGGGGGTGAAATATCGGGAGATTTTGTCTCCCGCCGGAAGAATCACATGTATGGAGATTGGAGAAGAAATGCATTAAAAGTCATCCCAAAAACATTTTATCTAAGAACGCTTAAAGATTAGTTTTAAAATTGATACAGATTTGTAAGACATTTTAGACTTAATTTTGATTCTTAGCTACCAGAAAATGAAACTGGATGTGGGTTTTCTTGCAAAATTGATAAATTAGAAAGTAATAATTTTTTCCCAAAATTTTTGGGTTATTCATCAGGTTTAAATACCTAGGTAGCATTGGAGATTGGAGAAGAAATGCATTGAAAGTCATCCCAAAAGCATTTTATCTAAGAACGCTTAAAGATTAGTTTTAAAATTGATACAGATTTGTAAGACATTTTAGACTTAATTTTGATCCTAATAGCTACCAGAAAATGAAACTGGATGTGGGTTTTCTTGCAAAATTGATAAATTAGAAAGTAATAATTTTTTCCCAAAATTTTTGGGTTATTCATCAGGTTTAAATACCTAGGTAGCATTAAGTAGCTACATAGGTAGAAATAATCTTTGGACTGGAATGTACAAAGTGACAAACCGGCAGGTATATTTACCGATGACACATTTCGACAATATAGAGCTTACTGTTATATTTCAATCAGTTGAGTTTTGGCAAATACATAAGCAGAATGAACAGTGGCTTTAAACTTTTAGAGTTTATAGTGATGAAGTATGCATCTCTTACCATGATGCTTCCTTATGTTTTTGAAGTTTCAATTGCTATATGTGATCATTAATAAACAGTTTTGACAGGCAACTAGATTTATAAAATATATTGTCTCTTTTCAGGAGTGCGATCAATGTAAACGGTAAGGAATTTTTGATATATTCTGAGTTTAGATATAATAAGGGTGCAACGATATACCGTTTGACGGTATATCGCGGTATATTTTTCCACGGTTCAATTCACGATACGCTAAACTGATATCGCGGTTCAGTTCAATTGGTCCAGAATTATCCGAATGGTTGGTTTTGTTTCCTTTTTTACAATTTCAAAATGGCTTCCGCGCAAAACGTGAGGTCGCCGATAACACATTAACGGAAGTTAAACTTATCTCCAGCATCTTACAGACCTCAGATTTAACACTGAGAAGGACTTAATGTGATTATAAGTTATAGATGTTAAGACAAATGATAAACCCTTTAGATCTAAACGTATTCTTTGGTAATATACGATATTTCATCACGTGTGTATTTCGATGAAAATTCACTGTCTTGTTGACTAAAACGTGTTAACACGAGAAATATGACAACTGGTTTTCTACGTAAATAAAAGGAGTAAAAGAATGAATGTCTTCCTTTTTCATTCAAATTTAAAAGGAAGATTATAAGGAAAGGTCCCCGTAGTTCCCTGTAAATACTTATGGTTACTTATGGTATTTTTCCAACACAGGTCCTATCAAGGTCCTCTTCGTCGGACTCCGAACTTGCTTTGTAACTACTTGGGTGACTACTTGGGTGACTACTTGGGTGACTACCGGTGTAATCGGTTTTAAAATCTACTCTGTAATTATAGAGCACATCCTGGTCCTTCCAGAAGTTGTCTAGTCTATTCTTGAAAGTATTCAGAGTTTTAGCACTTACAACATCCTCTGGTAAGCTATTCCATAGACTGACAGTTCTAACACTGAAGCTGAATTTTCTTATATTGAGTCTCGGTCTCTGTACAAACAGCTTCTTGGAATTCCCTCTTCCTTGTTCCCTAATAACGTGGTCTCTCCTTAACTTGATAAAGTCTGCTGCTAATGGGTCATACTTTCCACTTGTTATTTTGTACACTTCAATCATATCTCCTCGGTGGCGTCTGTACTTCAGCGTTGGTAGTTTTAGTTTCTTTAACCTTTCTTCATAGCTTAATTTTGCCAATCCTGGAATCTGCTTGGTAGCTCTTCTCTGCACTCCTTCAATCATCTCTATGTGTCTTGATTTGAAAGGGAACCAGACCGAACTCGCATAATCTAAATGTGTCCTGACAAGTGTCTTATAAAGAGGAATGAAAGTTTCTTCGTCCAAATGTTGAAAAGTTCGCCTTAACATTGCAAAAATAGAGTTTGCCTTTTTCACCTTCTCGCTTATGTGTCTATCAAAGCTGAGTTGTTCATCTATGATGACTCCTATGTCTTTTTCCTCTTGTACCTTCTCCAGAGTGCGTCCTAACAGCTCATACTCAAAGTCTTGGTCTGGGTCTTTCTTTCCAATGTGCATGTGTTTACATTTTTCTGGATGGAATTTTAAGAGCCAGGTGTTACTCCTTTCTGTTAGTTTCTCAAGATCTCTTTGAAGTGTCATTTTATCTTCCCTACCCTTAACTATGTTGAAGATTTTCGTGTCGTCGGCAAATAGGTACACAGTAGAGCTCACGATATCAGGGAGATCGTTGATAAATATGACGAACATTATCGGCCCAATTACTGACCCCTGCGGAATGCCGGAAGTTACGCTATGCCATTTAGATGTTGCCCCATTTATGGATACTTGTTGTTTCCTTCCACTTAGGTAGTTCCTTATCCAGTCTATAAGATCTTTCCCTATTCCATATGCTTCCAGTTTCTTAAGCAGTCTGTTATGTGGGACAGTATCAAAGGCCTTCTGATAGTCCATGTAGATGCAGTCAACATCATGTCCACTGTCCAAAGCCTCTGTCCATTCCTCTAATACCCTTAACAGTTGTAGTGAAGTTGATCTACCACTGATAAAGCCATATTGTTTAGTTGTAAAGAGGTTGTTGCTTACAAAATGCTCTATTATGTGGTCCCTAACTAGTCTCTCCATGACTTTACACACCACTGACATTAAGCTCACTGGTCTGTAGTTTCCTGCTATCTCCTTGTTTCCTTTTTTAAAGATCGCGCTAATACGTGCTGTTTTCCATTCTTCTGGAACTTTTCTCTCATCTACTGACTTCCTAAAGATCCTTGCTAGGGGTTCTGCTAATTCCACTCTTAATTTCCTCAATAGCCTTGGATGCATGTTGTCTAATCCTGGTGACTTATCTGGCTTTAACAGGTTCAGTGCTTTGATAATTTCTTCCTCCAGTATTCTTAATTCTGTCCACTCCTTCTTGATAGGGCGTTTGTCCAGTTCGGGTATGGCTTCCTCGGGTTCTTGTGTAAAAACGCTACTAAAAAAGTCTGCTAAAATATTTGCTTTCTCTTCATCCACTTCTGTTTTATTGGACTTTGGATTTTTAGGGTCGACACACAGTTCCCCGATTCCTTGTCTCGTTTTACTTTTTGAGTTAATATACTGCCATATCTTTTTTGGGTTAGTTTTTGCCTCTTGTGCTATACTCTTTTCGAATGACTTCCTTGCTTTCCTCACAAACTTTGCCACTTTGTTCCTAGTCCTATTGTACTTTTTCCTTATATTTGGATCCTTGGTAGCCACATATTTTCTGCACAGTGCGTTTTTTTCTTTAATCAAGGTGACAGTTTCTTTGTCCAAGGGCATTTTCGTTTTTCTGCTTGGTCTGATGGTGACTACTGGCACATATTTATCTTCTATGTCCTCAAATTTTTGTCGGAATTGATGCCACATTTCGTTTACTGTGCTCTGTGACTCCAGAATGCTTTCCCAATCTGTTTCGCTAATTTCCTTCTTCATACCGGCAAAGTTAGCTTTCCTATAAGTCCTCCTCTTTTTTGGTCCGCTTTTCAGTATTGCCCTGCAAACATAGTTAAAGCAGATAACACAGTGGTCGCTCTTTCCTAATGGGCTTTGGTATTCCATTTCCTTCCACAGCATTTTCGTCCTTTGTGATCACAAGATCCAAAATGGTTGGAATGTTTGTTCCTCTCCACCTTGTTGGTTTTGTGACGGTTTGGAACATGAAGTTGTCCTGCAGACAATCTATGAATTTCTGCTCAGCAGAGTTTTCACTTTTTGTACACAGTAAATCCCAGTCTATATTAGGGTAGTTGAAATCTCCCATAATGAGATAGTGTTTGCATTTCATTCTTGAGGCTTCAGTTATCAGGTTTCTTAAACATTCATTTTTTTCTTCGGTATTGTCTGACGGTGACCGATAAATGAGGCCAACTAGGAAATAGTCTGTGCTGTTTATCCTTATTTTCACAAAAAGCTGCTCCTCAAAGGACACTGTAAGTTTTGCCTCCTCTGCATAAAGAGAATCATGTACATATAAAAGTAGTCCTCTACCTATGCTGCTTTCAATATTTACATGAAACATCCTGTATTCCTTCGTCCAATCCATCGTATATTCAGCTGGATTAGGTGCACATGTTGCATTTTTTGCCTTCACTTCTGTTATTCCTATTATCAATGGCTTTGTGTCCCTTATCCTGACCTGGAACTCATTGAACTTATTTCTAAATGGGTCTGCATTGATGTAGAAGAGCAAAAGTTTGTTTATCATTTTAGAACTATATACATTATTTACATTCCTCTTTGTATCTTCTAGTCTAGATCGCTTACCCTGAGCTTTACCACTTTCCTTGCCCAAGGTGGACCGCGCACACGGTACTTGAATTCCCCCGAATCATTTTTATTCAATTCCTTGGCTTTCATATACAGTTTATTTTCATTTTCCCTCTCTGTGCATGTCAAATCATTTGCAAGTCGTACTTCACTGAATTCAATGTTTTCCCGCAACTTTCCACCTCGTTTAAAGAACTCCACTTTTTTTTCTGGGGTTGAGAAGGTAACAAGCAATGGACGGCGTTTCTTAAATGTTCATCATTGGTTTAGAATATTGTCAAAACTCAAAGATGCACCCACAATCCAATTCAAGTTAATAAAATTTTATTTTAATTATTATAAAAAAATATGAACATTTTATATAACCCTGTCAAGTTTAAAAAAAATATGGTGACAATCTTGAAAGACTTTTTAACCTTGTCATGTATCGTGATACGTATCGTATCGTGAACTGAATACCGTGATACATATTGTACTGAGAGGTTAGTGTTTGTACTGAGAGGTTAGTGTATCGTTGCACCCCTATGATATAAAGCATACAATAGTTTAAATTGCCACTTTTTGTCCTAGTTCAGGGTGTCTTTTCATGTAGATTAAAATTTGATTTTTTTTTTATTGAAAAATAAGATTAATGCAAATAGTAAGTCTGATAAAGTTTGACAAGAACTGGTAAGAAGTCAGACAACATAAAAATGTGAAGTAGTAACTTTCAAGAAAAAAAAACGTCTTCTAATTTTATAATTTATTCTTTTATTTTAACATGGATGTTGTTTTTCCTTGTAACTGTAGGATCATAAAAAATGCAATGTACATGTATTAAGATTTTATATGGCTTTGTTTTTGAACCCTATAATCAAGATCTTTGAATTTTCTCAATTTACAGAAGCCAGAAGAATCGGGCTTTCTGTTATTTCTGTTCAGCATTACAAAGACTTCCCGTATGTGGTCACTGTGGTAAGCCTGTATATTATCTAGTTAATACCACAGTTTATAATTTATTCAAAACATTTACATTATATCTTTTGTTTTTTCATCACCATGTAAAGTGCTGTATAGTGCACAACAGTTATTTCAAAATATGTATATATTTATCCAGGTAGATATAGTTTTTTGAAGGCAAGAGGATGAATTTAAATGCATGTTATTCTTGATTATGTATGTAAAATTATATATCTAGATCCATCATTTAAGTGGAAATTTAATATTAAATATGTTATATTTTATCAAAGGTAAACAAAAGTGTATGGCAAAATTTGGTGATTGTTGCATAAAACATTCCGGAACTAACACAACTGGGCTGGCTATGGTGGTAAGTTGTCGTCAGTCTGAGTAAAAATTCAACAGAATATATTAGTCATGTGTATTTCTCATTTCAATAATTATTTACTTACTTACATTCACAGTTTAATATGAAAAAAGACACCCTTAAGTTTGTAATATAACTTTCTATCAGAAAAAGCCTTCATCTCTCTTAAAGGGTGCAATCTGTGATTTCTGTGAGGCATGGGTGTGTCACGGTACAAGGTGCCTCTCTGTCCACGCTTGTACCTGTCCTCTAACGGACGCTCAGTGCTGCGAGTGTAAAAGAGGGGTGTGGGAGCAAGGTAAGCTAGCTAATAGACACAATTGAACTGCTTATCCATTTCATTCAATATAACATCGATTCCATGTGTAATGTGATGCAAAGTCAACACCTCTCTACAAGAAATACACTAACTTTATCTTCAGATGCTGAATTATCAGAACAGTTTTTTTGCATCTGCTTTTAAGCAATGTATATATATATTTGTAGATATGTCTTACTTTATTTAGGTGGTAGAATTTTCAAGTGTTCCTATTGTAAAAAGTTTCTTTGTGAAGATGATCAGTTTGAGCATCAAGCTAGCTGCCAACAACTGGACTCTGAAAACTTCAAATGTAAGATCACTCAGTGATGATTCTGTCTTCAGACAACTACATTATTTGGTTATTTTAACTTTACTGGTTAGAGACTACAAGAGCTTATGCATTAGTAAGGTGTCCATTTGCTGTTTGTCTGTCCGTCTGTCTGCAAAGAATTTTTCAAAATGCTTTTCCTCCTACAGTTTGGTTGATTTTCAATAAGACTTGGTACACAAGTAGATTATATACTAGGATACATAATTCTACGTATCAGTTCTTGAGTTAAAGAAAAGGTGTTGCCATGATTTATACTAAAATTAGAAATTTCTTTGAAATTTGTTCAACATGCTACTCTTCCTACAGTTTTGGTCTGGTTTGAATAAAACAGTACACAAGTAGACGATACTAAGATACATACATGTAAATCTAAATGTCAGTTTTGATTTTGACACAGGGTGTTTCAATAAAACTTGGTACACAAGTAGACTATACTTAGATAAATAATTCTGTTTATTGGTTTTTGATGTCAACAGTCTATGTTGCCATGTGTTAGTATAAATTAAATTACTGTGAAAGTTAATTAAATTTCTGTGAAATTCTTTTAAAACCATTCCCCTTTTACAGTTTTGGTCATTTTTCAGTTTGACTTGGTACACACAAGAAGACTATACTATGATACATGTACATCTTTCTTTATTTTAAGTATACACCACTAGAGCTACAGTTTCATCAGATACCTCTGGTTACTTAATGCATAGAACTTTGTTATTTCTTGACCATTTTATTACATCATTTTCAGTTTGGATTTTTCGAAGTTCTTTGACAGTCCTGCAATGTTTTCAAAATTTAATTATACCCCCACTCCAAAAGAGAGGGGGTATACTGTTTTACCCTTGTGTGTCTGTCTGTCTGTCCGTCTGTCTGTCCGTCTGTCTGTGTGTCTGTCCGTAACAAATTTTGGTCACAGTTTTCTCAGCAACTACTCATTGCAGATGCTTGAAATTTTAGCACACCCTTGTTTAGACATGCCATATGTTGGGATTCATTTTTTTCTGTAATGTAGTGTTTATAATTTTTCTGTTTTAAGGTTTGTCCTGCAATAAGCTTGGGCAGTACTCGTGCCTTAGGTGCAAGGTAAGCTCAGGATATGTACAGTATGTTTTTATTAGCTCTTCTGAGCCAAAGGCTCAAAGAGCTAATGCTATGGCCATTTGTGCGGTGTGCGTAAACTTTTTAGAATATGGGCCATAACTCAAGAACCCCTTGGCCAATTATTGTCAAATTTGTCACAGGGTATCCTTGGCCCAAGGGCTCCCTTTTATACTAAAACTGGGGTTGTGACCCTTTAACAAGGGGAGATAATTAGGAAAATAGAAACAAAAGTACTGGTTGCTAAAAAATCTTCTTCTCTAGAACCACTGGGCAGATTATCACCAAACTTACACAAAAGGATGAGGATATGTTGTAGATTAAAATTTGCATGGGGATTTACCCTGGGGCAAAGGGCGTGGTCTCAAGGTCACTTCAAAGTTGACCAAAAATTACATTTTATTAAAATGTTGATATTTTGCTTACTATAAGGACTAGGATCATCAAATCTTGTCAGTTGGTGCATCTAAGGACCTCATATCATGTTGACTCAAAAGTAGGTCACGGTGACCTACTTTTTAAATTTTGCGGCCATTCTTTTTCAAAATGATTTAGAGGCATATTTTGAACAATTTAAGGCCTATGATCATCAAACTTTGTCAGTTGATGCATCTTGGGTCCTCAAAGTACGTCAACTAAAAAGTAGGTCACCTTGACCTACTTTTTGAATTTTATGGCTAATCTTTTTTAAAACAATTAAGGTCATTAATTCGAATACGGGGAGGCTTAGAATCATTAAATCTTGTAAGATGATGCATCTTGGGGCCATAAAACATATTTATTAAAAAGTAGGTCACAGTGACCTACTTTTTGAACTTTGCAGGCATTCGATTTCAAAGCGTTTTAGAGGCATAATTTGGACATTTTAAGTCCTATGATCATAAAACTTTGTAAGTTGATGCATCTTGGGTCCTCAAAAAAGGTCAACTGAAAAGTAGGTCACCGTGACCTACTTTTCAATTTTTATGACTATAATTAAATATTTCAGGTACTAATTGGCTTAGAATCATCAAACTTTGTCAGTTATGCGTCTTGGGTCTTCAGAGTAGGTCGACTAAAAAGTAGGTCACCGTGACCTACTTTTGAAAATTTATGGCGTTAATTAAATATTTCGTGTACTAATTGGCTTAGAATCATTAAACTTTGTCAGTTGATGCATCTTGGGTCTTCAGAGTAGGTCGACTAAAAAGTAGGTCACCGTGACCTACTTTTGAAAATTTATGGCTTTAATTAAATATTTCAGGTACTAATTGGCTTAGAATCATCAAACTTTGTCAGTTGATGTGTCATGGGTCTTCGGAGTAGGTCGATTAAAAAGTAGGTCACCATGACCTACTTTTGGAAAATTTATGGCTTTAATAAAATATTTCGGGTACTAATTGGCTTAGAATCATAAAACTTTGTCAGTTTATGCGTCATGGGTCCTCGGAGTACAACAACTGAAAAGTAGGTCATGGTGACCTACTTTTGAAATTTTATGGCTGTATTTAATATTTTCAGGAATTATTTGGCTTAGAATCGTCAAAACTTGTCAGTTGATGCATCTTTGGTCCTCGGAGTAGGTTGACTGAAAAGTAGGTCACCGTGACCTACTTTTGAAAATTTATGGCAGTAATTAAATATTTTGGGTACTTATTGGCTAGAATCATCAAACTTTGTCAGTCGATGTATCTTTGGTCCTTGGAGTACAGCAACTGAAAAGTAGGCCTACTTTTGAAAATTTATGGCTTTAATTAAATATTACAGATACTAATTGGCTTAGAATCATCAAACTTTGTCAGTTGATGCATCTTGGGTCCTTGGAGTAAAACAATTGAAAAGTAGGTCACTTTGACCTACTTATAAAATTTTATGGTTATAATTTTAAAAAATATGTTAGGTATTAATTGGCTTAGAATCATCAAACTTAGTTGATAGGTCCTCAGAGAATGACAAGTGATAAGTAGGTCACCATGACCAACTCTCAGGTACTAATTGGCTTAGAATCATCTTGGGTTCTCAGAGTGTGAATTGGAATTTCAAGGGTTTATCTAAATATACAGGATACTTCGAGGCTTCAAATAGAAGTGATAGGTTGTACAGTTTATCAGAAGAGCGATTCAAGGCCCATGGGCCTCTTGTTAATTTAAAATATTTTTGTCACACCCTAGTTTCAGTTCTTTAATTTCTTTTGGCATTTGTTAGTTAGATTAGATATAATGCTTTGTTGGCTGTGATTTCAGACATGTTTTTGTGATGACCATGTCCGGAGGAAAGGTGTCAAATACTCTAAAGGACAGGCAATCCCATGCCCCAAGTGTGGCCTGGAAACCAAGGAGACAAAGGACATGAGTATCAATAGTAAGAACATACAAGTATTCTGCAGGACTGTAGGACATATAAGACTTACCAATGGCTGTTTGTAATTGGCACTGAAATATTACATAGGACAAAAAAACTAGCGTATAACTATATGAAACAATAACTAACTTGCACTTAAACTATTCCATACAACTGACAAATGTAGTATATTTATACAACTGATGAGTCAATTTTTTTTTTTCTAAAATCTTAAGAGAATTTAGGCCAGTTATGTATGTGCTACTGAGTATTGTGAAAAGCAAAGAATGGAATAATTAGGTGGTTAAGAACAAATCTCAGCCTGACAATAAACAATTTAAATTTTTCCTGAAGTCTCAGTTCAAGTAAATTGATTTTTTTTTTTCAGCTCGTGCGTATGACTATGGAAGACAGAGAGGGAATTATGAGGATGATGTGGATGATGAATATAGCTACCAGAATTACGACTTCCAGGGAGCGTCTGGCTTCTCATTCGGAGGAGTGAAAGCTGATGAGGATGGTGAGGGTTTTCTATGTTTTGACGTACCAGAAAAACTGTGAGCTAAAATATTGATATCTACAATCATGTGCAAGTTAAACTGTTGGCAGTAAATGGTTAAAAAAGAGAACAAGACTGAGTTGGAGAAAGACTTGTAAATAATATCTTACTGTTAATTTGTAGAGGTTAACTTCTTAATTAATGTAGCATCATCTTAAAGATAGCTTTCCATTAAGTTTAATTAACTAAACAACTGTCAGAGCTCAGAGGTTAAGGGATGATGTTAATATTGAAAGATATCTTTAAATGTGTGAAAAACAAAAAAAGAAAATATATGTACAAAGTATGTATAGGAAAATTTACAAATTTGCCATGCTAAAATTAAAATCATGTACATTGATATTCATACCTGGTAATGAGATACAGCACCATAAATTAAAAAAATAAATTGGGCAGAAAGTCATCATGCAGTCCATAATTCTGCATAACATTGGGAATTTTTACCGATGAAATAATGTCCACACAAACCAGTAAAATTTTGGTTGTGCACTAACAATGACCCCCACAAAGAAAGTGTTTCCACAGTAACCTAAAATATGTCTGTTACAAAAAATTTTTTTTTGGAAAGTTCATTAATTTCAACAGAGATATTCTGCATTACACAAGCAAAATAGCAGATTTCTGTAATATTTATTAAAGAATCTAATATGACTATGCTACATCATTCAAACAAAATGGTGAAAATGGTTAAAGACTACATGTATGTTATTGTGATTGGTCATAATGAATAATTTTTACTAATACATGTATTTTGTATTTAATTTGTTTTAGATGATTATGAGGACAGTGATGATGATTATGATGAAGATGATGACTTTGATGATGAAGATATAGATGAAGATGAATTATTAGAGGAAGTTCGTCAACTAAAACTTGACAACGAAAAAGCTGGATCTTGATGATGCTTCCAATAAATATTTTTACCAAAAGAGTTGGATTTTGTTATAGCATAATATGCAGAATGATTCTGAAAATTGTACATGTATTTATAAATCAGTTTGACAAGTACCAAATCAAACTCTCAAAACCAATCTAATTAAATTATATGTTGGACTTGCTTGTGTAGCGGTTTGCAAGCAGACCAAACATCTTATTTCAAGTAAATTGTCTCAAATGACGAACAAAATAAATATGTAAAATGACTAGTCTGTAAATAATGCACCACAGGCAGAATAATCTCTACCCCAAAACATTTATTGTGAATGGATGACCCTACATTGCAATATCCTATGTGTGTCCTATTGATACGCTCTTGGTTTGGGCATGTGAAACGTGAACTGACAATTTTAGCTCACCTGAGCCAAAGGCTCAAATGAGCTTTTCCTATTGACTTTTTGACATTGTCATCATTATAAAGTATATTTAGGTCACCTGAGTCACTCAGGTGACCTATTGCAATATGTTTTTGTCCATTGTCCATTGTGCTTAAACATTTGAAATTTGTTCAGCTTCTTCTCTGGAACCACTGAACAAATTTCAACTAATTTTGGCATATAGCATCTGTGAGTGAAAGGAATAAAAATTTTGAATTTCATGCCCACCCCACACCCTTGGGTGTGAAGGATGGGGCTAAAACCATCAAAATTAATGCAATCTTTAAAAATTTTCTTTACTCCGCATTAAGCAGTTGAATTGTTGCTGTGATTGCAGAAGGCTTTAAGTCCTCTACTAAAATTGTAAAATTTATGGCCCCATGGTCAGGAGTTCTGGAGTTAGGATGAGGCTTTAATGATCATATAGTGAAAATGCATAAAATTCTTGAAAGTCTTCTTCACTCCCCCTGTGTATAAAGCAGACAAATTAGATGCATAGTTATGATGAGCAAGGGCACCTCTTCAAAAATTGTGAAATTTATGGCCCTAGGGTCAGAGTTTCTAGGGGGGGGGGTGTCTATTGATTATATAGTGAAATGGACTATTTCTTTTAAAAAAAATCTTTTCTGCTCCTGTGTATTAAGCAAACAAACTAAGTAGATTGTTATGATGAGCAAGAGTGTTTCTTCCAAATTATTAATTTCATGGCCAATTGGTCAGGGGTTCAGGTGTTAGGGTGGGGCATTTTAGATTATTTATTAAAAATGCATTAATTCTTTGAAAATCTGCTGCTCTGCTCCTGGGTATTTAGCAGATAAACGAAGTGAAATGTTATAATGAGCAAGGGTGCCTCTTCAAAATTGTGAAATTTGTGTCCCCAGGGATGGGTTCTGGGGGGGGGGGGGGTGCACTATTGAAATACACTGTATAGTGAAAATACATCATTTCTTTGAAAATCTTTTTTTCTAGATAACCTAAGTGCTTGTTATGATGAGCAAGGGTGCCTCTTCCAATAAACTGACAAAGTCTCAATGCTCCATTTCAAACATTAATATAAAGTAGAGACTTAGTGTTTTCATTTCCTATAAAAAAATTTTCTCTCCGAGTCCAGGTATTGAAAAACAGGCTTTGTGAAATTGTCATTTTCTTGAATTTTGAAGAAAATGGGTATATTTGAGCACTTTCAGCAAAGGATTAAAATATAAGCCAACCCAGTAATCTAAAAAATAAAACAAGGATTATAATCTTCTGAAACAGTACTTTCATTATATTATTCATTATTTTGGATCAGAGGTTGGATCTATACAAATTGTTGAAAAATAACTTAAATTTTTGGAGATATTTTCAGGATTTTAGGATAATGACGCAATTTATGACGTAATACATGAACAAGCAAGAAAATTACGCCATTTTAAACAGTATGCAATCACCAAGGGTCAAGTCAAATTTAATGTATTTTCAAGTAAAACTGGGAATTTTTTATTTTTCAGAAATTCACAGGGCCAAAAAAGGTCCTTAGTGAACCTTGTTCTTTGTGGCCTCAAGGTCAAGGGCTCTTATGTTGGATGGGGGTGCTCTGTTAATTATATAGTGAAATTACATTATTCATTTGATATTCTTCTCTGCTCCTGGTTATGAAAGAAACAAACTTAAGTGTATAGTTATGATGAGCAAGGACCCTTTTTTAAAATTTTGAAATTTATAGCCTCTGGGTCAGAGTTTTGGTGTAAGGGTGAGGACCTGTTGAATATGTAGTGAAAATGCATTATTTCTTTGAAAATGTTATTGTTCTGCTCCCGGGTACTTGGCAAACATACTAAGCACCTGGTTATGATGAGGAAGTGTGCCTTTTCCAAAACTATGAAATTCATGCCTTCTGGATAAGGGATTCTGGTGTTAGGGTAGGGTTGTGTTGAAGCAAAAGTAAAAATACATTATTTGTTTGAAAATCCTCTGTTTTACTCTTGGGCATCTAGAAAGCAAACAAAGTACAAAATTGTAATAAGCAGATTTCTGAAATTTTGGACCACTTGGTCAAGTGTTCTGGTACTAGATAGGGCTCTATTAATTTGTATTCTACTGAGAGAAGTTATTCCCCTTTGCTATTCATATATGGTAATTTAAAATCACTATAAATGATGTAATTGAAAGGTCAATTGAATAAGAGAAACAAGAATTTTTATAACAAATAATACAAAAAATGCTTTCATAGTTTTTCTTGGTTGCATATAAATAATACTGGTAGATAAAAAATATGGAACAAAAATATGTTATCTTTGTACATTAAATGCTCTCCAAAGACCAAGAGAGGCCAGTGTGAAAATGAATGGGATGGGTATACTAATGATGTTCAAACACTATTGTCCTGTTTAGTCTGCATGGTGATACTCAAGGCCAATTTCCTTCAGACTTGTCATAAAGTTTCCTTGGATGAAGAGAATTCATATTGTTCAAATGAAGGGTCATGTCCCATCCAAGGTGAGATACTGGTAATCAAAAATATGGTTATATCATTAAAAATCCTCTTAAAGAATACTGGACCAGAAAAGATGAAACTTTCAAAGCATGAGGAGAGGGGATGTTACAACAGGAACTCAAAATTTTACACAAGAATATCTGGAAAAATCTTCTCAAGAACCACTCTTATCAATATGCAAGCATCTTCAGGAAGAGAAGATTCATATTTCTTCAAATCATCGCCCCTGGGGCTAAACTAATGATTCAAATTTTACATGAGAATATATAGAAAGTTTATAACAATCTTTTTAATTAAAGAGTTTCAATGCACACTAATTATTCTAAAAGTAAACATTCCCAAGTTCTGTGAATTGAAGTTTTTCTTCAAATGATGGACCCTGAAGTTAACACAGAGGACAAAAATGTGATATTCCAAGGATTAATTCAAATTTAACTAATAGTTCTAGATGTTATTAGTAAATACAACCTTTAAAGACAAATAATAGTGCAGGAATTTAATTATAATAAATTAAAACGAACGGACCATTTCTTGTGCTTAACAATGTGACATACGCGAGCCAAAGACAGAGGTGAGTGTACGAGCCGATAGTAGAGAGTGTATGAGCCGATGGTAGAGTGTATGGGCCGCAGGTAGAGAGTGTATGAGCCGATGGTAGAGTGTATGGGCCGCAGGTAGAGAGTGTATGAGCCGATAGTAGAGAGTGTATGAGCTGATGGTAGAGTGTGTGGGCCGAAGGTAGAGAGTGTATGTGCCGATAGTAGAGAGTGTATGAGCCGATGGTAGAGTGTGTGGGCCAAAGGTAGAGAGTGTATGTGCCGATGGTAGAGAGTGTATGAGCCGATGGTAGAGTGTATGGGCCGAAGGTAGAGAGTGTATGAGCCGATAGTAGAGAGTGTATGAGCCGATGGTAGAGTATATGGGCCGAAGGTAGAGGGTGTATGAGCCGATGGTAGAGAGTGTATGAGCCGATGGTAGAGAGTGTATGAGCCGATGGTAGAGTGTATGGGCCGAAGATAGAGAGTGTATGAGCCAATAGTAGAGAGTGTATGAGCCGAAGGTAGAGAGTGTATGAGCCAATGGCAGAGAGTGTATGAGCCAATAGTAGAGAGTGTATGAGCCGATGGTAGAGTGTATGGACCGAAGGTAGAGAGTGTATGAGCCGATGGTAGAGAGTACGTGTTCAATGAGGATTCTAAAGGCACATATACATGATATATACAGCAATGATTTACATCAGACTGCATGAGTTAACAAGAGACTGGGTCGATCACGTGGTAAATATGGTCTGGGAACAGAAAATATCACATTGTTGATTGTTAAAAAAAAATCTGTTGACTGTCAATCTGTATTTTTTTTAAACCTCAATTAAAGAGTGATAGCGCATTTGATAGGCATTTCGCCTACTCTAATAGTGATTTCTGAATCACATTTTTTTAACCAAAAGTTTGCCATACAATCTTAGTTTATTTAAACAATAAAATGCTTTCTATGGTTGATAGTACGGAAATAAATGTTGCAGCCATTGCAGAAAAAAATGCATAACCCGCGTGAACTACTAACAAACAAAGTAAGACATTTTATTGTTTATATTTATATTTGTACCAATAATCATTTTAAGTAGGATTTATTACATGAAATATTGTACTATTAATTTGTACGGCATTGTATGTTTCATAGATGGAAGAACCACTGCTTAAGAATTATGCAGAAGTGACGCGCTTAGCTGTGTTCACTGCCTGGTAAACGGCAATGATTTTCTTAAGAAATAAAGGATAAAATATTCAGGGGATATAAATATACATGTGTTAACTCAAATTACACAATAATGATTTGTAAATGTAAATAGCTCCCGTATATAATAAATATGAAAATCATCGAGTTTGTATGGAGTATATAGTAAATACTGAGGCATCTACCTAAACGATGACAAACTGTGACCCCCCCCCCCCCCAAAAAAAAAAAAAAATTAATTATTTTATTTGGGTATGACTGCACTTCATTACATTAAGATAATTTTGGTTAGAGATGGTCTTCATATTCAAAATGATGAAAATCTATGTTCAATTTTCCTTCTCGTTTTATTTTAAGACTTACCAATCTGTCTTAAATTTCTCATCTAGACATAAATGATCTCGGGCGTAGTGGTATGTTTGCTGGAATGTAAATGTGATGATTCAGAGTTCGAGCCCAATATTTTCATTAATGCCTTTTTAGATTTTTTTCTTTGTGTGTCTTTTCTACGTCTTTTTTATTATATTTAATAATGAACATAATTTCAAAGAAGTTTTGATATACAGGATAAATTAACACTTTGAAAATATCTCGGAAAAAGACAATTCTATACTATTTCATTAAACTTAGCAAATTCATAATTACTTGTTTTATTTTCAATGATTTTCTAAGCCTTTTGTCTCGAAATTAGAGTAATTAGTTCATCATGTAAAATGAATGTTATAATTAGACATAGTTGCACCTATGAAGATGTAACACTCGTCCATAAATTAGTTGATCCTGAATGGAAAAAGCATATCTATAAATAGAAACGGATGATTTTCTTTTAAATTTTTGAGTCTGCCGTGTGCTATGGCTCTTTGCTGAGCTATTAGCCGTAAGCTGCTAACAGGCTCTACCCCCTGCATTTCAAAAGTAGAGACTCCAGAGTCAGCTTTTTACACTAAACCTGCTCGTGAGAATATTTGTGTATCCTTAGTTGAAGGGGGATTCAAATTTGTTCAAAACTATGTTGGATGTAATAAAAACACTTCTTCTTAAGAACCACGGGGCCAAAAGAGATGAAACTTAAGTGAACGCTTCATGACGTAGTGTAGATCAAGTTTATTTAAATTACGCCCCCGGGGATAGGATAGGGCCACAACAGGATCAAATTCTAGCATGGAAATAATTATGTAGAAAATGTCTTTAAATTGGAATTTCCTCCGGAGCAGCGGGACCATGATTAGTAATATTTTGAAATATGCAAACATCCCCAGGTAGTGAAAATTCAAGCTTGATTAAATTATGCCTGCTGGGGTTAGGGTGGGGCCACAATAGAGGATCAAAATTTTACATGGGAAATATATATGAAAAATTGCTGTAAATCTTCTTCTCAAGAACAGTAGGACCATGATTATATAGTGATATTAATATATGCAAGCATTCCCAGGTAGGCCTATTGCAGATTTAAGTGTACTCGAGTCATGCCCCCCCCCCCCCCCATCAAAGTTCTATACTGGAGTAATAGAAAAAGATCGTTTTAATGATTTCTTTTACAGAACAGGAGGACGGTAATTATAGTCATATTACTACAAAAAGATTTTTAAATTGTGTAGATTTTCAGTTTGTTCAAATCATGGCCCAGGGGGTAGGATGGCATCTAGCTGCAATAATGTAGCCCTCTCCGATTTTTTTTTAATCTGATATTTTCAGGAGAGGGCTACAATTCCACTGCATCTCCGTAATGGTGCAAATATATTTTTTAGATACGGGCGACTGCAGGCAAAATAAATTGTTTTTGCATTCAACTTACTTCCAATGAGACGGAATTTTTATTCACTATCAACATCATAGCCCTTTATACGCGAAAACCAAGTAAAATAAATCTGCGTGTATACCAGTCGTTCTCCTCAGCTGCCATGACAGTTCTCGCGTGATGCACTGAGACTTGCGCTTGAAATTTAGAATCACTTGATAAAGTAAATGTCGGTGTTGATAAATGTTTGTGTTGTATGATATCACTAAACATCGATAAATAATAGCATTCCATGGGATATTTTTTCATAAACAGTGATATTTATGCTTAAAATAAGGGAAATCCTCAACTATCCGCTCCCCTAGATCCCGTATTCTCATTGGTTGTCCCAAAATAAAATCGATCAAGGTCAGTAAACATGGCGGATAAATTCAAGTTGTGATGTTGACATACACGAAAAATAACCGATATACGGATTGTTCTGTATATTTTTGGATCAGTTCATGTCTTGCATAACTACATTTTATGAGTTCAGGTAAGATATGTTAATAAAATACCCACTTACTGATAATTTGAGCCGAAATCTGTGCGGTAGTGAATCACTCCCGCACTTGCACCATTACGGAGATCCTAAGGGTAGAGTCTATAACATAACCCAGTCACGGATTCCGGGAAAATTATTTCCGGTATGGTTTTCAAATGTACAATTTGCTTTAACACCGAACCCGATTGTATTTTTCGTGACACTGTTTGGAAATCCAAGTAAGGAAAGTTCGAGGTATTGAATGCCGTTATCCTTTCATCTCAGCAACTGTATGAAATGGATGAAGAAACAAGGTAGGAATGTTGTATGAAGATAATTATGATATAGTGAATATGCGGTATTCAAGAAATTCTCAACACCTGGATAAAGTTTTGTTAAGGTATAATCACTGATAATAACAGGATTCAAAGAGAGAGGGTGCCAAATTTAGTCTAGTGTTAACATTTTTTTATTATTATTATTATTTTTTCTTATCCATAGTGACACTTGGAAAGATCTGTTCGATGTAAGATCAACATCACTATCTGGGTATGTGACATCTTCCACAAAATTGGACAAGTTGTTATAGGAGTATGATTATGCAACTTCCTCTAGGTTCCGTTGTTTAAAAAGTTCCAAACAATTTGGAAAGGATGTTGGTAAGGTCTTGTTGCGATATTTTATTTTTAAATGCAACTTTAGCAAAATAATTGGGTAGACTTTACTTTACCGGTCCCCAGATCCGCAAGATCCGTGTGCTCATTGCACTATGACATAAGATTTACGTCACTCAACTGATTAGGGTTGTTTTTGCACATTTTTCGACTGGTTAGGGTTAGTCTTGCACCCACCTGAAAAATTAGGGTTAGTCCTTGCATAAGTTTTCGACTGATTAGAGTTAGTCTCGCATCCATCCGAGAGATTAGGGTTAGTCCTTGCACATGGGATAGTCTAGCATGGTTTAGCATCCGCCTTGGAGATTTGGGGTAGTCCTCGCATACCATCAGAGAGATTAGGGTCAGTGTCTTGTTCTTTTAGATTAATTAAGAAATTCAGTTGCATCTGTATTTTTTGCAAGATCTTTATTCAGCTTCAACGACATCTTGTTGGTTTGTTTACATGAAAAAAAATGGCTAAGTAAGAAAGAAATGGCACTAAGCATGCGCCGCACGCGCTTCGTTCACAATTATTTTTTTGTCTCCTTTTCACTGAATAAATAATATTTATTACTTTTTTCAGAGAACGAGGTTAAAAACTTCGTTTAAAAACGAAGTTTTAAACTAAACTTTTAACCGTAGAATTCGATTTTGGGGTCAAAAAGGCTTAAAACCTCATATTTTATTTTTTTTTCAATCGCTCACGCGATCTCATATATACTGAAGTCGCCTACGGTGACACTATAGTTTAGCACGTTTTTCTGGGGACCGGTAAAGTCGTTCCAAATAATTTCTTGAATCTTCTCATTATTGTAACCATTTTAAGCTCACCTGAACCATAGACTCATGGTGTCGGGTGGTTACATTTTGATTCCATGTTTGACCTGCATGGTTACGACCTATCAAGTGGTTTTGATCTGCTCACAGGTAAGTACATGGGTAGCTGTATATTGATAACGTAATAGCTTTTAAATTAATAATTAAAATATCCATTGTCGATAAAAAAAATCCTATGTAGACAAAAACAAAATGTGAAACTGTTGCAAGTGTTAATTAATTGCTTCAGAACGAAACCACTTGTGTCGAACATGGATTTATGTCGAAACCACGCGGGTCGAACAAGTAATAGGAAGGTAACCATCCCCATTCTAGGCTTAGTTGAGCTTATGTGATTGAAATTTGTCCATTGTCTATGTTGTTGGTGTTTTGGATGTTGTAAACATTTTAAAAACTTCTCAACTTATTCTCCAGAAAAGTTGTCATGAGAAGTTGAACTTAGAAACTTTTTTATGTATTTGTTCAAAGTAACACCCCCCCCTCCCCCCTTATCAGATTCACATTTGTTAATATCAATTTACACTGAAAATTCTTTTGCGATTACTGTAGATGTAGGAGAGATTGATAAATCCCATATCAGATTTGTGGACACACAGGAAAATGCTGAACCCCATATAGAATATGATGCTATCCCTTTCATTATTATGGGCAAAAAAATCTTGGAATGTCACCAGGGATATGACAGAGACAAACGAAACAACCAAAAGAAACAAAACAAAGCAAGAAAAGATGTAAGTATGCATTATTTATTCTACTTCTAATAAACTAATAATGAGGCAAAGATGAGGACTGAGAAGGATAACCCACTGTCTAGGGTTTCACATTACATTTTATGAGAACTAGACCAGTTGGGCTACGGTATATCCATTCTCTGGGGAACAACATAACCCAGTCACTGAGGAACATAACCAGTCACTGTTTAACATAACCCAGTCACTGAACAACATAACCCAGTCACTGAACAACATAACCCAGTCACTGTTTAACATAACCCAGTCACTGTTTAACATAACCCGTCACTGTTTAACAACCCAGTCACTGAGGAACATAACCCAGTCACTATACAACATAACCCAGTCACTGTTTAACATTACCCAGTCACTGTTTAACATAACCCAGTCACTGTTCAACATAACCCAGTCACTGTTCAACATAACCCAGTCACTGTTTAACATAACCCAGTCACTGTTTAATATAACCCAGTCACTGAACAACATAACCTAGTCACTGTTTAACATAACCCAGTCACTGAACAACATAACTTAGTCACTGTTTAACATAACCCAGTCACTGAACAACATAACCTAGTCACTGTTTAACATAACCCAGTCACTGAACAACATAACCTAGTCACTGTTTAACATAACCCAGTCACTGTTCAACATAACCCAGTCACTGAACAACATAACCCAGTCACTAAGGAACATAACCCAGTCACTGTTCAACATAACCCAGTCACTGTTTAACATAACCAAGTCACTGAACATCATAACCATGTCACTGAACAGCATAACCCAGTCGTAGAGGAACATAACAAAGTCACCGAACAACATAACCCAGTCACTGTTTAACATAACCCAGTCACTGTTTAACATAACCCAGTCACTGAGGAACATAACCCAGTCACTGTTTAATATAACCCAGTCACTGAGGAACATAACCCAGTCACTATACAACATAACCCAGTCATCCTTTAACATAACCCAGTCACTGAACAACATAACCCAGTCACTAAGGAACATAACCCAGTCACTGTTCAACATAACCCAGTCACTGTTTAACATTACCCAGTCACTGAGGAACATAACCCAGTCACTATACAACATAACCAAGTCATCTTTTAACATAACCCACTCACTAAACAACATAACTCAGTCACTGTTTAACCTAACCCAGTCACAGAGGAACATAACAAAGTCACGGAACAACATAACCAAGTCACCAAACAACATAACCCAGTCACTGTTTAACATAACCAAGTCACTGTTCAACATAACCTAGTCACTGAACAACATACCCAGTCACTGAACATCATAACCATGTCACTGAACAGCATAACCCAGTCACAGAGGAACATAACAAAGTCACCGAACAACATAACCAAGTCACCGAACAACATAACCTAGTCACTGTTTAACATAACCCAGTCATCGTTCAACATAACCCAGTCACTGTTCAACATAACTCAGTCACTGTTTAACCTAACCCAGTCACTGAGGAACATAACCCAGTCACTGGGGAACATAACCCAGTCACTGAACAACATAACCCAGTCACTGTTTAACATAACCCAGTCACTGTTCAACATAACCCAGTCACTGAACAACATAACCCAGTCACTGAGGATCATAACCCAGTCACTGTTCAACATTAGCCAGTCACTTAACAACATAACCCAGTCACTGAGGAACATAACCCAGTCACTGAGGAACATAACCCAGTCACTGTTCAACATAACCCAGTCAATGAACAACATAACCCAGTCACTGAACAACATAACCCAGTCACTGAACAACATAACCCAGTCACTGTTCAACATAACCCAGTCACTGTTTAACATTACCCAGTCACTGTTTAACATAACCCAGTCACTGTTTAACATTACCCAGTCACTGTTTAACATAACCCAGTCACTGTTCAACATAACCCAGTCACTGTTCAACATAACCCAGTCACTGTTTAACATAACCAAGTCACTGTTTAATATAACCCAGTCACTGAACAACATAACCTAGTCACTGTTTAACATAACCCAGTCACTGAACAACATAACCTAGTCACTGTTTAACATAACCCAGTCACTGAACAACATAACCCAGTCACTAAGGAACATAACTCAGTCACTGTTCAACATAACCCAATCACTGTTTAACATAACCAAGTCACTGAATATCATAACCATGTCACTGAACAGCATAACCCAGTCACAGAGGAACATAACAAAGTCACCGAACAACATAACCAAGTCACCAAACAACATAACCCAGTCACTGTTTAACATAACCCAGTCACTGAGGAACATAACCCAGTCACTGTTCAACATAACCCAGTCATCCTTTAACATAACCCAGTCACTGAACAACATAACTCAGTCAATAAACAACATAACCCAGTCACTGTTCAACATAACCCAGTCACTGTTTAACATTACCCAGTCACTGAGGAACATAACCCAGTCACTGTTCAACATAACCCAGTCACTGTTCAACATAACTCAGTCACTGTTTAACCTAACCCAGTCACTGAGGAACATAACCCAGTCACTGGGGAACATAACCCAGTCACTGAACAACATAACCCAGTCACTGTTTAACATAACCCAGTCACTGTTCAACATAACCCAGTCACTGAACAACATAACCCAGTCACTGAGGATCATAACCCAGTCACTGTTTAACATAACCCAGTCACTGTTCAACATAACCCAGTCACTGAGGATCATAACCCAGTCACTGTTTAATATAACCCAATCACTGTTTAACATAACCAAGTCACTGAATATCATAACCATGTCACTGAACAGCATAACCCAGTCACAGAGGAACATAACAAAGTCACCGAACAACATAACCAAGTCACCAAACAACATAACCCAGTCACTGTTTAACATAACCCAGTCACTGAGGAACATAACCCAGTCACTGTTCAACATAACCCAGTCATTCTTTAACATAACCCAGTCACTGAACAACATAACTCAGTCAATAAACAACATAACCCAGTCACTGTTCAACATAACCCAGTCACTGTTTAACATTACCCAGTCACTGAGGAACATAACCCAGTCACTGTTCAACATAACCCAGTCACTGTTCAACATAACTCAGTCACTGTTTAACCTAACCCAGTCACTGAGGAACATAACCCAGTCACTGGGGAACATAACCCAGTCACTGAACAACATAACCCAGTCACTGTTTAACATAACCCAGTCACTGTTCAACATAACCCAGTCACTGAACAACATAACCCAGTCACTGAGGATCATAACCCAGTCACTGTTTAACATAACCCAGTCACTGTTCAACATAACCCAGTCACTGAGGATCATAACCCAGTCACTGTTTAATATAACCCAGTCACTGAGGAACATAACCCAGTCACTGTTCAACATAACCCAGTCACTGTTCAACATAACCCAGTCACTGAACAACAAAACCCAGTCACTGTTTAACATAACCCAGTCACTAAACAACATAACCCAGTCACTGAACAACATAACCCAGTCACTGAACAACATAACCCAGTCACTGTTTAACATAACCCAGTCACTGAACAACATAACCCAGTCACTGCACCTTTATCTCAGCTTAGCTCTTTTTTGTAGTCTGACCACACATATAGACAAAAGCGTAGATTGGTGCTAAACAGCAAGAAGAAAGCTTGTCCTGTTCGAATAAAGATTCGTCATGTTGTGAAGTTTTCAAGTTATTTGGTATGTATTAATTTGTATTATAGACTCACTAAAAATTGTATCGATAAATGTAATATGTAAATATGTTCAGTGTTTATGTGTTGATGTACGTTATGCTGTTTAATATTTTAAATAAATACAAGACACAATTTACTTTTATATAATTTAAAGCTTTCAAGTAAAGAAAACACACCTCATCATCAAAGGAAACTGGTTAAGAATCTTATTATTATTAGATAATTATTAGAAGCATGTGTACATACAGTTTTATTTTGTCATTTCATTTTTGTAGGTAAATATGTTTTTCTTTTATTTTAGATATATGCCTTGTTCAAAGGTGAGGCATTTGGGAGAGAGTTCTACAGTTCTTACAGTAAGTATACACAGTTATAAGAGAAAGCAATTCCCTTTGATTATGTAGAGCTAGGTTTAATAAATTTTTTTTTAATTGATAAACAAATCTGTGTTTTAGGAGGGAAATGAGGTTTACCCATTATAATATCTTTCATCCAAATATTTTTTTTTCATCAAAAGCTGACAAATAGAAAACTGCCAAAAATATTTTCTTCAGACCTTTTAACAATATAAGCAGAGGGGGAAAAAAATAGAATATTATTTGATCTTTGATATAAAAATGGCCTATGAACTTTTTAAGCAGAACTTTGGACTTATAGTCACAGAACAAAACATATACGAGTAAACAGTTGTAGTAACTCAGGCAGTAATGAAAGATGCTGTCAACACATACTATCAGAAAACAGCCGGTTTGTCAGATTGCTTCTTTAGTTAAATTTTGTAAGTACCTCGATAACAGGCTAATGCAAAACTTCAAGAGAGATTAATCCCTTGTATATTTAATGAATGAAAATCCAGTGTATCGATGCAAGCAGATCCACTTTTATTTTTTTAGCAGATTATCAAAATTAATGAAACTTGAGATTGTTAAGACATTTTGACGATATGATCCATATTCTGTAAGGTGATACCATATATATAACATATAATGCCATATTTACACATATATCTATATAAAAATTGCTACAGCTGTATATGTACATTTAGAAAATTATTGTGTTAATGAGTGTAGTGTAAATTTAAGAGTGCAGTGCTGTTTTTTTTGTTGTTTTTTTTTGCTTTTGTTTTTGTTTTTTTTTTTTTTTACATCTAGTCATTTTATAATTTTACTGGACAACCCTTGTATTTTGGTCATAGCAATATAGATGATACAAATGAAAATTCTTATTAAATGTACTAGTCATTAATTCATCATATTTTTTCCACTAAACAGAAAGCTTCAGAACAGATATCAGAATGCAATGCCTGGTTGCACAAGAGTGTAAAAGCTGAAGTGAGTATAATAATAATAATTAATATACATGCAATTCACACCTTTAGTATATAAACGCATTCCAATGTCTTTCTGGTTACTTTCCATGTCACCTGACCCATTAAATATCTGATGAAACAAATTCTTCTGGTGTCCATCATACTATTTTTAAACTATTTACATTATAAAAATAAAACATTATTATGATGTTTTAGGGTAACACATTAAATTGATATCCTGTGAAAACCATTGTTGTCTGATGCAAAGCTGAGGTCGGTCATCAATGGTTTTCAAGGGATAACAATCTCACATGTTACCCTAAAAACATATTATTAGCTCACCTGAGCTGAAAGCTCAAGTGAGCTCTTCTGATCACCCGTTGTCCGTCTGTTAATTTTTCACATTTTCATCTTCTTCTCAAGAACCACTGGGCCAATTTTAACCAAAGTTGGTACAAAGCATCCTTTGGTGAAGGGGAAATTAAATTGTTAAAATCAGGGGCAAACCCCCTTACAAGGGGAGATAATCAAGAAAAGGCAAAAATAGGATGGGGTCATTAAAAAATCTTCTTAAGAACCACTGGGCCAGAAAAGCTTAAACTCATGTGGAATCATGCTGGAGTAGTGTAGATTCTAAATTGTTAAAATCATGATCCCCGGGGTAAGAGTTGGGCCACAATAGGAATCAAATTTTTACATTGAAATATATATGAAAAAATCCTTGGAGATCTCCTTTTCAAGAACCACTGGGCCAGATATGCTGAAATTTATGTGGAAGCATCCTGGAGTAGTGAAGATTACAAATTGTTAAAATCATACTCCTGGGGGTAGGGTGTGGCCACAATAGGTATAACATTGGGGAAAGTCTGGTGAAGAACAGCAGGGCCAAAGTTACTCAGGTGAGTGTTGTGGTCCATGGGCCTCCAGTTTTTATAATGTAAATAGTTTAAAGATATCATGATGGACACCAGGCAGTAATGGTTTTCAAGGGATAACCTTAAAAATTTAAATATTTTCCTTTGTTATACCAAATCTATTTAGAATAAAGCATTTAAAAAAAGAACCCACAGTAAACCGTACGGGTATACATTCTGCCCAATTTTGCACTGTTACCCGTCGTCATGCAATGTCACCGTTGCTATGTAATGTTACGTGGAGGGCATAGTTTACACATGCGGTAGGGTAGCAGTACTTTTTAACAAATGTTTTTAAACCAATCAAATTTGACTTAACATAAAAGTATAACAATAAGGTTTGTCTATATTGTTCATGAAAAATTAACATTTTTTGTTTATAGACTGAACAGTCCATGAAACTGGTTAACATTTTGTGCGAATGGCCAAGGATGGATCTTCCCATAAACAAGGGAACAGGAAACATACAAGGCTACAATATAGCAACGATGGTAATTTTTAGTATCTGTTGCATGCATGGTTATCTAACAGCCCTGGGTTCAGAATTTAATTCTGTCTTATTTATCACTCAATTTTACTGTTTATTTCACACAATTATATGGTGTGATCTGACTTCATACATGTGACAGAACTGAAAAATCACAACTGGAGATTTGAAAATTTTCAGCTGGAGTTTGGGTCTCAAAGCTGGAGATTTTTTATCGACATTTTTTCAAATCGCAAAAGACCATCCAACCCCCAAAATTCAGGAAAAAATACCTTCTCCCCGTTTATTACTTTACAAATTTTATTTTATAAAGTTGTTGTCAAGTTTTAAGAAAAATATGGTAAAGTTTTTATTCAAATGAAGTGAAATTGAGTATTCAAAATGAAATCAACTCATTTCCTAGTAAATTAATTAAGAGTTAACAGCATCATTAAAACATTGGATAAAATTTTATTTTTGATTTAGTAATTGATATATCAACTAGTAAGTGAAGTAAAACATAGCTAGGTTTTATGTAACAAATTCTATGTCAGTAATTTGTTTTTAAATAGAATATGTACAGATGAAAAAAAAGTACCCTCTAAAAAAATAAACAAATTAGAGTCAGGTATATTTTAGCAACACCCTGTAGTGTGATCTATTTTTAACTAGAGTGTGACCTACATTATAACTATCTTTTAATGACCAAAGCAGCATTAGAAGATGGCAACTGGGTATTTTAGCAACTAATTACAATGTTTTGCATTCAGTAATAAACATCAATGGTCTTTTATCAAGTTGATATATCACTAATTTTTACAACATAATTATACGACCTCATGTTGATTCCAACGAAGCCTACCGCTGTGAAAATTTAATGCACTGGCGTTGTTATCTCAATTTCTTTTCATTCTGAGCAATTAAATGAAACACGATCAAAAAAATATTGCAAATAATACTTAATTTGAAGAATTTTAAAACACGGAAGATTTAAAAATTAATCGGGAGGGGCGGAAGGGGGGTGAAATATCGGGAGATTTTGTCTCCCGCCGGAAGAATCACATGTATGTGACTTTCTGATCAGTTTTCTGAATCCATATCAACACTTTCTGAAACTGACTCAATCTTCAGGTCAAGTTAGAGAAATTTATTAAGAATTGATGTTTAGATATATAAACAGCATGATATATAAATAAGAGCTCAACAATGAAGATTATAGTTAAAAAGGGGATAGTATAGCCTGCTCTAAGTGATTAGTAATAGTTCTATAACACTACCTGTTTATGGCAGAGAGATTTTCAGGAGAAAAATTGCCTATAATTATTTAAAAATTTTAACAGTTTGCAAAAGACATCAAAACAAAGCTGAAGGAAATATTGGAAATAGAAGAGGGTGATAAGAGGTAAATAATAAACATTGAAAGCAGCCTATTTACTTTTAAATTGTCTTCATTAAATTTATGGGCAATAAAATGATATTCCATTTATTGGAAATTAAAGAGATTTTATGGTATGTCTTTCATAGTTTAACACTGTTTCATGCACTTTGGTTTACAAGATGTACCGTAACAACTGGTTAAAATTAAATTAACTTGATCGAGTGTTATAATATTCCTTTTACAGGTGTTATGAACCACACTGGGGACATCTGCGATGGATTGACAGGAATGACTTGACCAACCATAATGTGATGAATAACTCTGTGAAAGGAATGGAAGAAAGAAATAAACTTTTTCATAAAGAGGTAACATCCATATGTACTCTCTCTAGATTTTAATGTATAAGCATACAATGTATTTTACAAGGCTAGTCCTGCATATTCTTGCTCATGTGCAGGTGTTGTTACGGATATTGATTTATAACATGATTGTTTTCTTTTTTCTTTCTCTACTCATGATATATATATATATATATATATATATATATATATATATATACATGTATTTATATATATATATATATATATATATATATATATATATATATATATATATATATACAGTTGAACTTTGGTATCTCGAACACGGATATCTCGAATCTTATGGATATGTCGAAGTGTGATTTGGAAGTCCCAAACACTTAATATTTTAAGTATTTTACCCCCAATATCTCGAACCCTCAGATATCTCGAAGTTTATTCTCGGTCCCATTGAGTTGGAGATAATGAGGTTTGACTGTATATATATATGCGTGAGTGTGTGGGTGTGTATGTGTGTGTGTTAGAGAAGGAAACAAGTTTATTTGCCTATTTTTTTCCCTCCCAATAGAGATGGGCTGAAATGAGTGCTCTTGTTTTAGAAGAATTTGGCTTGTTTAAACCAAAAACAATCATGTAAATTTATACCTCAATTTAATTTGCTATTCTATATTATATAGCTATATAAACTTACCACGGAAGATGAATCTTAACCTGTCACCTTTAGAGTTTTGTGAATATTTAACTCTTGGAGTGAAGTAAATTGTCATCAAGACTTCATATAAGTCCGACTAAGATTTATAAATAAATTTCTAGACATACATCATCAGTACATCTGCTTACTAAGGATTGATTTCAAGAGGTAGACATAATGTACCCATTAAAGAATATTGTATGTACTGTAAAAAAAATTTTTTTTTTTGGTGATAACTTTATTTTTGCATATTAGCGAGACTGTTTGTAGGGGAAAATTTCATTCACACATAATATTCCTCTTATAAAGATTATATAGGGCAGACACCAAAAGTTGTGAAAATTTTGTTTTGCTTGTAAATATCAAATAAAAGAAGCACACATTTTGCACCAAGCTAATTCCACTCACCCTTTTCAACAAATTAAAGACGACTTAGTCATGTTCAGCATTCTTCATTGTACTTTTTTAATAAAAAAAATTTGTCGATTTTAGTGGTCTCTTCAGTCCTCCAGGATATTACCTTAGTTTGAAAAACTGCAATAATGGAAAGCTTATGGCAACACTGGAAGATGAGTATGATATTTTTTTATTCATCCTTGTTGAAGAAAATGGAGAGGCATATTGTGTAATGTCAGTCAGGGGTTATTTTTGTAACTAAATTGTTAACTTTTAAAGTAAACCATATGTCTCTTCATATCCATAATTTAATCATAATTCACGTCTGATTTTTTCTTGATTTGATTGATCTCCATAGACAACTTTATTCTTAATTATTTTCATTCTCTTTTAGGACAGGACAGAGATTGAATGAAGGAGTTAGATACTTTAAGGATGTATTGCTTGTAGAAGCAAGAATCATTATCGCTTCTGTTGTCAAGAACATAACATATAGAGAAGCTGAAGAACTTCTCTATCCATTGAAATAACAAATTTATGTTCCGGTTGATTGAGTTTGCAAATTTGATATATATTGGAATATTTCAATTGTGATAGCATTGCAAAAGATGTTCTACATCAATTGCTATATGACATGTTGAACAATATTTGTTTGCAGATTCTTTACAGTTATTATATATCACCATCTGATGAAATATTGTTATAATGTAAAATGGACTCTGTCAGGGCTCATGATCAATTGTACTTGTTTACTCTAGATGAACTCATAAACTCTAATAATTGTGATTTCATTCAAATCAAATCCACACCAGACCAAGCTGTTTTATCATTAATTCCTACTAGAAACATTAGTTTAAATGTAGGAAAAATTTGATAAAATTTGATGTAATTTGACTTTGAAAATATCTATTAAAGTTTTGTTTTTCTGACAAGTGAAATGAATTTCACATGCAGAATTCATACCATTGGATTTGGGTGTAATTTAAAAGGAACACTTGTGCAGCCACGCATTATTTCTTAAATAGTGCCTGTAATACATTTGTATGGTCTTAATATTGTGTGGCCATTTTTTTCCCCTAGGATTAATTGATCTACGTTATTTTTATCTTTAAGTTCCTCAGTGACTAAACCCAATTTGTATAAAAATTGGGAGCAGAGCTCTAGTAAAAGGCTTAACATTAGTTTATGTTTCAAATAATGATTGTGTCAAATAAATTATTTTCCTTACCACTTTCGTATATATGCCTTATATATGGTCCAAATTATGCACATTAATTCATATTCAATGCTTGGGTTATGTTTCTCAGTGACTGGGTTATGTTGTTCAGTGACTGGGTTATGTTCCTCAGTGACTGGGTTATGTTGTTGAGTGACTGGGTTATGCTGTTGAGAGACTGGGTTATGTTGAACAGTGACTGGGTTATGTTGAACAGTGACTGGGTTATGTTGTCCTGTGACTTGGTTATGTTGTTCTGTGACTGGGTTATGTTGTTCTGTGACCGGGTTATGCTGTTCTGTGACTGGGTTATGTTTCTCTGTGACTGGGTATGTTCCTCAGTGACATGGTTATGTTGTTCAGTGACTGGGTTATGTTGTACAGTGACTGGGTTATGTTATACAGTGACTGGCTTATGTTAAACAGTGACTGGGTTATGTTGTATAGTGACTGGGTTATGTTGTATAGTGACTGGGTTATGTTCCTCGGTGACTGGCTTATGTTAAACAGTGACATGGTTATGTTGTTCAGTGACTGGGTTATGTTAAACAGTGGCTGGGTTATGTGGAACGGTGACTGGGTTATGTTGTTCAGTGACTGGGTTATGTTAAACAGTGACTGGGTTATGTTGTTCAGTGACTGGGTTATGTGCCTCGGTGACTGGCTTATGTTAAACAGTGACATGGTTATGTTGTTCAGTGACTGGGTTATGTTAAACTGTGGCTGGGTTATGTGGAACAGTGACTGGGTTATGTTAAACAGTGACTGGGTTATGTTGTTCAGTGACATGGTTATGTTGAACAGTGACTGGGTTATGTTGTCCTGTGACTTGGTTATGTTGTTCTGTGACTGGGTTATGTTGTTCTGTGACCGGGTTATGCTGTTCTGTGACTGGGTTATGTTTCTCTGTGACTGGGTATGTTCCTCAGTGACATGGTTATGTTGTTCAGTGACTGGGTTATGTTGTACAGTGACTGGGTTATGTTATACAGTGACTGGCTTATGTTAAACAGTGACTGGGTTATGTTGTATAGTGACTGGGTTATGTTGTATAGTGACTGGGTTATGTTAAACAGTGACTGGGTTATGTTGTTCAGTGACAGGGTTATGTTTAACAGTGACTGGGTTATGTTAAACAGTGACTGTGTTATGTTCCTCAGTGACTGGGTTATGTTCCTCAGTGACTGGGTTATGTTGAACAGTGACTGGGTTTTGTTGTTCAGTGACTGGGTTATGTTTCTCTGTGACTAGGTTATGTTCTCTGTGACTAGGTTATGTTGAACTGTGATTTGGTTTTGTTGTACAGTAAATGGGTTATGTTTCTCAGTGACTGGGTAATGTTGTTCAAAAACTAAGTTATGTTTTTCAGTGTCTGGGTTATGTTGTACAGTGACTGGGTTATGTTTCTCTCTGGGTTATGTTGTTGAGAGACTGGGTTATGATGTTGAGAGACTGGGTTATGTTGCTCGGTGACTTGGTAATGATTTTCAGTGACTGGGTTATGTTATTCACGGACTGGGATTTGGTTCTCAGTAACTGGGTTATATTTTTCAGTGACCCGGTTATGCTGTTGAGAGACTGGGTTATGTTGAACTGTGACTGGGTTTTGTTGTACAGTGACTGGGTTATGTTGTTCAGTGACTGGGTTATGTTAAACAGTGACTGGGTTTTGTTGTACAGTGACTGGGTAATGTTGTTCAGTGACTGGGTTTTGTTAAACAGTGACTTGGTTTTGTTAAACAGTGACTGGGTTATGCTGTTTCATTTAAACTTGCAATTGAGAAAGAAAAAGAAAAAAAGAGAAAGAAAAGCTAGAACAGTGCAGTTTAGAGGGATTCACTTGTAACATATTGAAGTGATTGCCCCCCCCCCCCCCCCAAAAAAAAATTAAAATATAACAACCCATTTTTGCCAGAAAGTTTTATAGTCAGTAAGTTTTTTATCATCTTTTACAGTGTATTTCAAAGCTAAAATGGGATTTAAATAAATATAGAAAACCATGAATATCTACTAAATTATGTGTGTTCATTATCTCACAGTTGAACAGTGAATTGGTTATGTTATTGATTGGGTATAATATGTTGAACAGTGACTAGGTTAGGCTTTCCAATGACTGAGTAAAGTTTCGCAGTGACTAGGTTATGTTGTTCAAAGACTAGATAAAATTGGTTTGTAACTGGGAAATTTTTTTCTGTGACCTAATGGCTATAAACCAGGGTCATATTAAAGAATCATCACTTCTTGTAAAACTGCAAGTCAACAAATTAGGGATTTTTGTTTTTTCACTGTATGTGATTGTCTTTATGGGCGGGATTCCTTTTACCCTCGGAAGATTAGCGTAAGAAATAATTATTGAGAAAGACAAGTCTTTTCTGCTGTGCATACACTAGATGGCATACACACATGCTAACTAGGTCACTAGTTCTACCAGTGGCTAAACGCAATCTATTAATTTATCATGTTATAACTATTAAATACCCTAACCTTCGTGAAAGTCGTTCATTCGCCTGAATGTCTTAATATTAAGACTCCGATTATGGCTATTGATCGTATTATTTACCACACACCATAGTGTTTACAAAACTATATTGCATCGGGATCGAATATGCGTTATATTACAAAAAACCATACCGGAAATAATTTTCCCGAAAACCGTGACTGGGTTATGTTATAGACTCTACCGATCCTAAGGAGTTGTAGCCCTCCCCCCCCCCCCCCCCCCAAAAAAAAAAAAGAAAAGAAAAAAATCGGAGAGGGCTACATTATTGCAGCTAGATGGCATCATAATAGGGATAGTTTGTGAGTAGGCTACTGTGTTGAAATTGACACATGAATATCTACTTCCCTATTATACTCCATTTTGAAGCCTTTATCGTCAGCATTTTGGTCTACCAACCGACAGAAACAAAACGTCTCTTTGCCTTTATTGTAAAAAATATAATGTTGACCTACTTAACATGTCTAAGTTGACTGATAGTTTTTTGCCTACTCTTTTCAACAGGCTTCGTAAAACTGAGATGAGCTCAATTTTGATCTCAGTCTCACCTTTACCAAAGGAATTAATAGTAGAAAAGTGAGACCGAGATCAAATGTGAGCTCGTCTAAGTTTTCTTGCCCCGGAGCCTGGTCTCACATTGTGAAAGCTAGATTGGATTCTAGACGTGATTTAACCATATTTACGTTGGCAGCACATTTTATAAGGGTTTATTATCAATGTAAGGCAATGGCTTAACACCTTTGTAGTTTGTTTCGGAGCATAAATCATTATAACTGTCTTGAATTTTGTTTAACTTCATATCCCTTTCAAATGGAGTCCCTGAACCAACCTCAATCATCAAACTAATTAATCTTTGACTGATAAAAGAAATGAATATAGAAGTAACATTCTGTTGTTGTTGTTTGTTTGTTTGTTATTGTTGTTTTTTTTTAAATTAAACATTAAAATTTAATTATGACTCGCTGAAATTAACTTATCCATTGCTCGCGAGAGTATTTGTCCCCTCCTTGAAACGTTATACAATCGGTCTGCTGCTGAAGTCAACATCTATATTTGGAATCAAGGGCAACAGGTCACAGCGATTTTGTCAGCTAACATCAAAGACCTATGTTTTGGTTCCCACGATCAAGCTAGAATGAAACTGAAGAAATCGGTCTGTGGTAGGGGGATTCGCTCAACATTCAAGGTAAAGGCACGAACCCGGATGGTAAAATGGATAATCAAGTCAGTACCGAAAATGTCAATCGCTTGATTGAACTCATGAATGCTTCGACTTTTTGTGTAGGAACAAGTCAGACGCCAACAGTGGAAAATGAACCTATTAAGGATGTCCCTGAGAGCAGCGCTTGGAACTATCTACCACGACTTCGAGGTAGTCATGTGTATTTTAAAGGCTGTAATTTTTGTAAGAAGAACGGAGAACCTCGTCAAGTTTATTATGGTCATCAACTACGGGATGAGTTTGGACGTGTGACATGTCCGGTGTTATTCCGTTACGTCTGTCCATGGTGCGGTGCCACAGGAGAATACGCCCACACAGTGAGTTACTGCCCCTCCAATCCGTACCGTAGGTCTACGGTACTGACGTCACGTACTCCACGGAAAAGCTGTGGTTGTTTAAGAAACTGTCAACATCACTACAACCGGAAACACTAGGAGGAATAGCAACAACGAAGGAAAAAAGTGAACAAATTTTAGTGAGCGCATGTTGCCGATAGTAATTCTTGTATCATGGAAGAGAAACGACAATCCAGTACATGTACTTTGCTTGGTATTTTTTTTTTTTTTACAGTAGTCGAATTTTTGTAGTGTTACGTATTTTTTTCATCAGTAGTGTATTTATTGTTGAAAATTTGGCTTTATTTATAATGATCTATTCTAAAATTGAATTAAATGTAATATCGTCCGCTAGTTTGGTGTTAAATATATTTTATTAAATTTATTTTGTCTATTGCTCTTTCAAACACAGACACAGGTGCTTGGGGACGGGACCCCTCTCCCACCCCCGACAATTGAAAAATCCAAAATATAACCGAAAACTAACCTTTTATAACAAATTCACACTCTCTGATACTAGTTCTCTTTTAGTATCAGATTGTATCAATATTGTAAAGCTTTGTGAATGTGTCATAGAAAAATATTTTATATTAAAAAGTTGAAGAACCCTGTGATAAACAGAGGAGGGGGGGGGGGTCCCAAGCACCTGTGAAAGCAGATGGTGTAATATTAAAAGACTGGAAATTATGAAGCTGAGGAATGAGATGTTGAAAGTAGAAAAGAAGTAAAACCCACTAAAAGAACTTTTAAGAAGTTTGCTTTGTGCAACGTTTGTCTCTCTCGTCTTCTGGCTCCAGGGCCAAAAAACTTAGACGAGCCCACTTTTGATCTCGGTCTCACTTTTACAAAAGGAATATGTAGTGAAAAAGTGAGACTGAGATCACAAGTAAGCTCATCTAAGTTTTATGTTCCCGGGGCCCGATGCAAACTCACCTGACCACATTGGCTAGGAAAAAGCAGAAATCAATATGGGAAAGATTGAATATATGTGATCATAAGTACCCCCCCCCCCAACACACACCCACCCTTGTGGAAAGGGGGCATGATTTGTTCACACTTGAATCTACATTGATTGAGAATGAAGTCCATATTTCTTTGACAAATAATGGCTTTTCGAAGATTTTTTCTCTATTGTAGCCCTGCCCTACCCCCGGGGAACATGGTATGAACAAACTTGAATCTACATTACCTGAGGATGCTTCTGAATTAATATGTCTACTTATGGATTTGCTTTTATGAAGAATTTTTTTTAAAGAAATTTCCTATATATTTCCATGTAAAACTTTGATTACCAATTGTGTCCCCACCCTATCCCAAAAGGGGAGGGTCATGATTCAAAAAATTTAAATCAACATTATCTGAGGATGCTTCCATATAAATATATAACACAGCCACTTATTTCGATAATAAATTTTTTAACCCATAGTATATACATGTAATAATCACACAAGGTATCCAGCTCCGAATTACATGGAGTACCCCCTCCCGAGAATCGGACTCATTTACACTTTCAGAGGAAAAGTATTGGCAAACTGTTTATTACCATTGTCTTCTACGATAATTTATCTACACAACCATGCATGGCATGCTGTCTTTATTTTCTTCCATCTCCGTAAACCTAAAACGTAAAACAAGAGGGGGGGGGGGGTCAAATTTAAGTCGTCTGTAAGATTTCTTCGGGGAGATTTTCTTATGGAAACTATTGGTTTAAATAAACATTGAAATAACATACGTTCATCAGTAAAATACATGTATATGGGAGATGCACAAACTTCAATAAATGAACGATCCCGGATCTTTTCAATTTCATTTTTTCATTTTAGACGAGATTAGAAAATCATACCAAGTAAAAATTGATAAAAATATTATAAAATGTTAATTAAACCTCCTCCCCGTTTGTTGGGGAGAAGTTTTCAAATTAGGCTAACGGAGAAAGTTGCAAAATTTCTTTTGGGTCTTAGTCGTTAAGTCCAGTTAGGGAAGAGGTCCTTTCCACAAGCACCTGTGATTACTGCCACTAAATTGCCTCTCAATATTTCTGGAAGTGATTGGAGAGTGTTAAATAGCATATTTACGCACTTTATAATATTGCTATAGCAGTAGTACTTGCTTGAATGATTACCGATATCTTCAAATCTTTAAAGAGATGTCACTCAAGACAAAATATTAGCTAAATACGAAACCCAATTAGGATCAATCTATGGAGGGAAAAATTAAAAGGCGTTAAAACGCCTTTCGAAAAAGGCGTAATAACGCAAACAACAGGCCCAGGGGCCACATCGCTCACCTAAGCACTCTGGCTAGGAAAAAGCAGAAAGCAGTTCAGTCTTGAAAAGCTTGTTCTCGTGGGGGTTCATGATTTGAACAAAATTTGAATCGTACATTACCTGAAGATGCTTCCAGTTAAATTATGGCTTTGCTGTTCTAGAAAAGAAAATTCTTAAAGATTTTTTCCTATGTATTCCTATGTAAAACTTTGATAGCCCATTGTGGCCCCTCCCTACCCCAGGGGGTCATGATTTGAAAAAAATGAATCTACACTATCTGAGGATGCTTCCATATTAAATATGACCAATCATGGATTTACTGTTCTTGAGAGGAAGTTTTTTAAAGATTTTTCCTGTATATTTCTATGTAAAACTTTGATCACCCATTGTGGCCCCACCCTAACCCCGGGGGTCATGATTTGAACAAATTGGAATCTACACTACCTGAGGATGCTTCCACATAAGTTTCATATTTTCAAGCCCAGTGGTTCTTGAGAAGAAGATTTTTAAATGATGCCATTAATTTTTCACGAATTCATAATTATCTCCCCTTGGAAGAAGGCTTGGCCCTTCATTTGAACAAACTTGAATCCCCTTTACCCAAGGACATTGGCTTAGTGGTTCTTGAGAAGAAGATGATAATGTGAAAAGTTGACAGCAACGATGACAGACACCGGACAAATTTCGATCAGAAAAGCTCACTTGAGCCTTTGGCTCAGGTGAGCTAAAAAGGCGTAATAATGCAAAGAAAGGCAAAATAATGCAAAAAAGGCGTAATCACCTTTCCAAAATGCTTTATGACGCCTTTTATTTTCAATACATGACAAACTTAGCCCATCCCAGTGGCTGAAATCTTACCCTTTGGGACATGAATTTCACAACTTATTATAGGGCTAACTTTTCAAAAAATTATTTAAACAGCTCATGATTAGATTTCTTGGAAAAAAAGATTTTTAAAATGCGTAATATATTTTCAATGTTCGGTAAAACTTTTTTTAAACACAATAATTTGCCAAAGTTTCACCATACTGCAACAAAATGTTCACAGACCAACCAGTCAATAAATGAATTTTTATATTTAAGCTATAGCAAGACTATTCTCCCAAAAAGTGGGGTGGGGCCTGTTTGAAAAGGTCTTATATCCAAAAATGAAAAGGTGTTATTTTAAAATAATAAATATATGAAAGGTTGAATCAAAGCCATCTTTATTTATGCAATATTGAAAAGTATTTTCTATTTTCCTGTACATTTCGCAGACAACTGTTTGCATGGCCATTGGGTAGGCAAACTATTTGCATGGGTATAATGAGCAATTAGCCTTCAACCAAATTTGTGAAATCTATGACAGTTGGTAGAGGTGTCTGGCATCAGAGAAGGACTAAGTTTTTTAACATTAAAAATATATTACATATTTAAAAACCTTTTTTCCTGAAAATCTAATTACAATATGTTTAAATTATTTTTTGAGAAATTAGCCCTATATCTAATTGTGAAATTCATGTCCCAAGGATAAGATTTCAGCCCCCAGGGTGGGCTACGTTAGTTATGTATTGAGAATAAAAGGCGTAATAACGCAAGATCTTGTCTCAAAGGTCAAAGTCGCTGTTGCTAAATCTCTCCTTATGCAATATAGCTTTAAGTTCAAGGTCATCATGTATTTTGAGCTTAACAATGGAATGACTAATGCTTTTTCCAAATTGTAATGCATTTTTTCTGCTTTGTGTGTGCGTTTTTTTTTAAAATAGAAACTTTGAGCCTATATTGTTTTCCCAGAAGATGTCTGTCACGCTTTCTTTTCATTGCTTCCCCTTCCATTTTTAAAGGCATGTGGTGCAATGTAAATATAACAATAGCCATGACTTCCTTTTGATCACATATGGATTTAATGGAACAAAATTTGTAAACAACATATAATTAAATACTCTATTCATGTCATGATTTTCATAAAATCACACAAAATTGATTGATTGATTACAAGTTATATAGGACTTTATACTGAAACAGCAGTATTTCTGCCATCTTCGGCAAGAAATCACAAAATTAACGTGTAATTAGAAACATGACGGCAGAGATAACAGATACTCCTACTTGTATTTTCAAATATGGAAAAGAGGAAAAATTCAGAAATTAAAATAATTTAAAAATGATAAATCCATACTGTAAATTCATTCTCAATCAATAAATATACAATATTTTAATCACAGAGACACAAGTTGATTTCAATAAGATTATTGCTAAGTATCTTTTTTTTTATATCTATACATAACATACATGTATACATAGTATTCACTCTGGATTATCAATAACACACACATTCGGCAGTATAATGGCATTTTCAAAAACAAAACTAGGAATTCATCACAGAGATAATGGTAGGCTGGTAGTCACTGGTTGTCACATTTTGATAATTCATTCTTCTTTATAAAAAAAAGAAGAAAAAAAGCCATGACACAAAGAAAATGAAAGGCATTGATTTTGTGCTTGTAAAGGAAGGCAACAACCATAAACTTCACATATCACAAAACACAGCATTCCCTCCCATAGTATGATTTAAAAATTATGAACTATCTAATATAACATTGATATAATAATGTTAGGAACAATAAAGGCTTGTTTATACCTTTGATCTTGACATTTTACTTGCCACTTAAAATCTCTGTACCCAATAAACTAACATATTAAAATTAAATGGCAATGCATTTTTTCTCCAGTTGCATCAAATTCTATCACCCATAAATTCTCAGCTTTCTAAATTTGGCCACCTAGCATTTCTGCATAAAGTATATGAATGATTAGTTCAAATATTAAAGTACATAATTAAATTGTGTCCAAAGTATTTAATTAATCTATCACTGTCTCTGATCTTAAAACTTTTGATTTTATCTTTACTATGATCGATCATCTGACCTCTCTTCAAATCTCTACTGAAAGAAAAGGGTTGAAAAGTCAAAAAGGATCTTTTAATAACTGTCCTAAATAAAGCTGAAACTTTTCAATGTCTGTGACCTTCACCTTTGACCGTAAAATCCATAGAATTCCTCCCCTAGCTACTCTCCATCTTAGACTGGAAGGTCGCATAGGACTCTAAAATTGTGTTGACAACATTTTTGAAACTTTCTTTTGTCTTTGACCTTAAAGTCTTCTTTCTCTGGATATTCCTAGCACCTCAGTGCTGAGACAGGCAAGTCATATGGTATTTTCTGTTCCATCCAATTACTCTGTCAAGGTTCACACATAATGTGCACAAACAGGCCAGTCCTATGATAATTTTGGTTGTAATGCACCATTTGATTGGACAGAAAAATTTGTTTCTATCTCATAACCTGTTTTTCCTACATCACAATAATTTATATCAAAAATATATCAATCCGCTTGATGTTACAGTTAAAATTTATACAACATGTAGGCATTTTTGAAGGGAAAATTTTCTTATTCTTTACACTTAATGATAGAAAACTGAATTATAAGGAATCAATTTCATAGCTTCCCAAGTTATACTTGTATAACCTTGGTTGGAGCAGTTTATGCTTTTTTTTAAAACCCCTTTGTGGTTTATAAAGCGTAAACTGCCCCAACCCAGGTTATACAGTATAACTTGGGTAGCTATTAAATTTATTCCTTAATTGTTTTGTGCTTTGTTGTGATGTCATATTAAGAGTACTATATAACAAAATTCAGCTACACATTGACAGATAAACTAGGCTGGTCAGTTGATATGAACTCTAGGAAGCCGAACAACCAATTGTTACTTAGCACTGTTAATCATGGCTAGTGGCAATCTGATAAATATTCTTATGATTTCTTCTCATTTCTGCTTTTACATCTATCAACAATCATTACTACAGCCACATTAGGTCATCATCATCATCACCAAAATCATTCATTCCCTCAAATAATTTGTTTCTACAAGGGCTATCCGCTGTGTTATAGTGTCTGTATGGATTGGTTCGGGGCAGTGATTGTTCACACAACCAGCAAAAATAGGCTCGACACTTCATACACGTCATCTTGTTACAGCCATCAATTTTCTACAAAACAAAATACATTTAATAGTACAATTCTCTTTTCTGCTTGAACTTTCAGTAAGGCGTGACATTCTTGGCGATACATAATTAGCGTCTCTCAAATGGTAACCTAGATTCTCATTGGTTAAGAAATTAATAACATTAGCAAGTTTAGACTGTTGTTAACAAACGACAAGGTGACATAAGCCACACCTCTTTACTGTAAGAAATGATGTCATTGGTACTTTACGTCACGTGTTGATGTCTAACCCATTTTTATCCCATTTGTATTTCTCCCGTGAATGAAAAACTGTGTAAATTTCAGTATTGATGAGCTAATCTGGCAACCAATGAGAATCTATAAGGTCACTATCTGAGAGAAGGTAATTATCTATAGCCGAGAATGACACGCCTTACTGAAAGTTCAAGCAGAAAAGAGAATTGTACTAATTTGCTGACCAGTCTTTAATATAACCTCAGGTACTTGTAAAACTAGACCTTTATATATGTACAAAACAGTATAATGATTAAAATACCTATAGATACTACATGTACCTATAGTATTTTACCACACAATATGAGGTAGAAAAACAGGTAATCAAAGGTTACGAAGCTCACCTCGACGAATGTTATCTATAAGTAAGGCAAATCTCACATCATAATTTTTTTCTAGTTAGTGTGCATCCCAAGATCAATATCCATGCAAGTTTGGTTTAAGTAGGACTTATAGTTACTTGGAAATAGACCTGCTCAAAAAACTTATAACCTGTTTACTACCCAAAAAATTTTGGAAGTCTGGAAGTTTTCATCCTTAGATGCACCATCTATGCAAGTTTAATCATAACAGGCCATAATATTATATAGCTACTCCAAAAACATTACCCTGGTCACTCATCTGGAAAATGTATGTCAGATTTAGAATCCAGAGCAAGTCTTGAAGTGTCCATCCCTAGATACATCACCCATGCTAATTTGGTTAAAATATGGCTGAATTCCACTCTTGTGGAAAATCTAGGTCAGATCCAGGATCCAAAGAGGTTTGTTAGTGTACATCCCTAGATGCATCATCCATGCAAGTTTGGTACAGGTAGGGCTTATAGTTACTTGGGAATGGACCTGCTCCAAAAACTTTAACCTGGTCACTCATCTGGAAAATCTGATCCAGGATCTGAAGCAGGTTTGTTAGTGTACATCCCTAGATGCATCATCCATGCAAGTTTGGTCCAGGTAGGGCTTATAGTTACTTGGGAATGGACCTGCTCCAAAAACTTTAACCTGGTCACTCATCTGAAAAATGTAGGTCAGATCCAGCAGAGGTTAGCTAAAAATGTGTGGAGTTGAGTACAGTAAAACACACTTATAGTGAACATCATCGTCTCAAGCCACGATCCAGAGTACGCGTATATATCTCTCACCTACCTGTGACTGCTTGATCATAAAAGTGCCGTAATCTTGAATATTTATGCCTCTATGTTGTGACGTCATGTTCAGCCAATGACATTATTTGTTTCCATCACAATTGAAATCAACAATTGACATCAACAGTATACAAGAAATGTTTCGTATACTGCGATTGGGTACTGAAAAGTCGCGTCAAAGTTCATCATCCGACTTTGCTTTACTCGCATTGGCCAATATTCTAATGAGCTGCGAAATATTCTCTTCTGATTCGACTTAGGCCAGAATGGGAGAGGATCGTACATTTTGGTCGTGGTTTGCGACAATGAGTGAAAATGCTTATAATGAAATGAGGATTACAGTGAAGTGATTTTCATTCCCCACTACTTGTATATTGTACACTAAATAGATATAATGAATTACACTCATAATGAAGCAAAATCATCCCTCCCTGGCACTTTGTTATAAGCGTGTTTTACTGTACCTTGTTCCTTATGCAGAAAAGAATCTAGTATACTATGGACCTATTTATGTTTCCTTACAAAAAGTAAATAGATTGATAGTCAGGATGTGACAATTATGCTGCTTTTCTCATTTTTGATTCTTTATATCATATTTGCCTTCCCAACATGTAGCCCTTCAATATTTTGGATCTTGGATCTCATTGCAGAAACATTTTGATTTGACAAAATATAGCTCTAATATTCCTGACACTTCATGATTTTTCCTTCTGTGTAAAGCTTGAGACCCCATTTCTTGTCCACAATATCTCAAAATTCTTCCATACACTTTGAACCCCATTTACCAAGAATTACTCTTTTTTCTAAGTTTGACTGAAATGTCAACTGAGAAGACTTAAATGAGCAGTTAAAATTTTTAAAAATAAACAAAAGAAAACTGATAAGCTTAACTGATAGTTGGTTAAAAAGGTCCCAAACCATAAACTAGAGCTCACCTGAATATTTGCTCCACAGCTTGGACAGTTCTTAGAGAACTCGTCCAACCATTCCTTTGTCAAACTTTCTGCTATCGCTGCCTCTATCGTCTTCTTCCCATATCGCTTCTCCAGTAACTTTTTGGTTTCTTCATCAGCATTTGTGTACTCATCTCTCAGTTTTCGCAATCCATCTGTGAAATCAGTGCAGGTTAAAATGTTTTTTAAAGTAAATAATCTTAATACAAATTGTTTGATAAATTAAAAGTACATACATGTATGTCACAATTCAAACTGAAGAATCATATTACATGACAACTGCTTAGTACTTGTGTTTATGATATTAGAAATCATGCAAGAATTCTCAACTACATTTCTTCTATACAATCAAATGCAACAATTTCCTACTCTGATGGTATATCTTGCCCTAGGGCCATAAAACTTAGACGAACTCACTTTTGATTTCAGTCTCATTTTTCCACTATAAATTCCTTTGATAAAAGTTTGACTGAGAACAAAAGTGAGCCTTGTATCCATCAATATAAATACCTGATTTGACTTTACAGGGAGACAATCCATGATAAACTAGCTGACAAAGGACACAGAAGACATATCCGCAGGAGGGGCAGTTACCAAAGTTACTCTCCTTGTCCACTGATACTGGATATTGACATGAGGGGCGGGGGCAGTACATCAAATCCACCATCTGGTCCAGGCTGGTCATCAACAACAACTCATCATATTTAGCAAACACCTGTTTAGTAACCAGCTCCTGTACCTTGAAACAAGATTTACATCTACTGCAACGGTTACCTGTTCCTTGTTATGACTTGGATTTACAAAATTTGGATTCATATAAGATTTACATATAACCATATCAAGATCATTTAATTGATTCATGAAAGAATTTCTCTTCCCACTTTCTTTGCCATTATATCATTATCAGGGCTCTCACATCACTTTTTGGGACTGGGGCCGGGACCGTAAAAATTGGGAAAATTAGCGACCTTTTGGGTAATTTTGGGAAAATCATAACTAGACATTATGCATTAAATTCATGATATATTGAGTTTCTGGTGGTGGTTATCAACTAAATTTCTGTTTCGTAATGCAGAGAAATATGAATTACAAGTTCAGTAACTATATATCTTACTAAATGTTCTTTAATATTTGGGGAAGTGACAGATTGGGAAAATAAACACATTCAATTTGGAAAAAATGTGCCTTTTTTGATTGGGAATGGGGCCTTTGAACGGCCCCAAATATAGAGAATCGAGAGCCCTGAATTATTGTATTCATGATTCAAATTTATTCTTACCTGACAAGGATGGGCTTGTGACTCACATTTATCATACGGACAGTTCAAACCCTTAACATTGCCATCACTTATCTGCACAGTGAAGTACTCCCTCATACAAGTCTTACAGAAAACATGCCCGCACTCAATAAATTTTATACACTGGGAACCTAATTTCTCTCCAAAGCATACTTGGCAAGAAAAGAAGGATTTATCAAACTCCAGCTGTAATGCTTGTTTATTGTAATCCAGTATCACAGGAAGAAGGCGATCAAAGGAAGCAATGTCCTGAATGGCTCTAGCGTCTAAACTAGAGTCTCGTCGACTTGTGTCATTGGAAATAATCAGTGGATTTTCTAGTCCTAAAAAACTGAAGGAATCGTCTAAGAGGAAGCTTGTCCAAGTGAACAGAACAACTGATCCCTTGTTTTCCTGCCATAGTTCATCAAGCTTTGAACACAATGAAGATAACTACAATGCAAAATAGGTACATGTATTCTTTTGGAAGAAAACTTGTCTCATACCTTAAGAGTTTACAGAGAGGTATATGTAATTAAAGTTGTAGTAAAATCTGACCTGTTTCCTGTTGAGCCACTTGCAGGACAGAGAAAACTGAGGTGGGCTATCACTGGGGTAGTCAGCAGATAGCTGAAAGTCTAATATCAGGGGAGGTAGGTGCTGTACTCTGTGGAATTCCTCAGCTTTAATTTCATCTGAAATTTTAAAATAAAACCTTTGAGATGAGATTGAGTGTATCTGGGGGATATGATTTGTTACATAAAGAGTGAATTAAACACCAGAATGGTTTTTGAAGATCTACACATAGTTTTTCTTAAATGATATGGAGCATGTCATTTACTAGAGACACAGTGCTTCTTTTAATCATTGTTCTCCAAGGGGAATACCAGACCTTTATTTGACAGATCTTTAAAGTAAACATGTTAAAATGCTGGTGATCAATGCAAAATATAAATACTGTTATCTAGTAAAACATGTCAAGAATCAGTTATAAATGTTTTATTTTATTTCAAGTTCAAAAAAATATTTATGAAAATAAAACAAATATTTCAAATAATAATTTTTCAAAATGTATGGATAAAATATTTTAATTGCAGGCTTGTACCCTTTGCCTTTGTTTGCCTAATAAAGAGACAATATGTCATTATTTCAGTTATTGCAGCAAAAATCCTGTCCCTTGACCTTGGACCATTTACCCCCAAAAATATACTTCTTTCCTGGCCCTCCCCCCCCCCCCCCCCCCCCCATTTATACACTACATATGAAACCTGTAGATTAAAAAAAATGTCCATGCTATTGCAACTCACTGGTAATATAAATAATATAAGCTTTACTTGAGTAAGTGATCCTAAACCAAATGTATTCCACTTGCCTTTCTCCACCTATGTAGTATGAACTCAATGTCAGAGATTAAAAAAATTTGCAAGTTTTCATATAAAAGTATATGATACTGATAATTATTTTGACTACTGACCTTGACTTTTGACCAAGTGACCTTAAAAACTATAGATATTTTCTTACGGCCATCCCCTACTTATCTAGTAAATATTCTGTAGACTGAAATGTATTCAAGTCACCAAGTCACGATGAAGTGTTGATGGACGGACAGACAGAAAGACTAAGTGATTACTATATGACACCCATATCATGAGGCTTGGCTTTAATGTGTATCCACTCTTACATACCATTTGTTTTATCAATGATCACAGCCAACTGAAAGTTTTCTGGAAGGTGTAAACTTGCAGAAAACTGGCCCCCACAATCACTGTCATCTTGTACTAGTGAAATCACTGTCTCATCAAATATGCTGGATAGAGCAAGGAGTTCATCTTCCTGTTGTTCTTTATTGTCTGTCATTACACATCAACTCTATAGATAAGAAAACATTTAATATAAAAAGAAAACAAGAAATATTTAAGAAACATTACAAAAAGGGTCAACTTTAAAATTCAAAATGTTTGCACAGAAAAAAAAAAGAGTTCACCTAGTCAGGGGCAAACATAATTCTAAGTTTGATCTCTATCAGACCTTGATATTATTAGGGGTAATTTACTTCTTAGAGGGTACCAGTGTACCAAGTTTGATGCTTGTCAAGCAAATGGTTCTCAAAATACTCAGATTTTAGCATCTTCCAATTCTATGACCTTTACCTTTGATCTTGTGGCCAGAAAATCAACAGGGGACATCTAATCCTTAGGTGGAACCAGTGTAGAAAGTTTTATGTTTGTCAAGCAAGAGGTTCTTAAGATAATATTGGCAATCAATATCTTCTTATGTTTAGTTTGACCCTTAATCTTTGACCTTGTGACCTCATAATTAATCGGGCTTTTCTATTCCCTATGGAGAATAAATGTACGAAGTTTGAAGTCAGTTAATCAAAGGCTTCTCAAATATTTAATGGAGAATATCTCCTAATGGAAAAACAGTGTATAAAGTTTAATGTCTGTCAAGCAAAAGGCTCTCAAGATATTGAGCAGTCAATATCTTTGTATGTCTTGTTTGACCCTTGACTTTAACTTAGTGACTCAGAGTCAATATTAAGGTCATCTACTGCTAGAGGGGAACCAATGTACCAAGTCTGATGTCAATCAAGCAAAGAGATCTGAAGATACTAGTATTACCAGAGACATATAAAAACCTATTACAATGGACACTATGTTCTTATGTCAATTTGACCTTGACCTTTTTTGCTAACTCAAAATTAGTAGGGGTCATGCATTTACTCCTTTGGCTGAACCAGTGTATTAAGTTTGATGTCTGTCAATCAAAGGGTTCCCAAGATACTGAGCAATCATTTACTCCTTTGGCTGAACTAGTGTATTAAGTTTGATGTCTGTCAACCAAAGGGTCCCCAAGATATTGAGCAATCAATATATTTGTATGTCTAGTTTGAACATTGACCTTTGATTTTGTGACCTCAGAATCAAAATGGCTTATCTATTTTCTTTAGGGGAAACGAGTGTACTAAGTTTGATGTCAATCAAGCAAATGAATCTGAAGATATTGAGTGGACAATATCTTTCTATGTCTTGAATGGTTTGACCCTTGATATTTGACCTTCTGATCAAACAAAAGGCCCATGGGCCTTAACAGTCACCTGAGTATCATGAGTTTTTCAAGATATATGACCAATTTAGGTCCACCTGGAACTGGCTTAAACATATCACATACATTTTACGGTTTCATGAGAACTATCTAATCATTTCTCAAATTTATGCAGCTTGCCCCCTGTAAATTCAAGAGTAAATGAAATAATAGATTTTAATGTATAACACCCCTCAAACAACTTTTGAAGATTTTTTCCTATTCCTACATAAGACTAGATTCCCAGTTGTGGCCCACTCTCCCCACTACCATGATTAGAACAAACTTAAATCTGCATTGCCAGAGGTAGTCTGAAATATCTGATGTTTCCTGGCTTTTTTACGATTTGATATTTTACGTGCCAGGAAAACGTCAGAACCGGCGCCATTATGAAAACTGGAAATTTTGCCATCTGCAACCAGAGTTCATTTTCGATACTTGCGAACAGAATTAAATGCCGAACTCACAATTTATCAACAGCACAATGCTTCAAGTACTCACCAATATCGATGAAAAGAAAACATTACATCACATTTTGACACAGGAATTGCAAAATTTTAAAATGAACGAAATGAAAACAAATCTCGACTGTCAGAAAAAATGTTTTCATCGGATTGTGTATTTTATATACGAACCATAAAAACAATGTTGGTGAGTACTAAAAGTACTAAAGGTACTGTACTATTGATAAGTTGTGGGTTTGACATTTAATTCGGTTCGCAAGTTTCGAAAATCAACACGAGAATGCCATATTCCCAGTTTTCATAATGGCACCAGTTCTGACGTTTTCCTGGCACGTAAAATATCAAATCGTTTAAAAAGCCAGGAAAACGTCAGATATTTCGGACTATGCCAGAGGATGATGGCATATCATGAGCGTGTTGTTCTCAAGAAGAGGAATTTTAAAGATTTTTCCTATATATATGCCAGTGTAAATATCAATATATCAAACCCTCACATGGTGTTAAAGTATAAACTTTGAACTTCATCTCATAAACTCTAATATGATATAACTTCTGATACCAATGGCCTTAATGGGCTTCCATAGTATACATTTCATAACATTATGGTATAAATACATACCTGAAGGCTGATAAGAGTAGATCTTCTGAATCTTATTTCGTTGTTTTCTTTATTTTTCCTGGAAAAATTACAAGGGAATCTTGTAGTAATTAGAAATCAAAAAATAATCGTGTTTCTAAAAGTTTCGGAGATGTTCTGCAATAGTTCAAACACTGAAGTAATCCAGACTATTCTAATCTGCAAATATATGTGGAAGTTATAATTCCGAAATGAAAAGTTGTCATTTTTTGTTTGTCTATAATTATCAAAAAATAAATAAAAAAAGGAATGCAATCCAAAGTAAGGCATTTGGATAACCAGTCCTTACTCCCCCCCCCCCCCCCCCAAAAAAAAAACAAAGTTCATTCAACAAAATTTACAATTCAAACACCTTATCAACGTAGATCATATTGACACATGCGCAGGTTTGACGCTTCCGAGACTGCAGAGAAAAATGATAAAAGCTGACAGATTTATACAGTTACGCTAGGATAATCTTTGGCACTTAACCACTAAGAAACATTTGTAAACAAAATTTACAGGTATGCTTTTACACAATATTGATAAAATTAAATAGCTTAAATGTCTTCCTTCATTTTTTCGAGCCCTACAATTCTAATTTCTAGTTCAGTTTTTCGATCAACAATCAAACTCTTAAAGAAAAACTTATGTGCATTATAAAGTATTTAGAATCAGTGATGTTCATTGTTTCTGCTTGATTGTAGAGCCACGGATAAAAAATTTCAGGATACTTGATCATCATAGCAATGAGTAACTACACAAGAATGTCTCCCCCAAGCTCCCCAACATCATCCACGTTCAGAAATGGAGACCCAGCACAGAGCAAACAAGAAGCCAGACTGACAGCTACAGCCAAACGACACAAATATCTCCGACGGATATTGAAATTTAAACAGATGGATTTTGAATATGCAGTGTGGCAAATGATTTATCTCTTCATATCACCCCAGAAAGTGTACATAATTTTATTATTTAATTATTTTTCATTATCATTGCAAGTTATCTAATTGGCTTAAACTAGATCACATGTTCAAGTATACAACATCTTAATATATTGATGGTGTGACCGTTGGGGAGAGAGAAGTGTGTATTCATTACTAGACGCTGATTCATTTTTAACTTAGATCTGCTCATGAAGAGCATAAACTGCGAGGTCAATATTCTTTCTCCAAGGTCTATATATATCTGTGGATTGTACCAAATCAAAAGGCTATATTTGATACTACTGTTTTACTAGACATGTAAGGAAACCTGAGTTTAACTTTTTGAATAGTTTTTATACTTTGACATGACATGATAAGACTAAATGCACTGCAGACAGAGTACTTTGCCATAATTTGAATGGTTTCCAGTAATGAAAAGAAAAGGATGGTTATACACTTAATGTGGGTATATTTAGTTATATAAGATTATTACTGTGATTGAATCAAATATACCTGGTAAGTTCAGGTCTTGAGACTCTGAAAAAAATCAGATTGCAATGAATGTTGTTTCCAAGTGTAAGTTTTCTTAATTATAGGGAAAAAAAAAAAAAGGAAATAATTTACCCGCCTTTGAATTGAACGTACATATATCTACTGTATTCAGGGTTATTTTCGCCCTTTCACACTTACAAAAAATTTTACCCTGTTTTAAATTTGACCAGTAGCAATTCTGTTTAAGAAATTATACTGTGTTCTTTGAATTCGTCCCATTTTAAATTTGCCCAACTGTGAGTAGGGCGAAAATAAAACGGGGGCAAAAATTTCCCTGTATACAGTATATGCACGTTGAATCAAAATACTTGAATATTTAGTTGTGTTTTCCTTATTTTATTTTTAGCAATGATTTGAATTTGCAAAATTTAGAAATATAAAAATTAACACCATTTTGTCCAAAATTTGTAAAAATAAATTGATGTAAAATTTCCAAATTTACGATAGTTACCAGTTAATATCTAATACAGCTAATGTTTGTATAGAGGTACATTTCTATATTTATATACATGTACTATAATTGTTGAAAATTCTTTATTTTAGATACAGAAATTTCCAATACAGAAAATGTAAGTCAATTTCTTGTTAGTAAATATTCAGAATAAAAGTTAACAATATGTGGAAAAAGATTAAACAACGTTTAAAATCTTCATATTTGCAAGTACACTTAGTGCACATTCAAGTTTTAGGAAGTTATGGGTTCTAAGGTCAAGCGGTTGCAAGAACATATTATAATTGAAAGTTTTTAAAAGGAAAATTAAAAAAAAAAAATGAAGAACACCAAGATTCTTATGCTGTCAGATGGAATCGTCATTATATAATTTTGTGAGTCCTCTGACATACATGTAGTTTGATGTTATAAAAAGACATTTCTTTAGAGAGATGGATTCATTTGTCAGCTCAAGAGAAAGAGAGAGCTACATGGCATAGGTGAGCTTTGTTGCTCATGGAATCATGTTTAGGTTCCCCAGCATTTGAGGACATACTGTTTTGGCATGCTGTCTGGTCACCTACCGATAGTTGTCTGTCAAAGATTTGTGTCAGGTTCCTAACTTCAGAACCTGTTTTTGGAATGTTTTCAGATTGTCTTAGTTCACTTAAACCAAGAGCTCAAGTGAGCTTTTTTGATCGAAGGGTGTCCAATGTCCACCTGTCATGTTTGTAAACTTTTCATATTTTCAGCAACTTCTCAAGAACCATTGGACCAATTTCAAACAAATTTGCCACAACATATCCTTGTGTAAATGGGTTTTAAGTAGTTTCAAATGAAGGGCTACACCCTCTTTCAAGGGAAGATAATTAAAAATTAGTGAAAATTTAATGGCATCTTTTAAAATCTTCTTCTCAATAACAACTGTGCCAGAAAAGGTGAAACTTATGTGTTAGCTTCATTACAATGTGTAAATTCAATTTTTTTTTTAGATCAAGACCTATGGGGGTAGGGTGGGAACACAATAGGTGATCAAAGTTTTACATAGGAATATATAGGGAAAATCTTCAAAATAATCTTCTTCTCAAGAACAGCAAAGTCATGATTATTCATATTTATATGGAAGGATCCTCAGATATTGTAGATTCAAGTTTGTTCAAATCATGAACCTGTGGGGTAGGGTGGAGCCACAATGGGCAATCAAAGTTTTACATAGGCATATATAATATAGGAATCATCTTTAAAAATCTGCTTTTCAAGAACAGCAAAGCCATGATAAGTCATATTTATATGGAAGCATCCTCAGGTTGTGTAGATTCAAGTTTCTTCAAACCACAACTGACGGGGGAAAAGTGAAGCCACAACTGGAGATCAAAGTTTTACATCAGAATATATAGGAAAAAAATCTTTAAAAAACTATCTTCTGAAAAGCATCAAAGCCCTGATAAGTCATATTTATATGGAAGCATCCTCAGAATGTAGATGGAAGTTTGTTCAAATCATGACCCTTGGGAATGGAAGGGCCACAATGAATGAATGGCCAATCAAAGTTTTACATACCCCAGTAGTAATATTAGGGAAGAATCTTTAAAAAATCATCTTCTCAAAAACAGCAAAGCCATGGTTAGTCATATTTATATAGAAGAAGGTAGTGTGGATTCAAATTTTGTTCAATTCATGACCTCAAGAGGTAGGGTGGGGCCATAATATCTAATCAAAGTTTTATAGGAATGATAGGGGGAAAATCTGCCAATGGAGAAGAGAAGGGTCATAGTAACTCGGGTGAGCAATGTGACCGATGGACCTCTCTTGTTAAAATAGTTTCAAGCTTGTGTATTATATTGTTGCTCATGACTTGGAGTATGTCTATCTTGTTTCAAAATCAAAACTTGAGTACAGTGTTGCTGACGGCCAGGTGTCACACGATTTTTTCCCAACATTCTATCTTCTAGGTCAATACAAGGAAATACTGAATATGGCCAGGTCATAACTCTTGAACCCTTAATTGGATTAAATTCAAACAAGTATATTGTTACAGATGGTCTAAAGGTATTTCATGATCTTTATTCAATTTTCATGGCCATCCCTTGAAGTTCAAGGTCAGGTCTTCAAAGAAATGTAGTGCTTTCTGGGATCCAGCATTGAAATAGGAAAAACATCTATTCTTGTAAGATTAGAAAAAAATTTAGTTTAAACTTGAATATGTTGTTGTTAAAATACAAAGGTGTGCCATGACTATAATTCTAGGACATATCGCAAATGTTAAGGTTACTTTATATTCATTGGTTGTATAATGCTAATCAGGGAATGGGATATGACAGAAGAGGGGGTGTCAATTTTTGACCTGAAAGATTATGTATTGTTTAATTTGATATCATACCAGTATTCCTATCCTATATATTTACAAGTATGTGTTTTGAACACATGTATTTGATAGATACAAAAGATCAGTGGGCCAGAGATGATCCAGCATTTTTAGTGCTACTTAGTTTTTGGCTGGTGGGTAAGTTACTTTCATGGACATGCATGAATGTTATTCCATTTTTGATATCAATATGTGTTTATATTACTGATAGCAAAATATAAAAGAAACATAAACTTTGTCCAAACACTTCAATTAATTTCCTACTTCTGTGTTAGTAAATGATAGATGAGTATTTCTAGGGAAGGCAATTCTTTTTTTTTCTTTAATAATAATGGATGAATTTAAAAGTAGTTTGGTTGTGAAAATAATTTACTAAATTAATTGTAAATTTAAATCTTGCATCTTAAAAACTCATCCATAAGCAATGAAAAAAAAATCATAGTTTGTTTCATTCAAATCATGTATTTAATATATATTTTACTTAATTTGGCTTGAGCAAGACTTGTCTAATGATTCACCTGTAATTCATTAAATGACATGTATTGTGCATCAAAATATATAACAATTTCTTCAAGACTGTGGTTTTAAAGTGGAATTGCTATTATAAAGATTAAAAGTACACATTATGCAGGTGTATATTCAGACAAACAAAAAATCTAATTTACATAAAAATGTTTTGGTTCTGTTGCAGTGTCATCCATTGGATTTTCTTTCACACTTGGCATCCATTTCTCTGGATTCTTGAAACTGATTTTATGGGTAGTGTTTGTGGATTGCATAGGAGTTGGGTTACTAATAGCAACTATTTTCTGGTATTAATCAATAAGGAATTTTCATTTGTATAAAGATAATTACTGTGAAATCACTAATTTTCATGGGGATATAATTAACATTGTTTTAGTGGTATGAAAATTAAAACTTCATAATGCAGTATATGTATGATATTTCTTCTATATAAACTACAGAGGCAAATCCCCCTTGAACCAGTTTTTTTTTTTTTTTTTTTTTTTTTTTTCAAACAAGGAAAAATATTATCCCATGATAATAAAAGTGATTTTGCAGTATATTGACATGAATACTTCTCAGGTCCAACTTGAAAAGAACAGTAATTGCTATATATGTCATATAGGGTGAATTCACCATGCATTGGACACGTACCTTGCTTCAGACAATTGTAAGCAATAATTTTGCATCCAACCTGAATTTCTCTGTGTTTTGACTTGTTTCTGCCTTAAATTCGAAGATTTAAACTTTTTAATGATGCCAATGTTTATTATTATGTGATATAAATACCATAATAGTGACTGTGGTGACATCATGCGTGACATCATAAAAAGGGAGTAACTAGATTTTTTTATTTATTTTTTTTAATTTATTTATAGGTTTGTCTCTCTTTCATTAGACTTCAAGGGAACGTGTCCGTCTTGAGTGAATTTTGTTGATAATTTGATAGAAAATTTCAAGAAATGTCTAATTTTGTATTACATCTATAGGGATTTAAATATGGGGTGGTCACATTATCCAATCCTATGAAGCACAAAGTAGGTAGATTTGATCACATACCAACCCGTATCAAGTAGTACCTTATTTCTTTAGTAATGTATAATTTTTCCAATCTGTTATTTCAGGTTATTCACCAATAAGTACATGATACAGGCCCCTCCGCGGGGTCAGGATGTGGAGTGGGGATATGCCTTTGATGTTCATCTTAATGCTTTCTTTCCTTTACTCATGATTCTACATTTGTTTCAGTTGGTTTTTCTTGGTTGTAAGTATTACAACATTAATCATTGTATGTGCTCTGCTTCTTCAATAAATTCCAGATCTTAGTAAATGTATTTTCTTTACCTCTACTAAAGTTTTTCTTAAAGATAGGATATTTAAGAAAATGAACCACATCTTATCCCATTTTGCTTTAATTTATTTCAGTAATTAATGGAGATAGTTATCTTGGGTTGTTGTTTGGAAACACATTGTGGCTGGTGGCCTTGACCTATTACATTTACATAACCTTTCTGGGATACAGTGGTAAGATGTGTTAAAAACATCATCTGTTTCTTTAAAATCATCTAATAATTTTTTTGTATCATCCAGAAAAAATGGCCAGCAATTCTTCTTGATAAAATTTCACAATTCTAATTTTTGTGTTTGTTTATTTTAGCACTACCATACCTAAAGAATACCAGGAACTTGTTATTTCCATGTATTGGTGTCATATTAGTGTATGTTCTCTCTCTAATATTCAGCTGGAACTTCAGTAGAGGACTGTGTAACTTTTACAAATTTCGAGTCATGTAGTACTTCCACATAAACCATATGATTTGCCTGATCTGTGACATTCAGACTCATTTTCCCCTCAAGGAGTAACTGTTAAGTTGTGTGTGTGGTACATGCGTTGGGACAAGAGGGAAAAGAATGATACACTGCAAAGAATGTCAAACCAGTGGAAATCTAATACGGTCCAAGCACCTGTTTTATATTTTTAAATTGTGATCTGTACATAATATGCTTGTTATTTAGCCGCTGTTTGTTATATTTATTGACTGTGGTCTTATGAGTTTCATTATATGACATCATCTTTACTATTTTACATACTGTATATGATGAGTTGTGTAGCCAACCCATTGATAATTTGTCCACTAACTCAAGCAGCCAATTATGTATGCAAGTCCCAACTGGGTCCAAAAACTTAACAACATATAGACAGTTGCTTGTGTGTTTAAAAATGATGTAGAAAATGTCTTGATTATAAATAAATGACCAGACAATCTCATACATACGGTAGTTTGATGTATTTCTAAATAATTGTGTTGTTCTTTTAAAATCAGGAGTTTACCGAGAACTGAGAAGTACATTGAAAGCATTTCTTTGCACTTAGGTATTTCAAACCACCAGATGTAATATTAGTTGTCCAGGTTCATCAAGGGATGTGGGGGGATATGTCCCTGGATGTATTCCGTATGCCCTGAAGCCAAGGACGACAGTTGTACGGAAATTGACACTTGGCTTGTTAAACAATCAAAACTTTTAGATCCCAATAGAAACGAGCAAATTCAAAGAATTGTGTTGGAATGCAATTATTGATGGCATGTTGTAGCTGTTTTGTTTGTGTTTCCTGCCAAATATGAATGTCATATTTTCCCTCACTCAGAAAGCTATCACCAATGTTAACATTTTTCACAATTAGGTTAAACTTCAAGGTCAAGGTTACGAGGTTAAAAAATCAAAGCACTCTTGTCACAGGTAATGCACATGTCAAATATGAACGCCCTATCTTCTCTATTCAGAAGTTACAACCAATATTAATCAAATTTGAAGGTTTTGGAGTCAAAAACTACCGAAATTAGAATTAAAGCCCTATTTATTCTCATTCAAAAGTGGCAAATACTTTTAAAATAATATGGTAAAAAATTAATGCAAGAAATATCAACAATTTTCATAAACAATACAGTTAGTATTTCATCATTTTCAAAGACTAACGCAATTTTTTAAGTTAGAATACAAGAAAATACCTTTAATTCTCTTTTCTTACAAGAATTATCTAAGTTACATTTTCAAATTTTTAATAGGTTTCATATCTTTACTGTGTCACTTAAAAACATTTTTTGTCATTTGATAAGCACAAATAAACCTTACAAGATGGACAATGCATGGAAGTTTCATAACTTGGAATCTCTTTTTCAAATAAAGGCTTTGGCATTACAATCGTTCCATTCATCTAATTTATGTGATATTCATTTGCTCATCTTCGCTAGACATTAAGGATTTCTATTTGGTACTCTTCTCACAAACCCTTGGCCCATCATGCTATCAGAAGTCAGGATTGTTTATGTCACATGATCTCGAATCACAGCTTGCATCACTGACAGAAATAAAGAGCGTTTTTAAACATTGAAGTATCTGAATAATAATTAACATGCAGGTAGATTTACTTAATATTTAGTTTGCAAGTCTAAATCATTCTGCAATATAGATTCCAGATTACATTATGTGTACATCATCTTAAAGTTGGATGATGACATAGCTATTTAAGGAATGGAATGTTATCTTACGAATCAGTTTACATGGATTTTTCATTACCAAGACTAAAATTCAAGAAATATACTGAAAGAAGATATCATCATGAACAATAGCAATTGCTGATTGGTTAAATAATGTCAATAAACTATCATAAGTCGACAAAAACAAAAATCCTGACTTATGAAAGCAAGATAACTCCAATCACAACTCGACCCCCCACCCCCCCCCCCCAAAAAAAAGAAAGAAAGAAAGAAAAACGACTTGATAGCAAGATGGGCCAAGGGTTTGTGAGAATAGAAGCCCATCAGAAACCTTTGACTGGCGAATTTGGCATTTGCTAACAATGTTTTATGAGAAACATTTGTCTTGGTCATTTCAGGCCCGTAGGAAGCAATTTCAGTTTGGGGGGAGGTGGGGCACAGCCATACATTTTCAGTTGAGGGGGCACCATCAAAAAGCAAATAAAAGGGTCATCAGACGTTTTTATTGAAGGGACACAAGCATAAAATATCTATGTTTACTATAGCAATCTATACATCGGCAAAATTATGGGGGGGGGGGGGGGGGCACGGCCCCCCCGTGCCCCCCCCCCGGTTCCTACGGCCATGCATTTAATCCAATAATATTTTGATTATGCAAGTAATTCAAGCTGTCCAAAATTTTGAAGTACAATTTGCAAACTAGCTTTCATGTGTTCTAATTTCTTTTTTTTTTTTTTTAAAAAAAGGAATTTACATTTAACCATAATATCAAATAAAGGAGATGGGTGAACAAGGCGTGCAGAATGCCTATAGCTTCAGATATATAAAAATCATTTTCAATTTGTGAATTCAGCATTTAAAGTAAAGTTCTCATTATTAACATTTATGAAATTATGATAAAAAAAACTTTTCTGAGGAAAATTTTCTCTGCAACAATTTTTTTGTTATTAAAAAATAATGTGGTACTCGCGGGGTTCTAACCCTAGCAATAAAAATTCTGAGTAACATTTTCCTTTAAGACTAACGCGCTTTTTTTTTTCTCTCTCTCTCTCTCTTTTTAAGACCAACGCACTAACCACTACGCTACAACCACTCTTGATGAATATGGGCATTTTAATCATGTCTGTGATATGTACCTTGACTAAATGAACTTCAAGTACAGTGTATTTCTCGGAAAGATACGAATGTTGTGTCATAAAAGTGTATTTTTTATGTAAAGTGGGTCTTTGCTCCATGTTTTTGTTAATCATAAAATGTACGTTTTTACACAAACTTTAAGGATAAACTTTCAAAAAAATAGACCCACTCATATCGAAAAAATTGTGTTATGGTATGAGAAAATGATCCTTTCTGTCCGCTTTAGTGCGTGTATGTTTGTTATATCATAGGCAAATATTTTCAATTTTTGTGAATGTTTTGCAAATTGTGGAGATTTTACATGAAGTATACTTTACTGTTAGATGATATATCGAAGAAAATTTTGTTATAATGGAGATTTAATTTTCCACCTTCATGTTTGTCGCACTATAGGCACTTCGCTCACCTTGTTCGCCCATCTTCTTTAAAAAAAAACCCAGTAATTTCCACCAATGCAACTATTCTGATGTATGAAGGATATTTATTAGCAAATTGAACTGACAGACCCACAGCTCCCATACATTTACTGTAATTTCACGAAATCGGGGGAAATAATACAGTTACATGTAGGTCGTATTTCAAACAGAACTGCGTCAAATAGGCCTACATCTTCATTTTGATTACAATAAATTCTGACTTTATTACACCGATGAATCAATTTGATGAAAAATGCACTAAAATTTCTATTTATTTATTTTCATTTTATTTTTATTAGTTATTTAATTATTATTTTATTTTTTACTTTATTTTTTTTTTTTTTTTTTTTTTGAAATCAATTTATTTGCTTTGAAGACTAAAATAAAAATGATCACTTTTTCAGCTTTGAATATCTTGTGCTTTCCTAGGATGCTTAATTGTGAAAGTAATTTTTGAAATGCTAAATTTTGTTTGCGACCATTTGATGCTTTGCATCAATTTTACTTGTCATTTTATTGCCTGTTTGAATAGTTGCTTTAAGGCATTTATGTAGCATATTTTAAGTGAGATGTTTGATACCAGCAGGGTTTTGATTATTTCACACAGATTTTACACTGAAAGTTCTTTTTTCCTGACTGGACTGATACAATATCATTTATGTTTTTGATAGTAAGTCTATAATAAATCTAATAATTTCTTAATTTTTTAGGAGGGTCTCTAAAACTCTTTTAATTTCTGTAGGCACTGGTGAATCACCATGGTTAAAGCTGAAAAGAGGCATCAACATTGATCTAAATGAAGCATTTATGTGCATCAAAAATACCCCATTAGGGAGAACTTCCAAATTTGTAACCTGACCCAGTATAGAATGATTATTTTAAAAGTATGCCAAGTTTTTTTTGTCAGATAGATAAGGAGTAAACTTGGATCAGATAAAAAAAAAACAATTTATTGTGGTACATATGAGCTAGATCGTATTCTTTAAAACAAAGTATTGTTCATTGTTTAAACAGTAATTGATACATAATTTACATTCACAATAACTTAATACACTCAAGCGTTTGTCTTTGCAGTTACAATATTATACTTGGTATAAAGATGAGGTTTCATAGATGATAAAATGCCTCTACATCATTTAGGCAATTGAAATCATATATTGTACAAGTCACACGGTTATTTAATGAAATTCAGAAATATTTTTGACCAAAAAATATTTAAAGGTATATGTCACTTGTTCTCATGTAAATGATTTAGTTCTAATGCTAGATGCGAATTTGAATTTGTTTAACGTTATGTCTCAGAATTTTACAATTTTTTTGGCAAATATCTTTGGACAAATTGAGACGCCCTGGACCCCCCTCCAACCCTCACTCTCAAGTCAATTCGCTAATAAATTCATGTCTCGAAATTGGGGGTAGTTTTTCTTTTAATCTGTTTTCTGTTACACTCTTACATAAGTGATGAGGTATTCCGGGTAGTTCTGGTAGTGGTGATACGTAACAAACTCTCGGAATATCCAGACTCCATCACCGACCACGCTATCACAGCGCTGAAACTCGGAATGTTCACAGGAATCGGACTCGCAGCCAGACTGAAAGCATGGGGGCCTGTGAAGTTTATGTTTAGCTGTCTTGGATAAATGAATTTTACCAAGGCATGATCTCACAAGAAACATTTTCTTTTCGTCTTTCGTCCTTTCTGTTTTGGAATCTGAGGGAAAAAAAGAATTGTGTTCGAGTAATATACTAGCAATAAACTATACTATTTCAAATAACCCTCTAAAGAGATGATAGTTTGCATGGTAAAAATTATGCCTATAATATTTGAAAATACCCCTTTTATGAGGTGGATACATGCTAGATATATCGACTTCATTTGCAGGACTCGAAGTGTGAGGTCGATATGATTGTCTGTGAAATTGATATATCTATGAAGGAACCAAATTTAAGGGCAAAATGTTGCATTATTTTCTTTGGGACAAATAAGAGAAAAACAAAGTCATTATAGAATCTAATAGATTTTGTATGTTTTTAATGATATTCACCTTGATTGTCTGACTGAATTCTCCCGATCTTAGTTTTAGTAAAGTCGACAAATATATAAATTAGCACTGATAAAGAGTTAAGAAATAAGATTTATTGAATTACTTAAAAAAATAAAATACTACAGTAATCTTTTCTCTTTTTTGTACCTGTGTACTGATCTGCTTTTGTTGAGCTCTCGGCAAGATACATTCCCTGACCAAACATGCCCTTTTCCCCAGCCATGCGGAAATCCAAACCCTGGGAGAGGATTTTATTATAAGTATCAGCCTTGGTTCCGTGGAAGAGAAAATGCTCATTTATTTCAGGATACAATTCACTTTTAAGGACGGAATCATCTGCCGAATTTGCTGTCGTTGAAATGTTTCCAGAACTTTGAGGAATTTTGTCTAACTGTTCGAACACTCCTATATCGCCGGCCTTATGGAATAACCGTGCTCGAAAATGTGAATAGTTTTCATATAAGTCGATGTTTTCCAGTCGCTGAACCTTTAAAACTTTTAGACCAGTGTAGTTTAAGTTGGATAATCCAACGGCGTCTCTGCCATGACCTACTTTTTGTTGCTGCCAGGTGGATAATATTAATTTCTCCACAGCTTTATGTGTTGTAGAATCCACATCTACCAGCTTATGATAACCCTCGTCACACTCAGTCTTCCACAGCTTCAACAGAATAGAAAAATCTTATGGTATTGGAGACTAGCTTTTCATCTTATACTTGTGCACTGTAGAATAACTGGTGCCTAAATAATTTAAGAAATTACACATAGGTATACTATTACATTTGTAAGTTTTTATTAGTGCATATTCCCTCCGCTAGTAATACCACCTTGATTGACTTGTCCGAGGTAAACTCTGTCCAGTAATTCGGTGGACGGAGGTCTTTGTGGTACTGCTGACGACAAAAGTCAGGCGTCCAGCGCTCAGGCTCAGCCGACGCACCTTGATATCCGATAGACTCGTCTTCAAATGCCTAAAAGAATCTAGCATTAAATCTGAAGTTTCAGAAAAAAGCAAACATCAGAAGTTACACGTCTTGTTTGACGTACCTTTGCTAATTCTTTATGTTGCTCTCCGTAAATCACTATGTTGATCTGTTTAACTGAAGACGAAGTGTGGGTTTTGGAGAACTCGTCTATTCCACTTAATATCCCCTGGGCCGTTGTCTGAGAGGGATAGTGTCTGTAGCGGCTACCAAGAGCTGGAAAGGCCACAGATTCCAGGTTGTCTTTATCTGCCGCTTCTAGGCATTTGATAACAATGTCTTTAATATTCTGGAGAAGATCATGAAAACTACAATTCTTTGTTTATCCTAGGATTAATGAACAAGAATCAATCAAAATACAATAGCTTGGGCTTAAAAATACAACCAGAAGTACCCTAAAATCCAAGGTAAAAATTTTCTCTTCTTTGTCCAAATCGAAACGAAGTCGTATTAATCTCTCAGCTGGGAAAAATGTGTTTATAGCAAGTATGGTTTCAATGAACACGAGCTTTAAACAGAATCATCTTTAAGAAGTACTTGTAAACATTGATAAAAAAATATTTGGACAACACATTTTATGGATACGATGAAGCAATTTTGAATTTAAATGGACTATGCCCCAGAAAAAAAATGCTTCCCAATGCTCAAATGAACAATTTTATTATAGTAAGTGAATCGATGACAGGTATTTGCTTTGGAAGAGTTATGAGTTCAACGTTTTCCTTAAATTAAAATTTTGTCTGCAGAAAACTTATGAACTATAAATAGAAATAGTCATGTACGTAGAGGACGTTTTTCCAAGAAGGCGAGGGGGAGGGGGGCACAAAGATGAAGAGACAAAAGAACTTCCAGCTTTGTTTTTGCTTGCTATACTTTATAATTCATTTTCAACACACGTACATTTTGTTATAGTTTTATATGAATGGGTAGTTAAAGAAACGAATCCAATCCAATCCAATCCAACGTCCCTTATTCCCCGTTTGAGCTTTTCAAATCTTAAGGGGTCCTCTGTGACTGAATCAAATACACGTGTAATAATTCATGCTTATAATATTGCTCATTGTATGACCTTTTTGGATGCGTTGTTACTACTCTTCTTGTGTGAAGGCACACATGCATGACATATTTTCTTGCACTTCAGATTTCCGGCGGATGTGACGACAACGTTGCCCTCAGCCAGTCCAGATGGATAATTCACTCTACACTCGTTTTTAAGCTGTTGACCGGCGGCGGTGGCTATTGCTTTAGACAGCGTCCCTGTGTCCAAGTTTAAACTCTTGCCCACACTATTCACGATCATGTCCACCTATGAAAAACGACACAATTGGTTAGAAATACATATTGTTTATTTTGTCCCAGCACATTTGCAAAATAATTTTGCCCCTTCTAAAAATCACACAAATAGTTGTGATAAGAGAGATGGCTCCATCTTTTTTTAAATTCACCGAGGACAAGGATGAAAATGAAACAGGCAAAAATTTTGCTGTGTACAGTATTCAATTTACAAACAGCATGAGGCTAGATAAACGGGAAAAATTCTTTAATGACATGTGAAATGATAACGTTGATTTGACTCCTGTAAAGGCTTTGTATCCTTTAGACTTAGGCATGGCTTTTCTTTGATGTTGACATTGCTTTGCCACTCTACTAACCTGTTCCTCCTCTAGTTTGTCTATTTTGATCATAACAGAGACCTGGTTTATCTTTATTCGACACACCTCTTTTCTTTCGATCTCTGTAGAAAACAAAAACAGTTTGTCATTTAATGGGCTATGGATGATTCCCTCAGCTATCAACATTTTTATAAAGACCGTTACACGTACTAGCATACCAACTGACCTCGAAACACTGCTGAACCAAAAATGTCAAGTTTTGAAAATTCTTAAGGTTTTTATGTAACGAGTTTTTGAAAAATCTTTAATAAATTTCAAATTCTGAACGTTTTATACACGCCTGTTACTAGGGTGGAGGGTTTTAAATTTCCTTATTTACATACACTTAAGTGTACATTTGTATCACCTGTATTTACGTTAAGATCCCAAAACTTGACAGCATCGACAAATGCCTGCAAGGAGAACGGAACCAAATGAAACAAAAATTAAGAAAACAAACATATTACGGTTCAGTTATTAGGTATGGAGAATTTACGATAATTTTAAATTTTATAATTTATTGACCTTCAGCGTTTCAGTGTCCTCAGGATGTATGACAAAATGGGCCTCTTTAAGTTTTGTATCGGGATTGGCGTCTATATACCGTCCCACAGCTCGACACGCGTTTCTTGCCGCCACTTGCTTTGGAAACTTGAGAAATCCAGTGGTCAGGCCCGGTAAAGCAATGGTGGAGAATCCTCGGGTATCCATCTCTGCCAGACATTTAGAAATAAACTGCATATGTACCTATAATACAAGATTGTAGGTAGTTTTAAAATGTATAAATTACTAGTTATATTGCAAGTGTATAAACCTTTTCAAAAATACATTCTCACTGAGTTATTTGTATAAAGTGTTGTATTTGTGGAGGGCGTATAATTCTAAAACATGAATCTTTCTTCAAGTAAGTACATTTGTAAGTGACTTAATCCCCATCGCCTTCAGTAATCGAGACTTTCATGAAAAGAAGCTAAATAATCTTTAAAAATGAAAATTTGCTTGTAAATCCTTTCATATTAATTTTAAAGTGTATTATACCGAAAATATTGACTGTGTTAATCAATGTCAAAGATGCAAAGGGAGTGGATAATGGAATACTGGGGAAAAATAGTAAAATTTTGTGAACCTTCTCAGCATCAGATGTCCCATATTTTAGAAGAGTGCCATGACAGACAATTTTGCACTTCAGATTCCCTGGCCCTGTTACAGCTATTTCCTGCTGGGTAATTCCTTTTGGGTATTTCTGGTCACATTCCTTCTGAAGCTCCTCCCCTGCAGCTTCTAACAACGCCCGAGAACCTCGACCGGAGGTCAATTTCAACTTCGACGACGTACTGTTCACTATCACGTCAACCTGTAGACGAAATACTTTTTTTTTTTAAATATATTAATGAAAAGTCTGATTCATGAACAGGAGATGGGCAAAAAGCCTATAGCTTTAGATATATAAAAATTATATTCTATTTGCCAATTTATTATTTAAAGTAAAGATATTATTATTGAAAGGATGACTGCACTTAAGGACATGCGAAATTTGCGACAGAATAAACTTTTAAAACAAGCATTTTTCTTTTCATTCCAAGAATGGTCAACGACAGGGGTCATCACAATTTCTTGAATCTCCGTTTGATAATGAGGACGCCCACTTTTTAACTGACTTTATACATAGTCCGCGCATGTTTGTCTATTGTTCTACGTTTATGCGCTCATGGTTAAAAAGAGAAAAAACTGCTTCTTCTTACATTCGCTTACTGTGTTGTAACAGGTCGGGTACACTACCTTATAAGGAAGACAATTTTCAACACGTGACGATGTCTTCGTCACACCCGTTCTCCAATCATTTGAATGAGTCCCAAAGCATGACAGTTCTACTACGTGTTTACGATTAAATAGCGACACGTGGTTTTCGTCGGTTTACTGCATATTATTTACTTCGTCACCGGAAAAACCGTAGAGCTTCTTTTTCACTTTATAAGGCCAAAATTGAAAGATTATATTTCAAAGACACTGCTCCATGCTAACATTTAATATTGGAGTTGTTTTAGATGATTAATAGTTGCTTCAAATACCGTACAAACGCTTTAACGTTTGCATGTACATAAAAACTTTTTGATAATATTGAGGGGTTAAATAATAATTGCGCACCTTGTACTGCTGTCTAAAACTATGTTCACGTCTATCACGTGGGGAAAAAAACCCTCAACGCTTTACCGTCACGGTAGCACCTACGTCTCTTTGGACAATGGTTTAGGTCGATGTATTATAAGTTGATATAAGGCTTCCTAAAAGGAAATTTTGTAAATGTGAGCAAGGAAATGAAAGATTATACATCATTTTAAATATTTCTTTCATAAATCTCAAAAAAGAATTAAAAATGAGTTTCCAAGGGACAATTCATGTTGCCCTTTATTTTCAACACAACTGAGTACTTGTAGTAGCCCACAATGCATTGCAACTCATTCAGTGGGTAAAGTAAACAGATAGCTAATTTACATGCAAATTTATGCTGACGTCAGAAAATCTAGTGGTCTCGACCTGTGTAACCAAGGATTGTGACATGTTGAATATTATAATTCACCACGTGATTTCTTACCTCAGGTAACTTTGTGAATACTAAATTCCGTCACGTGACTCGTAAGGTAGCATGTTTTGTGCTAACTAGGACATAGTGTTCGAATACGTTAAGTCACCTGGCATTGATATACAATCTGCTTTAATTACATTGACGTGCTCATATTGTTAATTTCGTTTTGAAACCTTTGTCAGAAGTATATTTGTACCATATAGAATGGAGAGAGAGATTGGAAAGAGTGATCACGTTCTTTTTTTCAAACATGTCATTGTTATTTGTCAAGTTTAATTTTAGACCCATTCTTAAAATGTTAGCTCCACCTCTCATGCATATCTATGTTCAATCAAGGGCAGGGTAAGTGTAAAGTCACTATATTTGGAAAGCAGTAAGGACAAAAACATTGAATTATTCCTTTGTATCACAGTCTAAAATCATTTTAAGATTTAAATTTGGTTCCAGATTGACAGAATTCTTTCATAAACATACAAAAGTGAAATGATGTTTAGATATAAAAGCAACAGAAGCAACCGAAAAAGACCCCAAAACAAACGTTAAGTGCAGTCATCCTTAATAAAGTTATGACAAAGAAAACTTTTCTAGGGAATTTTTTTCTCAGCAAAAATTTTTCTATAATAATTAAAAAAAAATTAATGTGGGTTTTCTTGGGGTACGAACTCAAGCAACAAAAATCCCGAGTCTCATTTTTCTTTGAGACTAACAAGTAAATCACTTCGTTACATACCTTGTGACAAATGGTGGCATTTAGATCATGTTTATGATGACCCGTGACTATATGGATTTCAAATATTTCTCGGAAAGATAAGAATGTTGTGTCATAAAAGTATATTTTTAAGGTGTAGTGGGTCTTTGCTCCATGTTTTTTGTTCATCAAACAATGTATATTTTAACCCATACTTTGAGGATAAACATTTAAAATAAAATGGAGGGAAGACCCACTCGTGTTATAGTGTGAATAATCATTTTTGTCCTCTTTAATTGGTGTGGGATGCTATTTCATATAGAAGAATAATTTTAACCTTTGTGAGATTTTTGGAAATTATGGAGCTTACGTTAATGTTAGATGAAATATCAAAGAGAAATTTGTTGTAGTTGAGATAAAATTTTTCACCTTTTTATTTCTAACACCATACGCATTTTGCTCCCCTTGTCCGCCCATCTTCTTTCTTTAATATGAACTTTGCGTTTTTCTTACTTTCATCTAAATATAGTTACACGCACACGATTTTTATGAGACAATTACTTGTATGAAAAGGTTAAGATAAGAAAATGAAATATATGGCGATAACGAACAGTATTCAAGCTCAAAAGTCCATCAAACATTACAAAACAGGAGCAGAGCAAATACGGACCTCCAAAACATCAGCTAGAGGTGGGATCAGTTGCCATGGAGGAGTGAGCATCCCCTGCCGACCGGTCACACCCGCCGTGTGCTCCTTGTCATGATCGGGAAATAACGGGAAAATCCGTCGACAATTCAGTGTGTAAATAATGGCCTAACAATTAGTATGAAAAACGTCAGTCAGCATTTGACTCAATGATAAATTGTATTTGCTGACAAGGTCATTGTATCGACCATAGAACCTACGAAATGATGACTTTAAACGAGACAGCTGATATTCTTGTTTCATCAACTTGTTTGTCAATAATTTACCTCGTTTTAGAAATAGTACATACGTAGAGCACGCTCTTGCGGATCGAATCAACTGAGAGATATACACCCCGTATGCAGATGATGAAGGTATATTGATGCAAAAGTAAGGGAAGTTGACGATTGAAAAATTAAAGTCATCACGTTTATCATAAAGCTTGGTTATTAGATTACCATTAACGTCTTTTTCAAGTAAATTATCCAAATATGAAAGATGTGTCAGACTCCGTGGTATCTTTTACATCAAGCTCACCGGGATATATCGTATCGACATAAGACTGGAAATAACCATTGTTAATTGACAATACGTCGTCGATATATCTAAATGTCGAGTTGAAGACCACAGCAAGTGTTTTCTTCTTTTCACGTTTTAGGACAAATTATGCTTCATATGAATACAAAAAGCTCTGCTAATAACGGGGCGCAATTGGCACCCATAGCAATTCCAATAGATTGTTGGAAGACCTGGTCTCCAAAAACCACATAGATATTGTCAATCAGAAACTCATGCATCTTTTCAATATCAACTTCAGAGTACTGTGTGTACAATCAGAATGTTTTTTAACGAAATAATTTTGCAAATGACCAATGACAAGGTAGGTTAATTTACGAGTTCCATTTTTATTGAAAAAGCAGCTGTCAATGATATCAAAAAGCCTGGACTTTAATTTATCGTGGGAACGGTTGTGTATAAAGTTGAAAAGTCGTAAGTTTTTAAGCTGTTGATTTTGGTAAAATCTTGTGATTTCAAATTTTCCAAAAGTTCCTTGAAATTTTAAGTATCCACATCTGATTTACACCACTTCTCGAATATATATTGTTGCACAGTACTCTTGAAGTTTCTCCTTCACTACTGTTAATATCTTAGTGAGAAATAAAGGAATAGGCTTGGTTGAACATTTACTGGAACCTGCTATGTATCTTTGTAAGGATTTTTATGAATTTTCGGAATCCAATACAGATATGGTAATTCAAATTCATTTTATGATGTAAAAACGTACATTATCATAAACCCATCACTATGCTTGGTTGTCTCGACATCAATAATTTCTTTCAAAGCTGGTACAGAGATACCAAAAAAAAATTACAGTGTAAAAATAAAGTTATTGACAAATAATGTAATTTCGGTTTAACAGTAATAGTTATTTAGAAAATATGGTCTTTTTAAGTGATAATGTAACAATTTTACATACTTGAAGAGAGGATATAATCAATATGTGTGTACACTTCGAAAAAAATAACAATAGGCCATGATACATTACTGATGTTGTCAAAAACCAGAAAATAGATAGGAATTGATATACAATGTACAAAAGTATCAGTGGAATACATTGTTACCTTTTCTTTCTCAATAGCACCTTTGAAAACTGATACTTTGACTGTCTTGTAATCTGTAAAACATTCGGCCTCAGATTGAAGATCGGCACTTTCCTCGTCATCTTAAAAATAACATCAAAATATTTTTTTAAAAATCTTAATCTCAAAAAAAAAATCTTTTTTTTTAAACGATTTATTTAGTTATTTGTAAAGTTCTGTAATGAAAAAGGTGAAGATTTAAATATCTACAAACAATGCAAATCTGTGAACAGGGCATAAAACACGACCCCTAGAAATTCCAGAGATGGGATCAGGTGCCTATAAGGAGTAAGCATCCCCTGTTGATCGGTGTCACATCCACCGTGATCCCGTTGCATTGATCAGATAGACGAAATATTCCGAAGTAAAATGTAGTATAAAAACCAAGGCCTGACAATCGATATGAAACACGTTAGCCAAAATACGACCCAATGTTAGGTTATATTTGTTAAGAGGGCTGGGTGGTTGTGGCCATTTTCAGACTATATTGATCTCTTTTAGAAGAAGAGCTCCATATGAAGATATACAAAAATGATCAAATTTTAAAACTAAAATGTATGAAATTTTTCTTTGCCAAATGATACTTCACAGCTTAAGATATCATATCTAAAAAATTAAGTTATATTTGATGGTTAATTTGTTGACCCCCAGCCTCCTTAACAAGTTCATTGTAACGACCATAGAATTTACGAAATGCTGATTTTAAACGAGGTTGTTGAAATACCTGTAACATCAACTTATCTGCCAGTGGCTTGCCTCGTTTTAAAAATTGATCGTAGGGAGCATGATCTTAAGTATCAAATAAGTTTGGGAGACGTAAACATATGCAGATGATAGCGGAATATTACTACATAAATAAGGAAAGTTGACAATGGAAAAGTCATCTCGTTTGTCATACAATTCAGTTGTTAGTTGGCCCTTGTCGCCGTTTATAGTCAGTTAAACATCTAAACAATGAAATAGATGTGAACTCTGAGGCCTTTTTTTAAAGTTTACTGGGATATATCAACATATGGTGAAAGTAACTATTGTTATTTTATAAAACGTCGTCGATATATCTAGTCGAGTTGAAGGCCACATTAAGTGTTTTCCTTATTATCATGTAGAAGATTTTGAATAAAATTCTGCTTCGTACGAATACAAAAACAAGTCGGCTAATAAAGGAGCATAACGTAATTCCATTTATATTGAAGAAACATGCAGTTGTCTATGGTATCAAAAAGCCTCGTTTTAAATTTATCATGAAAAATGGTTTAATGAAGTGTAGAAAAGTCGTAAGTTTTGATTTTATTGACTTATTAAGAAAAAAAATTGGTGAATTTAAATTTTCTAAAAGGTCATTGAGGTTTTGAGTATCCACATTTGATTTATACCACTTCTAGAATATGCTGTAGCACAGTACGTCTGGAATTTCTCCCTTACATCGGTTATTATTTTGTAAAGAATAAAGATAGGGCTTGGTAGTGAATATTGTCATATTTAGAGGATATGAAGCGAGAAACACGATGTAAATCGAAGGGTTATACCATGGGTGAGTCTGTAGCTCTTGTATTTCTGTCCGATTTCCTACGGAACTACTGTTCTAGCTGCAACTGTATGTTTATTTTGAACAATATATAATGTATAATTGTGGTTTAACTATAATTTTCAATTAGATTGAGTTAACTTTCCTAAGAATGAAATTATCTTGGGTGAGCGTTGTGGCCCACTGACCCCTTGTTTTGAAGTAAAGAAGAAATCAACCAAAAAATTAATAAAGCAATACCATTTACATTTTATGAGTTTAAAAATAGAACTTGTGAGATATTTTTTAATAGAAAGTTTAAAAACGATCCCTTCGTTAAATATACAAAATACGTAAAAAGTATTCAAATTACGTAACTATCAAATGAATTATTCCTACCTTCGCCTGTTTCGTACAATAGAGAATCTTCTGAATGTAACGAGAGGGAATCCAACGAAATTTCTTTGTCTGACATTTTTCATTAAAGAGAAAGTAGAGTTTCTAAGCAGGTATTTCCTATCATGTTTATATTTATCTATAGAAGCCTATAATGGACATTGTTAATATTTCAGGAGACCGTTAAACACCACTTTGTACGTCCACAATGAAATTAAATAAATACAGAACACGGCATAAAATTCTAAACGCAAAATTTGAAAATTAACATTTCAAAATCCCAAATCAAGGTCATCACAGAAAATTTCATTAAAAACCCTTAGTACAAAATTATAATCTTATTTAGCCATCCAATACTGAACGCCAACGTTCTGATTTATCTGTGGATAGTGTTAGAAGAAGAAAAAAACCCAGCCACAATATACTGCAGATTCCAAAATATACGCGAGGAATTTATTATCGAGTATTTTCGCGAGAAGAAACACTCGCAAAGAAATAATAATCACTTATATTCTTTTTATGCTGATATACATTTAAAAAAAAAAACTTGAAAAACAGTCCAATTGCGAATTCAAGTTCTCACAATTTGACGTCTACGAGTCATTTCGCGATATTTAGTACTCGCGTGAAATAAGTATAATTCAGTTTTGTGATACATATATTTTTCCTTACTAATTTCAATGAAATTTAAAACCTTATCTACAAAAGTGATGTTTACCGATTTCTATATTTAAAAATCAAGGTAAGTAAACGGATAAAGTCTTGTACTGACATGTACATGTATTTGTTAATTTTCCAATTTCAGTAAACGAGAAAAGAGCTAAACACATTTGACAAACTTTGTCAGTCCTAAGAACGGGTTCGCAATGTTGTGGGAGCAGGTGTGATTTCCTTATCTCTAAATTATAAAGAGTCATAGCTGCCTTACCGAGACACGGCCGACTCAAGATATTTTAAAAAAGGAATCAAATGTTTCTATAGATATACACCTTTTCAATTCAAGATCAATCATTTGTGGACGAGTGTTATATTTTCATAGTTGCAGGTATGTCTTATAATGATCATCATGTTCATTACTCTAATTTCGAGACAAAAGATTAAAGAAGTCAGTAAAAGTAATCAAATGAATATGCAAAATTTAATGAAATACGTGTAGTTCAGAAATGTCGCTTCCCGAGATACTTTAAAAGTGTAACATGTATATATAACTTTTTGAAATTATGTTTATTATAAAGTATAATAAAGAGAGCACAGAAAAGGTACACAAAGAAAAAAAATAAAAAAGACAGAAATGGAAAATGTTGGGATCGAAATCGGGAGCACCACATTTACGTTCTAACAATCATACCATGTGCCACGATACCAATGATGGGGAATAGATAAATTTTAGACAGATTGCTAAATATTAAAGTAATATAAGAAAAATTGAATATATATTTTCATCAATTCCGATATGAAGATCACGATTAATCAAAATTAATTATCTAAATGTAATGAAATGCAGTCATTTCCAAATAAAGTTATTCAAATGATGTTTTTCTGCTTAAGGGTGGTCTTAGACAACAGTTTGTCATCCTTTAGGTAGATACCTCAATATTTACTTTACTGTAAAAGTGGTTAAATTGAAGGGTTGAAAGTTTGACGATTTCGGTATATTAGAAAAATAGCGGGTGCAAACTTTGACGATCTACTAGTATTTCGTAGTGCTATTTAACAGTGATGTGAAAGTTGATGAGTGGAAACTTTGACGACTATTAGAAATTCGCCAATATCGTCAACGTTTCCTCATCGTCAAAGTTTCCACTTTTACAGTATACACCAAAGAAACTCAATGATCTTCATTTTTTATCATTTACACAAGGAACTATTAATATTTTAGTATCATTATTGTGTAATTCGAGTTTACACACGTATAAACTAAGATTGTATGGCAAACTTATGGTTAGAAAATGTGTTTAAGAAATCACTTCTAGAGAAGGTAAAAACCTATCAAATGTGCTAAGGCTCTTTAATATCACGGACGTGACCTCTTTTATTAGAGGCGTATCCGGAAAAGCATACGTTATGAATGCGTTTATGGATACCTATTTCAGAAAAAAGTGTCTTATGAAAGAGGCCATGCGCCAGAATACAAGAAAGGAGCAGTCTGTATGGTTAAATTAATAGAAAAGAAAGAGACACATTTTATGCTTGCAATACATTTATGACCCTTAGAGAGATCCATAAGTTTGACTGACTGAGTCAATGAATCATTTTCATTAAAAATTGATTTAAACTTGACAAGTAATTTTAAAGTAACAATGTACTTCGAATGAATTTTAAGCGTGTAAGAAAGAGAGTCATAGCTGCCTTGCCGATTCAAGAATTTAAAAAGGAATTCACCCCTTTCTATTTATAGATATACCTCAACCTATGTGAAGTGTTATATTTTCATAGGTGCAACTATGTCATATAACAATCATTTTACATGTTCATTACTCTAATTTGGAGACAAAAGGCTTAAAACAATCAGTAGGAATTAAACAAATAGGTATGAATTTGCAAAATTCAATGAAATCGTGTAGAACGTCTTTTCCCAAGATATTTTCAAAGTGTAATGTGTATATTGATTGATTGTATGTTGTTTTACGTCCCATTCGAGAATTTTTCACTCATATAGAGACGTCACCATATACAGGTGAAGGGCTTCAAATTTTGACCTTTACTCGGCACTCAGGGCCATTGAGCAGTGAGGGATCTTTATCGTGCCAACGCCTGCCGTGACACGGGGCCTCGGTTTTTAAGGTCTCATCCGAAGGACCCGGAACTTTCACTTCAAAGTGCCGAGCGCATGGCGAAGGAACAGTTGCTACCCATTTTATCGACTTAGGTCTGTCGCGGCCGAGATTCGAACTCACGACCTCCCGATCACGGAGCGAGCGCTCTACCGACTGAGCTACCGTGAACGGTACGTAATGTGTATATTAGAACTTTTTGAAACTATGTTTATTATTAAAGTAATAAAGAAAACGTTGAAAAAAATACATAATAATAAGGCATATATACCGGTATATGGAAAATGTTGGTCTCGAACTCGGAATCATTACATTTACATTCCAGCAATCAGACCACTGCGCTACGAGATCACTGACAGCGAAATGATAAATTTAAAACAGATTCTTTTTTAAAAAAAATTATATGAGAAAGAAACTGAATATGTATTTTCATCATTTTCAATATGAAGACCACCTTTAACCAGAATAATCTAAATGTAATTAGATACAGTCATGCCCAAAATAAGATTATTCAAATGCTCATCTTTGCTAGCCATGGGTTTCTGATCCCTTACTCTTCTCAGAAACCCTTGGCCTATCGTGCTATCAAAAATTAGGATTGTTTACGTCACATGATCTCGAATCTCGAATCACAGCTTGCAGCATTGATAGGTATAAAAATAAAAAGTAAATATCTGAAGAATAATTAACAGCAGATAAGCTCATTAGTTAGAAAGTTAGCAATTCTATATCTGCGATATAGATTCCAGATAAAATTATGCGCACATCATCTTCAATTGAATGATAGCTATTAAAGAATTGAATGTTACCAATGAATTATTGTTTACATGGGTTTTTCATTGCCAAGACTATAGAGTCAAGAAATATCCTGATTGAAGATATTGTAATTTTTTATTATAGCACTTGCTGACTGGTCAAATGATGTCAATAAACTCCAATCACAACTAGAGAAAAATCCTGACTTTTGATAGAAAGATAGGCCAAGGATTTGTGATAAGAATAGCGAATCCCTTGGCTGGTGAAAGCAGTATTTACTAGCCATGGTTGATGAGAAACATTTTAGTTGGTCTTTTAATGCAATAATTGACAACGCGAGTAATTAAAAAAAAAAACAAGACGTGTTTGTGAAACACTGATGCCCATTTATGGCATCTTATAGTGAAGGATAAACTTTCTCGAATGCAAATCAAATATGTTGGTACCCAAAGTAAGGTCTTGTCTCGAGGAATATACCTGTGAAATATGGAAGCCCTAGCAGCAACCATTGAATAGATATGGAAAAGTTTTTCAAAAGAAAGTCAAACATCAAGGTAAAGATAAAATGGTCAAAATTAATGGTGCCCAAGGAGATATCTTCTCACAAGAAATACGCATGTGAAATATGAGAGCCCTAGCACCAACCGTTCAAAAGTTATGGCCAAGGTTAAAGTTTTTCAAAAGTAGGTCAAACTCCAAGATCAAAGGGTCAAAGTTGTTGGTATCATAAGTAAGGTATTGTCACAAGGATTACATATGTGAGGTATGAAAGTCTTAGCACCAACTATTCAAAAGTTATGCCAAGGTTATAGTTTTCAAAGTAGGTCAAACTCCAAGGTCAAGGTTAATGGGCTATAATTGTTGGTATCCAAAGAAATGTCTTTTCAAAAGAAACAAGCATTCTGAGAGTATTGCATGAGCAATACTAGTCCCCTACCGGCAGGTGTAATCTGGTTCTGTTCCCGTTAAGAATTGAAAATGCCATAATTCCGTCAAAAATTAATGAAGCGGGACGAAATGCAAACTTGATCTATAACTAATCGAGGTAAAGCCACATACCAAAAATCAGCTCAATATCTACAAGCGTTTAGAAGAAAATTGCGGAAAACCCGTAAAAATTGAAAAGGCCGTAATTCCGTCAAAAATCAATGAAGCGGAACGAAATGCAAACTTGATCTGTAACTCATCAAGATACACTCACATACCAAAAATCAGCTCAATATCTGCAAGCGTTTAGGAAAAAAGTGCGGAAAACCAAGTGGGACAGACTGACAGACAGACAGAGGGACAGACAGACAGACAGACAGACGGACAGACAGACAGACAGACAGACAGACAGACGGACGGACAGACTCAGAGGAAACCTATAGTCCCCTCCGGTTTCACCGGTAGGGGACTAATAAAGTTGTGAAGTATGAAAGCCCTAGCTCCAACCGTTCAAAAGTTATGGCCAAGGTTAAACTATTTCAAAAGTAGGTTAAACTCCAAGATCAAGGTCAAAGGGTCAAAGTTGTTGGTATCCAAAGTAAGGTCTTATCTCAAGGATTACACAAGTAAAGTATGAAAGTTTTACCACCAACTATTCAAAAGTTATGACCAAGGTTAAAGTTTTCTGAAAGTAGATCAAATTCCAAGGTCAATAGGCTAAAATTGTTGGTATCCAAAGAAAGGTCTTGTACCAAGAAATACACATGTGAAGTATGAAGGCTCTAGCACCAACCGTTCAAAAATTATGGCCAAGGTTAATGTTGGTTAAAGTTTTGCAAAACTGGGTCAAACTCCAAGGTCAAGTTCAAAAGGTCAAATATGATGGTACCCGAAAAAAAGTCTTGTCACAAGGAACACACATGTGATATTTGAAAGTCATAGCTCCAACCAATCAAAAGTTAGGGGCAATGTTAAAGTTTTTGCGGACAAACAAATAAACAGACAAACAGACAGATAGACAGACAGACGGACGGACAGGGAAAAAACTATGTACCCCCGAATCTTCGATTACGGGGGCATAAAAAAAATCAAGCTGTCCAAAATTTTATGTACAATTTGCAAACTAGTTTTCTTGTGTTCTAATATCTTTTAAAAAAGAATCACAACTATATCAAGTAAATAAAAAAAAACAGTGTACTTTCTACAAGTGCAACTACGTTCCAATTTATGAAGGATATTTACTAGCAAGTGAATTGACAGATCCATTGCTACCATACATTTGTTACATTAAAAGTTTAAATCTAAAGTTTAAACTTATCTATAACTATCTAGATAGTTATAGATAAGTTTAAACTTTAGATTTAAACTTTTAATGTAACACGTTTACTATAAGATCTGGCTAATAAAGGTTTTTAAATTTCTTTCCTCTCTCAAGTTAACCTGAATTTTAATGAAAAATCACAAAACAGGTCTGTCTGAACAATGATGTAAAATTACGTAACAGTAACTACTATACGATCTTTTTGTTAAAAAAAGAAATCCATTTTCTGTTGCCATGAAAATTCACTTAATTTAATCACAAGATTTTTGGGGTAAAAATTCTCTGCCAAGTGTTAAAGGGGTACAATAAAGACCTTAGCATGTCATCTTGAGAAAAAAAAAACCCAAACATAATATATGACAATATTCAATGCAAAAATGTTTAGTCAAGCAGTTAAAAATGTGGGTTTATTCTACCCAAATATACAAATCCACAAATATTGCAAGCTGAATTCCACATCAGACTGACTTAGTCTTCCCGAAAATGTTGAATACCAGATACAAGCTGAATTCCACATCAGACTGACTTAGTCTTCCCGAAAATGTTGAATATCAGATACATCGTCACTGAAGATAAAGTCCTCAAACAAATAACTTCTACATGTACTTCTTCAACAATGTACATTAAGAGTCAGTTAAGTCAAACAATGTTGTATTTAAAATGTATTTCAAATAATTTTGTTTCTAAGTAGAATTTAAAATGTTGTCTAATTAGTAAAATAACAAAATAAATTCCTCATAAATATAAACTGCCACATGCTGGGGTCTTCATAAACAATAAAACAACAACTTGAACTAAAAACTAAAACAACAAAAACAATGTACAATACTGCATTACACTCTAATGCAAGTGATGAGGTATTCCGGGTAGTTCTGGTAGTGATGGTACGTAACAAACTCTCGGAATAACCAGGCTCCATCACCGACCACGCTATCACAGCGCTGAAACTCGGAATGTTCACAGGAATCGGACTCACAGCCAGACTGAAAGCATGGAGGTCTTCGAAGTTCTGGTTTAGGATGCCTTGCTACATGCATTTTACCAAGGCAAGATCGAACCAAAAACATTTTCTTCTCGCCTTTCGTTCTGTCGTCTATGTGATCTGAAACCAGAGCTCTAATAAGCAACCAGAACTCTGCCCGTCACGAATTACTAGTATCCGAGGAAAATTTGGGCATTTTGGCTTGAAACACATCTGTTTTAAGTTTGGAATTTTCTAGACAGGTAGTATGAATGTTTATAGATAAAAAAAAAAAATCCCAAACCGCAGCATAATAGGGTGAATTCAGTTATGCATTTTGAACATTTCAACTTATTTTTTCTACGTAGTATAAGCGACATCGTCTTCATCTTAAAGTCGAAAAGAGTAACAATTTACTCTTTATCGCAAATTTTGATACAACTACTATAAGTTTTCCATTTTTACTACTGCTTGCAACTCAAGTTGATCATTAATCAATTCAATGGGATTTAATTAAATCAGATAAAAAGTAAAGGTGGAAAAGCAATTGAAGATTCGTTTACAGGCGATCAGACACTTTACCAAACATAGAAGTTCTTTTGTTTTCAAAAAGTATATTTTAATTTAGAACAAAAAGGATAAAAGTAAGGAGATAATACAAGCGGTTTTAAGTGAAAAAATATTATATACAGAAAATAAATGCAAGGATAAAAACTTTTAAAAGTTATCTAATCTTTGTTTAATTTGCAAAAAATACTTTATTTCTATAATAACAGATTTACGATTTCTTTAACTGTGATGTACCTGTGTACTGATCTGCCTTTGTTGGACTCTCGGCAAGATACATCCCCTGACCAAACATGCCTTTATTATCAGCCATAGTGATATCGAAACCATTCGAAAGAATACTTCTGTATGTTTCGGCCTTTGTTCCGTGAAAAAGAAAGTGTTCGTTAGCTTCTTCTGGGTACTGATCGCTTCTCAGGAGGGGATCACTTCCCATTATTTCCGAAGTGAGTACATCTATCAAACTCAGTGAAAATTCATCCAGCTGTTTGAAAACTCCATTTCTTCCTGCCTTCTGAAAAAGGTACGCCCGAAAGTAGGAATATTTTTCGTACAAATTAATGTTTTCCAGCCTCTCCACTTTTAAAACCTTTATACTAGAGTATTTGAGGTCTGACAATCCCTTGGCATCTCTACCATGTCCCACTATTTGTGGTACCCACGTGGATAAGACTAGTTTCTCTACAGCTTGTCGTGTCGGAATATCAACGTCAACCAGTCTGGCTTCTAGTTTCACCTTCATCTCTGTTGTCCTCATATACCATAACTGTAATGAATAACACGCAACAGAAAATCTCTTTAAATGCAATAAGAACAGGTACAGTTTTAATGGAAGATTTCCTGTACAACAAAAAAACTATGCAAATTTATTAAATATAATAAAAATTAGATAATAAGTTCAACCCTACTCATCGCCTAATTTAGTCACCCATTTCATACAAAACAGTGGCTAAGTATGTTTTTATGGCTTATCCTTTTTTAACACCTTTTTTCCATGCACGACATTAAAAATTGTTAAACTAATTTATGCTGGCCCCTTTCTCTATTTCCCTCATTATTTTTTATCTTGATAGAAACGGTTAATTTGCTTACAACCTTGATAGTTCTGTCCGCTGTAAATGTTGTCCAGTATTCCGGAGGTCGAGGTTTTTTGAGGGACAATTCACGACAAAATTCACGTATTATATGGCTAGCAGCAGCTTTCTGGAATTTTCTGCATTCTTCTCTAAATGCCTGTAAAACATGTTGGAATTTAAGTGTTTTTTTAACAACTCTCTCTCTCTCTCTCTCTCTCTCTCTCTGTGTGTGTGTGTGTGTGTGTGTGTGTGACAACCCAAGGTTAACTTACATATGCTATTTCTGAGTATCGTCCATCAGGTTCTGGTATTACCACTGTTACATTCATATTGGTATTATGAGTTCTTGAAAAACCATCCAACGCTTCGCATATCGCATTTGACACAATCTTAGGTGGTGGATTGTAATCGGACTTGTTCAGTATAAAGACAATGGAACTCATTTTTGTCCTATTCGCCTCAGTCAAACAACTGAACACTGCCTCACCAACATCCTAGAATGAAAAAAGTAATTTAAAAGAACAAAAATTAATTCAACAATTTGATTTCAAAACCGTTCGTTATATCTTCATGTACAAGTAATAACATGGACATTAAGGATTACAAAATAAAGCAAAACAATGAAGAGCGAGTGAATGAGGAAAGGAAATTTAAGTTACGTATTGTTAGAACATTGCCTCACCTTCTTTACAATACGCGGATCAGTTCTGCATTGTAACATATAGGTATGGCAAATTTTATTCTCATCCAAATGTTTGGAGTAAATAACCTCCATATCTCCGTCTGACACCAAGGAGAGATGTTCAATATCATTACTGACATGTTTGGTTCGAGTTGTAGCATCAATGGAAGCTGACCCCACAAAGTTGACAACCATGTCGAATTTAGCTTTTTCATCTTCTACTATGCCAACTTTCACCAATATTGCAGCTGCACACTCTTCTACTGATATCTGCATATATATATATATATATATATATATATATATATATATATATATATATATATATATATATATATATATATATATATATATATATATATATATATATACATATTACAGATCAAAATTGATTTACTTTATGTCAAAGACAAGTACAGAAGTAGAGACAGATTAGAGTAGATTCACAGTTGTACCTGCTTTCTGGTCGAGATCTAATGTGTTGACAACATCGGCAAATACCTATTAGTATACACATAGAGAATAATATTTACATCCACTGAATATCTTCTCCTTAATTTCTTAAGAAGCCATTTCTTTTTATCAATCAGTAAAGCGCAATAAGCATATCATCTGTTAAGATTTCCTAAGCAGTGGCTCTTCCATCAATGAAACGTATAATTACGAACATATCAATAATACTATATTTAATCTACTTAATCCTACTCTAGATTTTTTGTACAGATATAAATATTAACAATAAAATTGCCTTCTTTGTTTGTAAGTATGGGGATTAACGTTGCAGCTATTGCTGCTTACGCGGGTTAAGCATTATTTCTGCAACAGCTGCAACTTTAATTCCAATACTAACAACCGAAGAAAGCATTTTATTGACGTAAATCACATAGACTTGATCGGGAAATATTAAACAGAAAAATCCGTGGACAATTCAGTGTGTAAATAACGGCCTAACAATCAGCATGAAAAACATCAGCAAGACTTAATATAGACTGTATTTGCTGACAAGGTCAATGTATCGACCAAAGAACTTACGAAATGATGACTTTAAACGAGACTGCTGATATTATTGTTTGTCAATAAATTACCTCATTTTAGAAATTGTTCATACGTAGAGCATGCTCTTGCGTATCGAATATACATATTCAGGTGATAAGGGTATATTGCTGCATAAATAAGGAAAGTTGACGATTGAAAAGTTAAAGTCATCTCGTTTTTCATAAACTTTGTTGTTAGATTACCATTAACGTCTTTTTCTAGTAAAATATCCAAATATGAAACAGATGTGTCAGACTCTGTGGTATCTTTTATTTCAAGCTCACTGGGATATATCGTGTCGACATATGAATGGAAATAACTATTGTTAATTGATAATACGTCGTCGATATATTTAAAGGCCACAGCAAGAAATTTCTTTTTTCATGTATAAGATTTTGAATAAATTCTGCTTTATTTGAATACAAAAACAGGTCTGCTAACAACGGGACGCAATTGGTAGCCTTGGGAATTCCAACTGATTGTTGGAGGACCTGGTCTCCAAAAACCACATAGATATTGTCAATCAGAAACTCAAGCATCTTTTTAATGTCAACTTCAAAGTACTTACATGTATATGTGTACAGTCAGAATAATTTTGCAAATGACCAATGACAAAGGTAAGTTAATTTACGAGTTCTATTTTTATTGAAAAAGCAGCTGTCAAAAAGCCTGGACTTTAATTTATCGTGGGGAATGTTAGTATACAGAGTTGAAAAGGCATAAGTTTTTAATTTATTGATTTTGGTAAAATTTTGTGATTTCAAATTTTCCAAAAGTTCCTTTGAATTTTTAAGTATCCCACCTCTGATTTATGTATTGTTGCACAGTACTACTGAAGTTTCTCTTTCACTGCTGTTAATATTTTAGTAAGGAGTAAAGAGAGAAGCTTGGTAGAACATTTACTGGAACCCACTGTGTATCTTTGTTTGTAAGGATTTTTGTGAAGTTTCAGAAGCCAATGTAAATATGATAATGTATACATTCTCAGGTTTTATACAGAATCTGGTAAAGCAGTATACACTGTATTACTTAATATTATACGAACTGATTACTTGAATAGTTATGGTGTCGCTGTGGTGTATAACAAAGTGAACCTTTTTAAGGTTTGTCTTGGGATTTGCGTCTATATAACTCTTCACGGCTCGACACGCGTTTCTTGCCGCCAGATCCCTAGGGAACTTCAGGAATCCCGTAGTCAGTGCTGGGAGGGCTATGGTGGAGAATCCATGTCTATCCAGCTCCATCAGACAGTTGGAAATAAACTGCATATGTATCTGCCAGAAAAAGAGTTGGAGTAATATCATTGATTAATATATTATGGAAAAGTGTTGTAACCATAGAGAGAAACTAACCTCTTCTGCAAGATTATCCCCGTATTTTACAAGGGAGCCATGACAAATGATTTTGCTTTTAAGTTTCCCAGGTCCTGGATAGCTACGTCGCCCTTTCTGACTCCTGAGGGATATTTTTCATCACACTCACCTTGAATCTCTCTTCCTGCAGCTTCTAACAATGCTCGAGAACACTGCCCGAACGTTAGTTTCAAGTTTTCTGATGTACTGTTCACTATCACGTCAACCTAACATAGAATTAAGAAATTAAATAAAACTTACCTTTAAAGTTTAATTATGTGGAACTCTCTATAGAATGTTGGGTATTACGTGAGATATGCAAGCCTACTCCAAGATCATTCACGCCAATATGTAATATCCCCCCTCCTTTTTTAACAGAATTTGCCCCCCAATTACGTCACACTTAAAGGGGGACTTAATAAATGAAAGATGGCAAAGTTAAATAATACATTGCCAATATCGCTGAACAGTTGATATGAGGATGATTAAATAAATGTTTTCCTATTTCTGAACTTCAACAATTTCCTATTATTACTTTGTAGAAAACTCTACCCGATAATCAGAAACTGTATCCTAAATAGACTTGGCCACTTTTTTTTGCTTCCAAGTTCATAAAAAATTACCAAGATTTACCAGCAATAAGTTATGTTTATTGTTGAAAATTGTTGGTCAAGTTTTCCGATACGGACATCTGAATTTGTCCAATGCTAGTAATTCCTCAAATCTTTTGCTGTCATGGTACTTTTCGCTGTTAAGGAAAGGTTTTGCCGATTTCCTTTGTAACGGGCGGGTCGAACTTTTCTTTCCTGTCGAAAAGCCTAACCAATTGAAGTATTATATTGAATTATAAGCGTTACTGGCACAGATTTGCCTTGAATTTAGGACGTACAAAGCCCTTCCATTCTTGGAGAATTTTTTAAAAAAATATATTCCCAAAATAAATACAGTTTTACTCTAATTTTATCATGTAATAATTACATTTCCAAATATTTTTCCATAAGATTCTTTGCAAATTAGAAAAAGTTCATGTTCTCTTGAACTACCGTGGGGTGAGTAAGAATATTTCCAGTGCGATGTGATTGAAGTCAAAAAATAGTGTAACCTTTTTTTTTCAAAAATGATCGTTAAATGAAAAAATATGTGGCAAGTCATCAGAAAAATAATGTAAAAATAAGATATGAATTTAATTTTTGAGAATTCAGGAGGTACATGGACTACAACGTATCACGCCTGGATATTTATCATGAAGCCTAACGCGCTTCATGAAATATACAGGCGTGAAGCGCCGTAGTTCATGTCCTCATGAACAAAAACATGAAGGTAAGTCCACACTTTCCCCAGATTCTGAGTATTCTTTGGCCTTATTGTTGCTTCAACGCAGAGATTTAAGTCGCTGGGAAATGTAAAACTTGTGATCTTTGAGTATGATTGCACACCTCAAGTGATCCTTATGACTTTAAAATAATGAAGGAGAATTAAAAGTTTGCCTCTACAAGCCAACTCTAAAGAATCAATAAATTATGCTTATGGAATTCAATAAAAGACGTAAATACACCAGGTTAATGATATAGAAGTTTTTTTTTAAAAAGGAATTGGCAAAGAAAAAATCTGC